AATACTTTTAAAATACCACATAGATACACGCCATGAGAACAAAAGAAGGGCTATTAAATGGTATCAATGCAAAAAATGTAGATACAGGTCTAAACGATCAGATTGTTTAGAACAACACACAATTACCCAACACTTGGTTAAACAAGATATTGAATGGCATCAATGTGGAAAGTGTCCATATAAAACAAAATACAGTTCATATTTAAAAAGTCACTCAAGTACACATAAAGCAGATGCACGTAACATTAAATGGCATCAATGCAAAAAATGTTCATTCACAACTAAACATCAATATTCTTTAAATATTCATATAAGTACACAGCACTTAGATGAGGAGAATATTAAATGGTATAAATGTGAAAAGTGTCCTTATAAAGCTAAATACAAATCAAGTATACAACGTCACACAATTAATAAACATTTAAATGAACAAGACATTAAATGGTATGAATGTCAAAAATGTCCATACAAATCTAAAACCAGTTCTCGTTTAAAAGAACACATAAATGTTCGTCATTCGGAAGAACAGGATATTAAATGGTACGAATGCAAAATGTGTACATATGAAACTAAGAGCCGTCAATATTTACGTAGACACATAAAACAACATCATATAGATGAACAGGATATTAAATGGTACGATTGTGAAACGTGTACATTTAAAACTAAGCACCGTCAGCATTTACGTAGACACATGAAAATACACAATTTAGATGAAAAGGAAAAGGAAATTAAATGGTACGACTGCAAAGAATGCCCATACAAATTCAAACAAAAGAATGATTTAAAACGACATATAATTTCAAAACATTTGAGTGAACAGGATATTAAATGGTACGAATGCAAAATGTGTCCATACAAATGTAAACAGAAAACTTACCTAAGGAAGCACATCAATAGCCGGCATTCGGACGACGATGGAATTTTAAATGTGTTGTTTCAAAACTAGCAACTCCACATTTAATATACAAAGCTGTGTATTACTTGTGCAAAAGAAAAATAATATGAAAGTGCGAAACTTTTGGAGTTAGTATACAAAAATTATGTAGGGGTATCCCAGTATAAGAGCGGACAAATCGGTAAATTCTTCTATTCCAACACTACTCTATTTCTCCAACAACACAACCGCTTTCTGACCACTGCACCACCAGCAAGCAAGAAGAAAGTAATGTAAGAAGTTCTGGTAAACTAGCGCTCACTTTTGTTTATATAAATTGCTTAGCCGCTAAATTCTAACAACTAGTATCTATGTTTATCCTCACCACCATTATATTCCTATTCCTATATATTTAAGGTACATTTTGTTACATTATTACTATCATCATTATTGATCTATTACCTACATTGCTTTTGTTGCTAATAAAAAAAAGAAGAAACATTTGTTTAGTTGTTAAAGCTGTGATAACCCAAACATCCCGCCTTAAATTGACGTGTGAAAAAAAAATGAGAGCCCGCAAAAAATTTAAAAATTCAAAATTTGGGCTTGGCTGTGATCGTCTAACAAATTTGAAAAATAGCGGAATGCGTTCAGATGCAAGTGGTGGACCCCAAGTTGGGAAAAGTACCGCTAAATAAAACACAACATTTATGGAGGACACAAAATTCTTTATTTCTCCACTGACAAAAAAAATTGCGTGCGAGGGTGACTCGCGACTTGCCCTCAGACCGTTCCCCTGACTCAATACAAAGCCTGCATCCTTGCTGGCTCGACTAGGATCCGCGCCCTCCGCTTCTGCTACGTGTTTCGGTGTTATTTAACCTCAATTCCATTTTAAATATTCAATTTCTATGACTCTGATATTAACGACAACTGGACAAGTGTTAAAATTTCAAAAACAGAAATAAACAACATTTAAATTCGCCATGCAATCTTGTGAAATTCTGAACAGCAAATAATTATTATGTGAGATTAAAATTGGACATAAAATAATTTTTAAGATGGAAACATTCATCAACAAAATATTACAAAACAAAACTTAGCAAATATTTATGAAAACAAAAGATCTGGTGTGAAATAAACTCGGGCAATTAAAAATATTACGTGAGGTTAAAACTGCAGAGCATGAAAATTTACGTTAAATTAAAATTATACAACAAAGGAAATGACTAAGGTTAAAATTGCGAGCTAGACAAATATTGTATGAGGTGAAAAATTGCAAAGCTAACAAAATTTACATGAGATTAATATTTGTCACACTTTATCAACGATTTCAAATAAAGAGTTTATATATTATGTTAAATTATGTCTTGATCCAAGTGATTGGTTACTTAAAATAATTAACTTTGAGATGTTATCGTGAAGTGGTTACCCCAACAAAACACATAATAAATAAACACAAAAATATCCAGTCATCGTTGCGAGGAAAAAGCGTCTCGGTGATGTAAATTTTAGCTTTGCAAGGAAATGCCTGGGGGATGTAAATTTTAGCGTTGCGAGGAAATGCCTCGATGATGTAATCAATCTTTAACGTTGCGAGGAAATACCTCGGTGATTACCAATCTTGTGTGAAGAATTAAGAACACTTACGTATTAGCATACAGAAACTTCATTCGTAACTTGTAAACAAAGGGTGTTATTCTGACTAAGTGAATTTTATGAAATCTCCTAGTAAATGTCTGTTACCTTGTGTTTGAACCAGTTAACGATTAATATCCTATCCTGATCGGTGAATTAACAAACAATAAAACAAAGTTACAGCACGTGTAGCGTCGGACGAAAATTAGCAATTTTTCCGATTAAAAAAGCCGCAAAAATTAGTTGCGCGTCTTGGGGAAAACTGTGACGTCATCGTTACGATTAATTTTCGTTACACAAAGGCTTTCTCCCTTTTATTAACTAATAACTACCAACTAATTTAACCTAGCTACCTTACAGCGTCTTTTTCACCATGCCGCTCTCTTGTTTACTACTACCGTCCTTTCATAACCACCCTAAAATCTCAAGCAGTCTACATACTATTCAAAGGCGCCAGCGTGCCATGGTTGCCTATGTTTAACGATTTTTTTAATTGAATTTTTTTTCTCAAATTCAAATTATTCAAATGTGATTTCGCGCCTCTGTTAAATAATTTCAGCGAAAATTTGATTCAAATTCGGTCAGCCCAAAGCATAAGTTTGTATTTTAATGTTGTTAAATTGTTGAATACATTATGTCTTTGATTTTTAAAATCTCCATTGTAAGTATGGTAGGAAATTGTTGCAGTAATTTTTTGACACTAGACTACGAAAAAGTAGGTTGCTTAATTAATAGTAATAATAATAATATTACTTTATTACGGAATATTCCCAAAAAAGTTCAACAACTTATCAGTTATACTACTAAACTAGTACTAAATCAAATGATAATAAACTGATTTATTGTTTTTGCTTTTTACATTTTGTTCAATGTCTTATGGTATGTTGAAATTGGTACTTACTTTAGATGAGACCGTGCCCAGAGTTGGCACCGTCCAAATATAGCATGTGTAAATCCAATATTTTACATTTGTATTTAATGCATCGTCATTGTTTAAGTATATTAAGATTAAAATAACAAATTGTAGTGACCAGATTTGAATTAAAATTTCGCGCTGGAGAAAAAACAACGGCGCGAAATCGCATTTGAATAATTTGAATTAAAAAAAAATTCAATCAAGGCAATCGTTAAACATAGGCAACCATGTGCACGTTTAGTTCTTTCTGGTAGCTGGTAGCTCTTCTAGAGATTTTTTTGTTGAGAGTATTGGTAGAAGTGGATTTAGTGGCTAGAGGGGAGAGAGGCGTCACTTTTGGTTTGTTTGTTATGCGTGAAACCACGTGGTGAGTTTGCTAGATACTGTGTAAATTGGAGTAATCCGTAACATGATTAATAAATAAATAAAATAAATAAAAAGGGGGGAGCCTTTGTTTAACGACAATTAATCGTAACGACGACGACGCCGCTACAGCTTCCTCAACACGGGTGGCTAATTCTTGCGGTTTTTCCAAGCTGAAATATGGAATTTTCGACCGACGCCAACACGTGGTGTAAATTTGATTTATTATTGTTTGTAAATTCACAGTTCATGTTCGGATTTTAATCGTTACTGGTTCTAACACAATTTAACACTGATGAGATTGTTCAGATAAAGCACTTGCTAGGAGATTTTATGAGATTCATTTAGCTAGGACTCATCTTTTGTTTATCAAGTTATAAATAATTGTTACATTATAACACTTCTTAATTCCTCACACAAGAATGCTAATAGTTCATTTACGACAGTTAAATTAACCTAACGTTGTCCCACTCTGGAAAAAAACCCTGAAAGTGCGGTAGAATTCATGATATCGTGAACTGAGGGACGGGGGCACTAATATTTTTCTCCCCTTAAGCAGCAATCATCTGTATTCTTGCGACGCGGGAAATTACACCATCGAGACGCAAATTCTCGCAACGCGGGATGCATTTTGTGTTTATTTATCATGTGTTTGTTTGGGATGCGCTGGGGACAGTCCATGGTAGAAACTCTCAAAGCTAATTGTTTTAAGTAAGCAGTCACTTTGATCAAGGCATAATTTAACATCATCTAGATTCTTTGTTTGAATCGTTGATAAAGTGTGGCATAATTTAATATCATGTAAATTCTTTGTTTGAATTGTTGACAGAGTGACATAAATTATGTGTTTCCATTTGATAACGCCAAATTCTGGAAATTTTAAATTTAACCAAAATAAATGCGTGGGGCGCACACGGGATGTGGGGTCGACTATGCGTGAAGGTTTATCCGTAATTCCAGATTTCCGCTACCGTGGACATTTTTTGGTTATCCATGGGGGTTTCTGTACATTTAGTTAGGTAATAGTAATTCATTAATTTCCGGCATAGTAGGTGTGTATACTAGTGCTCAAATAGTGTTATTTTTTCTGAATCACTTCGTGTACACTAGCTTGTTTTGATATATTTTTTTATAAGTGTTATGACTAAATCGTCACTATAAAAAATAACCTTGATTCATTGTATGATGTGTTGTATAAGTTGGCATCAACTGTCACTTTCACTGTAGTTAACCTAAAAAACCGTAACCTCTATCCATATTTTGGCATATTTGTGTTAACAGTTTTTAATAGAGCAGTAAGTAAGAAAAAATTCAGATAATTTTTAATAGTAAGATGGTGACGAAATAATTAATTGTAGGCGAACTGAAATGTCACCTGTGGAAGACTCCAAAGGGTTCTCACGTACGACTTTTAACTGTGAAATGGCCACTATTGAAAATTACTACTGTAAATATTGCAACTTCCACACGGAACTGACAATTCTTTTCAAACAGCACCTAGATGAATGTCACAGCGATAAAACTAATCACAGAGATTTATTAATTGGAGAATATGGCATCAAAACATACACTTGTGAAAAGTGTAACTTCAAAACACATTTTTTTATGAAGTGGCGTCAGCATGGTACACAATGTTTAGCAATGAAAGAAATTCCTCAGATTTACAAATGTGATAAATGTGAGTGCATATATAAAAAAAAATGGTCTCTGAAAGAACATAAAATTTCCAAACATCTTAATGATGATGAAATACTGTGGTACCAGTGCAACCAGTGCCCATACAAAGCTAAACACAAACGACATTTAAAAAAACACATAAACGCACGCCATTTGAATGAAAGAGATATTAAATGGTACGAATGCAAAAAATGTGCATACAAAGCTAAACAATCAACCCAATTAAAGCAGCACACAATTGTCCACCATTCAAATAAACAAGATATTGAATGGCATCATTGTGTAAAGTGTCCATATAAAACTAAACATCAATCTTCATTAACATTTCATATAAATTCACACCATTTGGATCAAGAGAATAATAAATGGTGGGAATGTAAAAAGTGGCCGAATAAAAATAATTACAATTCACATTTGAATAAACGTAATTTAGATGAACATGACATTAAGTGGCTCCAATGTAAAAAGTGTCCATTCAAAACTAAACACCAATATTCTTTAAAAGTTCATATAAACTCGCAGCATTTAGATGATGAGAATATCAAATGGTATAAATGTGAAAAGTGCCCATATAAAGCTAAACACAAATCATGTGTAAAACGTCACATAATTCAGCACCATTTGAATGAACAAGACATTAAATGGTATGAATGTGAAAAATGTTCATACAAAGCTAAAAGAAGCACTCGTTTAAAAGAACACATAAATCTTCATCATTTGGAAGAACATGATATAAAATGGTACAAATGTAAATTGTGCGCATTCGAAACTAAGCATTATAGATCTTTAAGTAGGCACGTACAAACACACCACTTGGATGGACAGGATATTAAATGGTATGAATGTAAAAAATGCCCATATAAAGGCAAACTAAATTCTGATTTAAAAGATCATATAATTGCGCAACATTTGAGTGAACAAGAGATCAAATGGTATGTGTGTAAAATGTGTTCATTCAAAAGTAAATGGAAATCGTGTCTAAAGAGGCACGTCACTGGCCGGCATTAGAGTGGAGACGGAATTTTAAACGTGTTGTTTCCAAACCTTTAACTCTCCATCTAATGCATCTATGTGTTGATGGTACACATTAAATTATCATTAAAAAAATTAATATGATAAGACTGAACATTTTTTTGAATATAGTTTATTCTGATTTTAGATAAGTACCAAATTATTTTATATATGACATTTTGTTTCATTATTACTACTATTATTATTGATATATTATCTGTACTACTTTTTGTTACTAATAAAAGATAAAAAAATGTCGTCGTCCCCTAAAAAACATGATTACCTACTAATATCAAATACCTTACCTTTTCATAAAAATATGTCAGGATTTTCGTCAAATTTCTTGACTTTTTTCCTTTTTGCTTCACGAGCGTAAGCAGCACTCAATTTTTTAATTTCTCAGTTTTTGAATATTTCAGTTTTGGGATTTTTTTAGTTTTTCTTTCATTTTTCAGTTTTAAGATTTTTCAATATTTCTGTTCTTCGACTTTTCCATTTTTGACTTCTGGATTTTTCAATGTGTTGACTTTTTACGTTTTCGATTTTTAAATTTTAGATTTCACAATTTTTGGGTATTTTAATTTTTCAATATTTAAAATTTAAGATTTTTCGATTTTTCATTTCAGCTCTTCCATGTTTCAATTTTTCAAATGTTTCGATTTTTTGACTTCCCGGTTTTGGATTTTCTGTTTTTCGATTTTTAAAATTTAGATTTTTCAGTTTTTTTGATATTTTAATTTTTTAATATTTAAAATTTTAGATTTCTCGATTTTTCATTTCAGTTCTTCGATATTTCCGTTTTTCATGTTTTCGAATTTTTCAAATATTTTGATTTCTTAATCTATCGATTTTTCGACTTCCCAGTTTTAGATTTTCTGTTTTTCAATAAAACTGTCGTTTTTTCAAATTTTCGATTTTTCAATTTTTCAAATTAGCCATTTATAAACTGTCAATTTTTCGATTTTACAATTAATCGATGTTTTGATTTTCCCAATTTTTGACTTTTCGAGGGTTTCCTGTTCTTCAATTCTTTAATTTTTCGATTTTTCATTTTTTAGTTTTTTTAAGGTTTGGATTTTTCGACTTCACTTTTTGGATTTTTCGATTTTTCAATATTTCGATTCTTCGACTTTTCGATTTTTGACTCCTGGATTTTTCGGTGTGTCGATTATTTTACTTTTTCGATTTTTCAATTTTTCGATTTTTAAATTTTATATTTTCAAATTTTTAAAATTTTAGATTTTTAGATTTCTCAATTTTTCAGTTCAGTTCTTCGATATTTGAATTTTTCAAGTTTTCGAAATTTTCAAATGTTCCGATTTCTTAAGCTTTTGATTTTTCAACCGGTTTTACATTTTCTGTTTTTCAATTGTCATTTTGTCAATTTTTCTATTTTTTAATTTTTCAAATTTGACTTTCATAAAGTCTCAATTTTTCGATTTTTCAATTAATCGATGTTTTGATTTTCCCATTTCTTAACCTTCGAGTGTTTCGATTTTCCTGTTCTTTAATTCTTTAATTTTTTGATTTTTCAGGTGTTTGATTTTTTAAGGTTTCTATTTTTCGACTTCACTTTTTTGATTTTTCGATTTTTCAGTTTTTCGATATTTCAGTTTTAGGATTTATCAATATTTCTACCTTTTTACTTTTTCGATTTTTCAATTTTTGGATTTTTAAATTTTAGATTTTTCAATCTTTTGATATTTTAATTTTTCCATATTTCTTAATCTTTCGATTTTTCGACTTCCTAGTTTTAGATGTTCTGTTTTTCGATTTGTTAATTTTTCATACCCGATTTTTCGAGATTTGATTGTTCAAATTTTCGATTTATCAGTTTATTAATTTTTTATTTTGGCCTATTTCGGTTTCTCAGTTTTTTCAGTTTTCCATTTTTTCGTTTTTTGATTTCTCCGCTTTTACAATTTTTCAACTTTTAACTTTTTGTTTGTCGATTTCTCTATTTTTCGATTTTTCGACTTCATCACTTTTCGATTTCCCGTCCTTTTGAGCTTTCAATCTTTCAATTTTTCGAATTTTTAAGTTTTTTGATTTCTCGATTTATCGGGATTTGGATTTTTAGATATTTTGATTGTCAATTTCTCAATTTATAAATTGTTCAATTTTTAACTTTTCGGTTTTTCGATTTTGACCTATTTCGACTTTTCGACTCCACGATTTCTTGATCTTTCGATTTCTCGATTTTTCGTTATTCGGTTTTTAAATTTTAGATTTTTGAATTTTACATTTTTTCGATTTTCAGTTCTTCGATATTTCGATTTTTCAATGTTTCAGTTTTACGATTTTTTAAGGTTTCGATTTTTCGATTATCAGATTTCTCGAGTTTTCAATTATTTTAATTTTTCATTTTTTTTCTGACTGTTAATATCATACAGTGTAAAAATTCATACAAAATAGAACATTGTGTTTCCAAAACATTTTCCCGAAAAAAATCCATTGGGTTATTACGATTTCAACAATATTCTTAGTTTATGACGTTTTGCTAGTATAAAACACAAATAATTAAAGAATTAATTCTTAGTTAAACAAAATATGTAAAATCATGTAAATATGTACCAAAAATATTCACTTAGTCGTTATAAAACCGACCAAACCATTTCCCGCAGAAATTATAGTCCAAACCAACCAAATCGCTTCTGAACGCTTAGAGTCGACATTGACCTGAGCGAGCTCTGGTCTGTAGATCAAACAAGTTCTCAGGCGACGAGTTGTAGTGAAACAAGTTTTTTTATTGGCATCGACTATTTAAATTTGGCGGTTGAGGACTCTAATGTCAATAAGGGTGGTTTTTCAAAATCAGCCTGTATGTCGCAACTATATTAATCTATGTTTTGACGTTATTGCCGGCATGGTAAAGTTTTAATTAAAATATATCTCTTTATCCCCCCAAAAAATAGATGACGTCATCTCAATTTCTTAAATTTTGCCAATACGATGAGTTTATACTTGTGATTTATCATTTCATTAACATTTTTTATACTGAACGTGAATAGATTAATTTATCTTTTCTGAAATCGTCTGATTTTGATCAATTACTCAAACATTTTGGAGGTGGAAAATTGAACTTTCCGGACTAGTCATGTAAAGAAAAGCTGTCAAAATTTCAATTTTTGATTTGTTTATTTTTAACATTAAAACGTAACATTTAAGTTAATAGTTGTATTTTGAACATTTGAAACATTGGTAATAATAGGTAATCGAGGAAGATGAATTCAAAACATAAATGATTCTTCTGTTGTTCTTCTTTGTATTTTTAAACGAAATGTTTGCATTTTTATTGCTACCTCTTTAAAATATTTCAGGTTGAACAGTCAGGTCAAAATAGCAGGTACTTAATGCTTGTATGATTGTTCATTTTTCCTAACTATTCAGCATTTACTGTACTGTGAATGATAGTATGGTGTATAATGTATTGCATAACATTCCTAGTTTTTAAAACAGTGCAGTATGTTTAGTTCTTTAGTTCAAATTTATTTTTTAGTTGTTCACTTGCACATGAATATGTTGAAAACTGCTACTATCGGAGTTACAATATTAATTACAAATTAATAACAGATGTCTGACTCTAACGTACGCCAATGAATAACGTACATCCCTTGAATTTAAAAGTGGACTGTCTCCTTCGCATCTTCGCAATTTTGTCATCTGCGCATATTGAGTGCTGCGCATGTTTGTTGTTTAAGAAAGTTGTGACAAGAGACAAGTTTAGGTTAGAATTCTAATGTAAGGTAATCATTTGTATTTGTTTTGTAGTAAAAAATAGTAACGACGTAATTTTAGGCAAATTGAATTGTCAACTCAGAAGGACTCCAAACTGTGTTCACATTGTTCTTACGTATAGTGGGATTTTTATGGTTTTTAATAAGACAGTAAGTCAGAAAAACGTAAATTTAGTGTTCAAGTAAACTGATAATAAAATAATTGTAGGTTAACAAAAATGTCTACTGTAGGGGACTCCAACGCGTTTCCACGTGTGACATTTTCCTTGAAAAATCGATTACTTCTACATATTATTAATCATTTTGAACGACGTCGTTCACTGAGCTACCCTTTTGACTGTGAGACGGCTAATATTGAAAATTATTACTGCAATTATTGCAATTTTGAAACCGAACTGGTACTTGTTTTCAAACAGCACCTAGAGGAGCATCATAGCGTTAAAAAGAGCCACAGAGATGTGTTAATTGGAAAACACCGTATCCGAACATATGTTTGTGAAAAATGTAGCTTTGAAACAAACTTTTTGATGAAGTGGCGTCAACATACTAAACAATGTATAGAAAAGGAAAAAAGTCTTCAAATGTACAGATGTGATGAGTGTGGAAGCATGTATAAACAGAAACCGTCTTTAAAGGAACATACAATTTTGAAACACCTTAATGATGATGAAATACAATGGTACAACTGCGCCAACTGCCCATACAAAGCTAAACCCATTATTGTGACAATGGATAGTAGTGAAAGTGAGCCACCAGAAACTGAGAAAAGTCACAACAAACTTGAGTAAGTAATGTTGATTTTTTGTAGATATTTGCAACTTTGATTAGGCCTGGTTGTACAATCGCTGGTCAAAAGTGCTGGTCAGCCAACTAGTAGTTACAGTTAACTAATAGTTAAATCAGTAATGCGTCTTTCAGGGCCGGTTTATCAATGCGCAGTTAAGTTAAAGTAACTGGCAGTTAAAGCTTGTGTGTGAGTTAACCTGTTTATCATTACCCGCTAGCTCAAAACTGGTGGTCAAAGTGCCTGATAAATTAACTGACAGTTCAAACCACGGTGGTATAAGTAAGGTGTTTCAACTCCATTCATAAATTTTCATAAAACGGGCGCTTAAAAACTGGTATCGTAGTAGGTTGTGGGAGCTTAAGATGACCGCCACCATGTGGTAGTTAATTGTACTATTTACACTATCGACTGACGTTTGACATGACATTTGACGTATATTTCCCCTCATTTTTCAAAAAGATGTCACAAAACCTAACCTATAAAGCTGACATTTGTGACAACTTGCATTGAAGGACATTTTTACGCAAATTTCATTCATTATTGTGGACAGTTTCATCATAGTATCCAGTAGACGGCGCTAGGAACTTTAAGCTCCCGTGGCCTTCTGGGATCTCTTCGAAAAAAGACCATTTTAAACTCGGAGTTCGCAGACCTGTTATATATGGCCGTGGTTCAAACTGTCAGTTAAGGCGTTATCCACCAGTTAGTGGCAACATAACCTAACAAATCCAAATAAATCTGTTACGAATTTAACAATATTTTGATGAGGATTATGTTGTGGAACAAATTGACAGAGAAAAGATGAGAAAAACACTCGTTATTAGCTGATTATTTTCCAGGTCTAATGTAGGTACCAAAAATTAAAAACCTATCTAATAATACCGCGAGATCGAAAAAGAAATTAATCGAAGTAGGCCATGCACGACAAGCCGTTTATCGTAATCACGGTGGTAGGGTAATTTATTTTTTTTATTAAATGTCAAATTGTACAGTTTAAAATTAGAATTATGACGCCTACTTTTAAAACACATAAGAATGAATTAAAATCACCGTTTTCCAATTTTGTCTAAAATTTATCCCATTTCTTTTTCGATCTCTGTATTTATTTATAGGTGTACCTACTTGTTTAATTTTTAATATCCAATACTTTTTTTCTAATGCTAAATTTTGCTTTTTCATTGTTGATCACGTGAAACGCGATATACAATCGTTGAATACCGAATGCGGATCGAATCTGATGGAACTTTCAAGGTCGGGGTAGTTTTGAACTGACCAATCACAACTCATTTCCAGTGGGGTGAGCGTTACCAACTTAAGAGAGTAACAGCTAAACTTCGAGCTACGGAACTGGAAGAAACATCGTGCATTGATAAACATTTTACCTCCGTTAACTGCTAGTTACCCTTACATGACAGTTACTTAACAGACACTTTTAACTGAGCATTGATAAACCGGCCCTCAATCCCGTTCCAACTGTTGGTTGGGGAACTAGAAGTTAATATTAAATTTCCTTTCGTTGGTACTAAACACTGTACTTGTAAGCATGCGCGGCCAGTCAGCTGTTCGCTCGCATTGTCAATCTGTGTTGTCACATTTTGTTGACGTTTTGAATACACGCATTATATTAGTTCCTTGGTTTTTTTTATATTGTGATTGAAAATTGCAATAACATTTTCTTTTCATAAAGTTATTGAGTATACTGTCTACAAAGGTATGTAACAATCAAATAGCACTATATTAATTGTTTTAACAATATTTTATAATGTACAAAGTATTTGATTACCTATATAATAATTGTAGAATGGATAAAAAAGACAGAAGTAAGCGAAGCGCAAATTTTTCGAAAGAAGACGAAAGTTTACTTATCGATATAATAGCAGAAAATAAAGACGTCATAGAGAATAAGCAATCTGGGGCTCAGCACTGGAAAGATAAAGAAAAGGCATGGGAAAAAGTGACCGATTTGTACAATGCCAATAGTACTAGTGGAGCTAGATCTACAAAAACATTGAGGAACAAATATAACAATTTAAAGAAAAAAACTAAAGAAAAACATTCAAAAATTATTTTGAGCTTTAGAAAAACTGGTGGAGGAGATAGCGAAGAAAAAGAGCTGAATCCAGTAGAAGCAAAAGTTAAAAAGTTAATGGGTGTTCAAGTTGAAGGGCTTCCCAGTAGTTATGACTGTGATAATAAAATAGGTATATATATATATAAATATATATAATTAGTCGTGAAATAATATTTTTTATCTTCACTTTTTAGTTCATAACCCCCCTAGTATTGAGGAATATGTGATGGCAGAATATGAACAGATTGTCCCAGGACCTTCGGGAAGTAATCGACAAGAAGGCGTGGAGGAAATAGAGACGGACTGGACTGCATATTGTCCAAAAAAACTCTCTCAACAAACTTCCAAAAAATTAAGAGGGAAAAGTAGATGTAAGTTGCATTGTTTTTAAAGTCCACAAAATGAGTTCTGTTAATTTTTCAGTTGGAGTTGACCAAGGAAAAAAAGGTTATTCTATTTCTGTCATTGAGGCGAAACTTGAGTTCATCAAGCTGCAAAAACAAAAGTTGTTGGACGAACATCAGTTAAAAATGGCGATATTGAAAATGGAGTTGAGATTGAAGCAAAGACAATTGCGTAATTTTAAGCAATAAAACAAAAATTCAATCACTAGAGTAGTTTTATTATGAACATCAAGTACAACACTAAACAATTAAAAAAACGTTAAGCAAATCATGTGAAACATTAAAATAAAAACAATTAAAAAGTTATATACAGTGCAAATGTAAATTAATACTACATATTAACATTTTATGAACGTGCAAAATAGTTATTTATTAAATTCAAACGAGATTGGTTGTTTAAATTGTAATTTAAACCAACCGCCTGTGCAGCTAATAATTCTTCATCAACATTGTTTACTAGAAAATTCTACTCTTTTAAAAACATATTTCATATCGTAATTTCTAGAAATGAGCCCACGATGAATAAGAAATTCATCACAATTGAGAAGGGGTGGGTGGGTGGTGCTTATATTTTGCCCATTTTTTCTTAATATCCGAAGTTTTTTTTTCCCAACATGAAACTGAAAATATGTTAACTACTGTTATTGAAATGCATAAAATTCTATATTAAAAGAAACAAAGATTAAACAAGAAAAGACGACTATCAATATTACGAAAAAGGGCAAAATATAAGGCCCGCCCACCCACTCTATCTCTATTCTGATGATTTTTTCATTCCTAATCAGACCGAGGGGCGAAGTTTAATTGCAACATCAAAATTTTTCTAGAAAATTCTACCTTTTTAACAACATATTTCATATCGTAATTTCCAGAAATGAGCCCACGATGAATAGGAAATTCATCACAATCGAGAAGGGGTGGGTGGGTGGGGCTTATATTTTGCCCATTTTTTCTAAATATACGAAGTTTTTTTTCCCAACAAGAAACTGAAATCATGTCAACTATCATCCTGTTATTATAAAATATAAGGCCCGCCCACCCACCCTTTGTCACTTCTGATGATTTTTTCATTCCTAATGAGACCGAGGGGCGAAGTTTAATTGTAAAATCAAAATTTTTCTAGAAAATTCTACTTTTTTAAAATATATTTCATATCGTAATTTCTAAAAATGAGCCCACGATGAATAAAAAATTCATCAGAATTGAGAAAGGGTGGGTGGGTGGGGCTTATATTTTGTCCATTTTTTCTTAATATACAAAGTTTTTTTCCAACAAGAAACTGAAAACATATTAACTATCATACTGTTATTGAAATAAAACTATACTAAAAAAAAAACAAGGATTAAACAAGAATAGACGACTACCTATATTAAGAAAAAGGGCAAAATATATTTCATATTTGTCATTTGACAAAGTACGTTTTAACTTAGCCCCGCGCATCCGCCCTCTATTTTCTCAAAGGGTATGGCGTCTGCCAAAATCAGTCTTATCTTTGCAAGTACTAGCCCCGCCCACCCGCCCTCTAGTTCCTCAGAGGGTACAGCGTCTGCCAAAATCAATTTTATCTGAGTAAGAGCTACCCATATAGTATATTAAGTATTAAGAACGGTAAGGGGTGTTTACTGGTCGAAGGCAAAAGTTTGGAGACGGAGCGAAGCGACGTCTCCAATTTGTCTGAGACCAGTAAACCCCCTTAACGTTCGTGATGCTTATACTATTTTTTGTACGACCATCAAAAGATTTGCGTCTTTTTATCAAATTCATAAATTCAAAGAATTTATATCAAACATCAACAAGGTCGTTTTTTAACTAATTTAAAATTTGTTACTATGGTTTCGATTAATATAAACAACAATTTTAAAAATCAGTTTCCATTTTGACAGCTGTCGATTTAGATTTGATCTGGGTTGATTTCGAGTTAATTTTCTTTCCGCGACTATTGGTGAGTGATTTATTTGATTAAAATATCAATCATGAATGATTCTGAAAGCGAAAATGTCGAAGTCGAACACGCATAGAATTTAAAATAAAAAAAATCTTGAATGTATGATTACTTACCGTTCGCTTCTTAGTTGTTAGTCGTAGCAACCCGTAAACTGAACTTACTGCTATGGAAACCTATACGGTAAATGATCTAAAAAGCGATGGTCGTACAAAAATATTTTTCCACTAGTAGCATTACAATGGCTAATTGTCGACTTGTCTAGAGGTCTGTAATTTGGAAAATTGTGAACCTTGGTCAATAATGTAAACGTGAAGTTGGCCACCTAATGTGACAACTGTCCACAACTGTCAGAAAAACTGAGACATAACCTGAAAACGATCATTTTGGAAAATTTGCTTTTAAATTATGCCCTGGAATGATTTCCAAACCCTGAATTGATTATAAATTGAGGATAAATTGGTGAAACTAAGTTGATGAAGTTGATGGGAATGAAAATGAAGTTTACGGGACTGAAACTGAATCATGATTCCGATTTGGTTTGACTTGATTTGCCGTAGATGAGCTTTGGACGATTTCGGCGATTTTTTTTTATTGAAGATCGAGCCGTCGTTGTATCCTTCTGCTATGCTGGAGGATTTCCATTCCCCGTGTCGCTTTAACGATAAAAGGTCCATACCTTTTTCAGCCAAATTTGTCGCGGTCGCGTAAGTACGACGGAATGAGGAGGGGTACATGATGGTTCACTTTACAACATTTTTCACACAAAAATTTATTAAAAACGGGAAATATGGAGGAAATTAAAACAAAAGTTCTGGACCATTTCTGGATTGTCAAAAAATAATAAAATTCCAAAGCTTACTAAAATGACGTGAGTACACGTTTTTATTGATGCACTTCAGAAAAAACATTTTGAAAATTCGCAAACCTCAAATGGGCTACTAGTGGAAAAAATAGTATATTAACCACGTTTGTGAAGCCAATTCTAGACCTCGCGCTTTAGAGCCCTCGACGCTGCGCGTCTCAGGTTCTAATTTGCGCTCGGTCTAGAATGTCTGTCTTCACAACCTTAGTTAATAATATACTATTACAGCCCTGGTTGTGTTCATACCGCCATGTATTTTAAACATTTTAAACTATTATAAGTTGAAATGAAAGCCAAAATTGATTCAGGTAAATTTTCACTTACAATTGCTGCTTCCTCAGTAATATAGCTTGCGCCACACTCATTTCAATACATCGAAAACGATAAATCGAAAAATCTAAACGACAGGACTAGACAACACAGTAAATGCTATGACAAGTACCATGCTGTCGTGCGCTTCCAAGGCAATACGTCTAAAGCTCATACGATGTTTCTTCAAATATTGGACCTTCTAGAGGTTTTAATAATTTATAATAGTTATTCACAAGCGAGAAACAAATAAAATATTGAACAATACACGCAAGGTAACGGGTTTTTACTGGCTCCAGAAGGTGACTGGCTCGACTGTTAAATACTATTACGGTCCTACTTGCTGTCGACTTGTGTACACCACAAAAGCCACCAGCTACACTTAAAAACGGTTGCTAAAAACCTTAGGGTCAGAAGTACCTGGTTTTCGGCTGATAAACAGTCATTCCTATTAAACAAAAAGGATATTAATATTTTGACTTGTTAAAAATTAATGTTTACAAAATTACCTTTCAGTAGGATGTGTAATTAATTCCTCTATTTCCTCTATCAAATTTTCCGTCGTTCTTTTCTATAATCGGAATCTTGCAATGAAGTCTGTTTCATCGCATTCTTCAAAATGATTTGGTTGATTCCGTATTATTTTTGGCCGTCTGGGAAATTGTTCTTCGTCACTACTATATGCATTAATGTCAAAATCCATAAGGTAATCCATTACAAGTATAAAAGTAAAGAAGATACTCCAAGACAAATTGCACACAGAATTTAAAAGCACAGAACAGTTTAAAAGGTTATGACTGTTGCGACGAAATTCCGGAGGTCCGGTGACGGTCCGGAATCTCGCCGATAACGTATGGGGTGGCGGCGTACTTGGGTGCCAAGCTTTGGATCGACTAGTATCGCTGATGTCAGAAACACGTCTGGTCGACCAAGCTTATGCGGCTACCTTCACGCCGCCGGGAGTGGCGCCTTCGGTCAGGAGCGGCGGTCGCTCGGGCGCCAGCTCCCTCTCCGGGGAAGGGAGCGCCGGGGTGCTCTAAAACCGGAGACACGGAATTCAGGTGGTGAGCTGCCGCGAAAACTCGAGAGTAATTAATAAAACGGTAAGGATATTTTATAACAAAAATAGGGTTTATTCCCTGCCACCAGCTACACGGTCTAAGATAATAAAACTTACGGCTAAACAACTTAAATAACTAACAATTCGATTTTACAAACAAAAAGAATTAAATGCCCGGCACGGTCGAAGTGGTGGTCAAGGGAACTAGTAGTTAACTTCATAACCAAGCTTTGTAAAACTCAGTCAAAAATTTAACTTGAAGTTAACTCGAACTTGATAGTTAACTATACATTGTAAAACCGAGCCTTAGAGAATTTGATAATAAAGTTTTTCTAATATAGAAATTAACAAATAATATCCTTTATAGGAGTACCTAAAAATAAACTATTTAATAAAATGTGTTCGTATAAATTCTTTGTAGTAGAAATATATCAATTTTATTAATATTTACATTTATTTGTTAATTTCCATGTTGGAAAGTTAATAATAATAATAATAATATAACCTTTATTGCCAAAATACATAGTATATAACAGGCAATTTCTAATATACATGCGAACAAAAATAAAAATTAATTTAGAAAAGACAGAACTAATTTAGAAAGACAGATATAACAAAAAGAAAAAAAAATACCGTAACAAAATTTCGCAAAAATAATTTAGGATACATCATTCTACAATGAAAGCAAATACCGTCTAAGGGTTTTGGAACTACAGTGAAACAGGTCTAAATCTTCGGATATAGCGTTGATATACCTAGCAATACGGACAAATGGAGAATTATAACCGTAGTGTGTACGATGAACACCGATGGCTACAATTTCATGTATTCGAGTATTGTAGGAAGGAACTCTCAAGGTAAACATATTTACAATTTTGGGGCAGTCAATTTTGCTATGTAAAGCTTTGTGTCCAAAAGTTATAACTTGATACTGACGACGTGTTTCGAGTGATTGAAGACCAATTAACTTCAGTCTCTCGCAGTACGTATAATTATTTTTGCTAATCTTCAATTTAAATAAAATAAAGTTTACTATTTTCTTCTGAACTTTTTCGATCCTATCAATATGTATTTTATAGAAGGGATTCCAAATTATGCTACAATACTCGAGAACTGGCCTCACCAACGTAGAAAATAATTTAATAATTACTATTATATTGTTAAAATTTTTGCAGTGCCTCTTAACAAAACCACATAAGCGAAAACTCTTACTTAAAATATTGTCAATGTGGACGCTGAAATTTAATTTAGAATCTAGTGTAACACCAAGGTCTAAAACTGTGTCGGTTTTCGACAATACGTTATTATTGATATGATATGAAGTATCAATTGGTACACTGCTTTTTGTAAATGAAATGGTTTTACACTTATCTATATTAGGGCTCATGGAATTTTTACACCATTCCCAAAAAGAATCTATATCGTGCTGAATTTTTAGAGTATCGTTAACATCAGTAACTTTCATAAATAATTTTAAATCATCAGCGAAAAGAAGGTATTTGCAATGAGAAAAGCACTTTGTGATGTCGTTAACAAACAAAAGGAAAAGCACTGGACCGAGATGACTGCCTTGCGGTACTCTTGAGGTTACATTAATAACTTTAATTGACTACCTGCGTTCTGTGCGTTAAATAAGATCTGATCCAAGATAAAATACTTCCAATCACGCCATAGTATTTTAATTTATTGAAAATAAGTTGTAAATCAACACGGTCAAAAGCCTTGGAGAAGTCAGTATAAATGGCATCGACTTGATATCCTCGTTCCATTGAGTTGTTGATATAATTAGTATACTCAAATAGGTTAGTTACTGTACTACGATTAGGTAAAAAGCCATGTTGGTGGATGGAAATATTATTTTTAAATGTTGAGATTAAGTGGTCAGAAACAATAGAATCCAGAACTTTAGATAAAGAGCACAAAGAAGCAATAGGTCTGTAATTTTTAACTTCATTTTTGGAGCCAGATTTATGCAATGGGATAATAAATGAGGATTTCCACTGTTCAGAGCATGTGCCAGAATCGAGAGAAAGTTGAAAAAGAAGGGTAATTGGCCAAGTAAGAGTTGGACTGCAATATTTTATAAAGAAGGCAGGAATACCATCTGGACCGGGATTTAAGTTATTTTTCAAATTGGATAATTTGTGAAATACAATGTCGTTTGAAATTTTAATTGAGCCAAGAGTATTATTACTGTGGAATACATCTAAATTAGGGACGTCTATATTTTAGTTTTGATGGTTTGTATATATACTCTGAAAAAAATCAGCAAACATATTACAAATAATTTGAGGGTTGTTCGAATTTTCTTGATTGTGTACCATCCAGTTTGGCATTCCAAAGTTTTTTCGTAATGAATTGACATAGGTCCAAAAATATTTAGGGTTGGTATTGATATTGTTTTTGGTGTAAGATATAAATTTCTTGTAGTCTTCATGAATTAAACTTTTAACAGAATTTCTGATTTCCTTGAATTTATTAAAGTATCCTATATCATGGCTTAGTCTATTTTTTTTTTCTTTATAAGTAATTTAGTGCCTTTGGAGAACCAATTTGGAAATTTATTATTAGCAACAACAGATTTAGGGATAAAGATTTCAATAGCCGTTCTTAGTTGAAAACAAACTATACAATTTATAGTAGAAAAGTAGTCATTAATTTCATCATCGAGCATCAAGTTGCTCGTCAACATTCCAAAATTAAAATATTTTTATGAAATCGTAACAAGTAAGCATGAATATTAATAAAAATAATAGTATCCTACTACCATAAAGCTTGACAAACCCATTTTAAGAAATAACTCTTTTCCATTACATTGTGGCGGCACAATAATACGTAGTAGTAAGCGAGGAAAGATAAGCTCCTCCGTAGTCTAGTGGTAAGGGCACCCGCCCGGCAAGCGGTAAACGTGGACTTCGATTCCCACCGGAGAAGCAACATTTTTCTTCGCTTACCTACAACATTATATATGTATATGCATATGTTTGTAAAAAAAAACTTACATTTTTACATAAATTTGTAATTATGCTTTTCTTTTTTTGTTAATAAAAACAGAAAGAAGTATGATGCAGGGGAACTCGATAATGAACAAGAGCTGCCTGAAATAACACTGAAAAAAAGTAAAAATGCTGAAAATTGTAAAAGATATAGAGAACGGAATAAAACAAAGGCACTTCAGTTTTCGGCATTGAATAATGAACAAGAAAAGCCGTCAGAAATTACATTGAAGAAAAAGAAAAATGCTGAAAGATGTAAAAAATATAGAGAACGGAAGAAAGCAGAGGCACTACAGTTTTCGGCATTGAATAATGAACAAGAAGAGCCATCAGAAATTACATTGAAGAAAGAGCAAAATGCTGAGAAAAGTAGAAGATACAGAGAACAGAAAAAAACACAACGAATGCAGAAATTGTTATCGGCGACGAATAATAATTCTCAAATGCTGTCAGTGAGCCAACCGGAATCCATGCTTATTCAACTAAATGAGTCATCTTTTGTACCGGTACAGCCGTCTGCAGCGTCAATTAGACACATTAAATTACGCCAAGAAAACACCGCAAATTTTAAGGAAGATATTATTAGCGGTAGTGAATTGTGTGGAGAACATATTAATAACTTTCAAGATATAATTGCAAATCGATTCTTAAATTTCAGACCACTCGATGTTCGTCTAAATGCCTTGCCACAATTTATTCGACCAATATGTCATTTACATAAGCATATCCAAATAATAAGTGGTGTTTCTAGACAACTGTGTCAAATAACCCACTGGATTTGCACTTACTATGATGGAAATGTTATCAATATATATGATAGTTTAAATATGGAGAGTTTGTATCCAGAAATGGAAATTTTTTTGAATCAGTTGTTTCCGCACAAACCACAACACAAATTTCATAAAGTTAGACAGCAACCCAATAATACAGACTGCGCAGTTTACGCTATTGCGTTTGCTACATCGTTACTCCATAACCGGGACCCATCAAAAGAAAACTACGATCATCCAAAAATGCGGTCTCATTTACTCGACATTTATAACACCACCGAGCTGCTACCATTTCCGATTGAACCATCTGCAGATGCATTACGTAAGAGAAAAGTGAACAAAGTAACATTTCAACATAAAGAACATTCTGCAGCGGCGTTGCATATGAGAAAAGTAAGGGCGCAGAAAAAATTGGAAGATCACCAACTTTTACAGGTATAACATAAACATTTTAATAAACATTAATTTAATCATTTTACCAATTTCTTAAATATTATTGGAGTTTTAACTCTTTTCTTTTCGTATTATAGAACACGTATACGATGCGCGCCGGAATAGGATGTTGAGTGCGAGCTACGAGCTAACGTTTTTCCGTACCGACACCATGTGACACCTCGCTATAGAAAGAGAGAGAAAATAGATAAACTGGTGTGAATGTAATCATAGAAAGCATATTATGTCTTAACCTCCTTTTTACAACATAGTTTGCTTTTTACTTTAGTTAGTAAATTACACATTGTACTTTAATTTTTTTTTATACAATATTATAATAATTAATTGTGATATTTCTATATGATAAATAAATAAATCAATGCATATCATTACTTGGTCTTAGTACCCGTAATGATAGAAGTCTTGCCTGAATGCCGGTCATTTCCGGGTCAGTGGTGGGTCTTAATAAAAACGTATATTTTATAATAAAAAACAATTGACAATACATGGATATTTAGTTTAATTAACCCAATCATCATTTTGTCAAAAAATACAAATGCAACATATTTTAGCAGAAGTTTATATTGTGGTGACCGAATTTGGATTAAAATTTCGCGCTGAAAAAAAAAACAGTGGTGCGAAATCGCATTTAAATAATCTGAATTTGAAAAAAAATCAATCGAGAAAATCGTTAAACATAGGCAAGCGTGTGCACGTACTTTTCTGGTAATTGGTAACTCTCCTAGGGACTTTCTATTGAGAGGGTTGGTAAAAGTTGATTTGGTGGCTAGAGGGTCGTTACACGTCTTTTTTGGTTTATTTTGTGTGAGTGAAACTATGTGGTTAAGCTAGGTTAAGTCCAGTTGGTTTGGTAGTTAATAAAAAAGGGAGAGCCTCTGTTTAACGAAAATTAATCGTACCGATACAGTTTCCCCAACACGCGTAGCTAATTCTTGCCGTTTTTCCAAGCGGAAATATGCGAATTTTCTACCGGCGCTAACAAGTGGTGTAAATTTGTTTTATTGTTTGTAAATTCACAGTTCATGTTAGGAGTTTAATCGTTAACTGTGTAACGGGCGATAAATTACTTATTTTTGGAGATGTCAATATGAATCAGAAGTTTATAATTTCACCGTTAAATATTGGCACCGTTTTACTGGACAATGTCTTTGTCCAGTTTTATAGTTTCATGGTTTAAATTTGTTAACATTATCAAAAAGCACATTTAGTCAACTAAAATCTTCATATTAAAGTTAATCAAGCCTAATTTAGTGGAAACAAATACTTTTACGACACCCCAAATAGACAGGTAACTAGTAAACAACTCCTTTATCACTTATAAAAGGCCAAAGCCCTCTAACCAGTTGCCAGATAGTGTGTGTTTGTGTTCTTACACAAGGGGTAAGTGTTGATATCTTCAAAAATGTGCATGATTTCATAAAATGTTTAAATTTTTGTATTTTGTTAATATTTTTAAGTTCAGTTTAATTTTGATGATAAGTCGCCCTTTGTATTCTCGAATGGATAACGTTTTGAGTTTTATATTTTTAAAGATTAATTTGCATTGAAATTATTGGTTAAACACTTATGTTGTTTGATGGACGTTGACCACGCACCTACTGTAATGTTCCTTACCAATTTTTGAGTTATACTTATTACGTTTTTGAGTTGTGTTATATTTTTGTTTTATATCTTTTAATGCTTTTTTTATACTTTCAAAGATTTGGTTTCACTGTTACAACGTTTTCTTGAATTTATCGTAATGATTAAATACTGAAGTTCAATTCTGTTAATTATATTTTCTTGTTTAAACTACACTACAATTTATTGCAAATTATTCTTCTGTAAACTAAATCTCAGTCCACGATATAAACTCTCAAAGCTAATTGTTTTAAGTACCCAATCACTTGGATAATGGCATAATTTAGCATCATGTAAATTCTTTGTTGAATCGTTGATAAAATGTGGCATAATTTAACATTAGGTAAATTCTTTGTTGAATCATTGATAAAGTGTGGCAAAGATTAAACTCATGTAAGTTTATAAACTTTGCAATTTTTCACCTGATGCAATTTTTCTCTCAATCTTAGCCGTAGTAATTGTCTTTGAGGATAATTTAAATTGAACATAAATTTTTATGCTCTGCAGTTCCTAACCTCACGTAATTTTTCGTCTGCACAAGTTTTATTTCACACCATATCTTTTTTGTTTTATAAATTTTTGGTAGTTTTTTTTGACCACGTAAATATTTTGTTGATTAATGCTTCCATCATATAAATTGTGTGATCTCAGATAAAAATTCTTTGCTGTTTAAAAGTTCGCGAGACTGTATGGCGAATTTAAATGTTGTTTATTGCTATTTTTGAAACTTTAGTACTAGTTCGATTGCAGTTGATATCAGAGTTATGGAAATTGAACATTTAAATGGAATTGAGGTAAATAATACAACACTTGGCGGAAGCGGAGTGTGCGGTTCCTTGTCGAGCGCGCCATCTGCAGAAAGCATGCAGGCCTAGAATAGAAATCAGGGACGATCGAGATGATGTGTCCCAATAGCCGAGACTAGTGTTGGGTATTATCTAGATAATTGGTTATCTATTATCTGTATATAGATAAAATCAATTTTAACCACAAAATATTTGCATCTAGATAAAAAATGAATGTCGCAGATACAGATACATCTTTTTTATTTTACGTTTTTTAGTAGTTGGTAGTTTAGTTATTGTAAGAGTAATTTTGGCATTTCATGTTGGTGATGGTGGTTCCATACGCAAGAATACAGGTAAGAAGTCTATTAATAGTATTATGTGACTAATAGTAAGCCTTTTAATCATATGTTTACCGAAACTTTGATATTTTAAATACAATCATTTTTATGTTGTAGCCTTCAGTATTATCCATATTTAAAGATACCTAATCCTGAAGAGTAATAAATCTGAGGTCCGTTAATACTAAGCAATGGTAAGATGGTATTTTAAATACCATCTTACCATTCACGATTCAATCAATTTTACAATAAACGCTTGTAGAGGCAACGCATTTTACCTACGTACCGGGGAAACCGGGAATAAGTGGACCCACTGATTGTATTTGTGTTATTAATGAACGCATACCGTCACAGAAAAAACACACACGCACACAACCTAGGTTCCATTTTGTCATACAATCACAGCCAAGACTAAAAATTTTTGAAATTTTGAATTTTTCGCTAACTTTTCAATTTTTTTTCACATGTCAATTTAAGGCGGGATGTTTGGGTTATCACACCAAACACTCAAAAATATTGTTTTGTTTTTCTCTACGAATCCTTTATCTGTCCAACTGGGATTATTATATCTGGTTCGTCCCCACAAAAAGAAAATTAACCCAGTCGGGAGTTAAAATCTAAAACGAGTTTAGCACAGAATTTGTCAAGAAACCAGGTAACCATAATTTACCTGAGGTCTTCATCATTTGAAGGGTGAACTAAAGCATATTCCAGCATAGCGAACTACATATTAACTTGTGCACAAGTTTTTGGCAAAAGTATACGTCCGACTGTAATAAACTTCAAAACGTTGAAATGAGTGTAAAAAACCCTAACCAGACTGATTTTCCGTTTTTTTAAATTTTGTTGTCAAAAAAAAAACTACAACGCGTTAAAATTGTGATGAATATGAGATTATCTGGTTTCGTTATTTATGGATCAATTTTAAATTTTCAAAAAGGTACATTAGTAGAAATTGTATTAAAAAATCCATTGCGCTTTACGAAATAAAATACCTTAATAAATAATTAAGTAAACGGGGACAGAAAACTGGCAGTTGAGTCTCGACTATTGGGTCAAGTCGACAGCATTTTTGTGCAGATGGCGCAATAAATCCTGCCAGCTCGACTAGGAACTGCGCACTCCGCTTCCACCACGTGTTTCTGTGTTATTTAATCTCAATTCTATTTAAATGTTCAATTCTTATAATTCTGATATTAAACTACAACTGAACAACTGTACAAATGTCAAAGTCTCAAAAAGGGTAATAAACAACATTTAAATTCGGCGTACCTACAATCTTGTGAAATTTAAAACTACGAATAGTTCTTATTTGAGATTGAAATTGGACATCAGATAATTTATATGATGGAAACATTCATCCACAAAATATTTACAAAACAAAAACTAGCAAAGATTTATAGAAACAAAAGACCTGGTGTGAAATAAAACTTGTGAAGATAAAATATTACTCAATTTGCCGTATTGAAAAACCAACTTCTGTCATACCGACAATGCGGCCTTTTTCAAACTCACTCAATTATTGATGAAAATGAACCGGCTCACGACGTTTGGACATTTTTCACTTTCTTTTCTACGCAATAGCCCTAAAATTTTCTAGACAACTAATGTAAATCAACTAGCAAAGCAAAATTCTGCTAGACGAAACGTTGTTTTCAAAAGGTAAAAAGGGTAAGATAACGTTAATAGTGTAATGTACCTATCTCCTCATTATCTATGTTTTATTATTTTTGTTCATTATTTTGTAAGTAGCTATTAAGATCCACTTAGTGTGAAAGTCAATTAATATAACCTTCTGTCACCTTCTGTTCAGTGACGTATATACTTTTACCATTAAAAACGCATTTTCAAAAAGTGTAAAAAGGAACTACAAAAATGTAAAAATAACAATAAGAATAAGTACATTGTAATGACATAGTCATTCTCACCGTGTTATTATAAACGACCAAAAGTGATAAATAAACTACAGTTAGTGTAACGTCTAGTTATCAATCCCATACCAACCCATTACAATAGTTTTTGTTGAAATTTTAATCATTTCTTCCATGACTGTCCCCATATCGGATCCGATAATGTCTATAAACAAAATGTCTTAACTCCTTCGAGGTGTTTGAATTTTTATGGAAATCAGTATATATGAGGTTACATTATGCCATGATCCAAGTGATTGGTTACTTAAACAATTTGTTTGAAGGGTTTATATCGTGAACTGCTTATTCCAAACAAAACACATAATAAATAAACACAAAATGCATCAGGCGTTGCGAGGAAAAAAAGAAATCTTTAATCCCATCGTCCCTCAGTCCACGACATTATGAATTTTAGTGTACTTTTCTGCGGTCTTTTTCCAACGTTAGGTTAACTTAACTGCCGTAAATGAACTATTAGCAATCTTGTGTGAACAATTAAGAAGTGTTATAATGTAACACTTAAGTATTAGCATCCAGAAACGTTGTTCGCAATTAGACAAACAAAATCAAACGAGTCCTGACACAGTTAATTTCATGAAATCTCTTAGCAAGTATTTATCTAAATAAATCTAATGTCCGTTAAATTGTGTTAGCACCAGTTAACGATTAAAACCCTAACATGAACTGTGAATTTACAAACAATTAATCAAATTGCAGGCTATGTTTAATGATTTTTTTGACTGAATTATTGTTTCCAATTCAAATTATTTCAGCGCGAAATTTTAATTCAAATTGGGTCACCGCAGTGTCTTCATCAAATTGTAAGTAAGCGAAGAAAAATGTTGCAGTTTCAAAATTATATTGCAAAATATTGCTATTCAGTTTTGATTTTTTTCCAAAAATTCTGGGTGTCTAGGGTGAAAATGCGACACAGATTCACACTCTACAAGTGCAGGTGTATCTTATTTTATAAAATAAAAAAAAATATATTATAAATTTTGAATTTGACGTCATCATATTGATAGTGGGGATGATTAGCCAAATTTTAGTTAGCATTTAACCACCTACATGATATTCCTGGTATACGTACAAAATAGCACAACAATCGGTCAAGTAGTTTCGGAGATTACAGACAGATGGACAGACGGGAACGGGAGACTGTTTTCGTACTCTATAGGTCATGACACCGATGGATTCGATTGCTATACTTCCTTAGCTTACCTACGCTCGACAAGTAAAAATAAAACTTTTCGACACAAAAAGCACAGTCAAATAACCGAACGATCACATGAGATCAAATCGACATTGTGTATATTTAAAATTTAGGTTTTGAATTTTAGGTCGACACTGATGTTAAGTAAGGTGTTTTTATCATAGACACTATTTATGCTCAGGGCTAGTTATTAACATTTTTTGCCGATAATTGTTGAAGAAATTGTTTCAATTTGTGAAAAACGTTAGTAACTTAAATAAAAATAAAGAATGTGACATTCTTTTTTTTCGATACCATAGACTATGGTGTGTAACTTTCGAACAAAATATCCTCTTTTTTTATTATTTTTATATTATAGCTTCAAATCAACAAGTCTTTCAGATGTCAGACGATTTATTTAATATTTTAGCAGGTACTAATTTTATATTGTACACTTGTTCATTTGTCCTAACGATTCTGCATTTACTTAGGTATACTGTGAAAGATAGTAAAATGTATAATAAGTTGCGTAAAATTCCAATTCTCAACTCTGTTTAGTACATTTAGTTTTTTAGTTCAAATTTATTTTTACTTGTTCATCTGCAGTCTGCACATAAATATCTTGAAAAGTTGTCTCATAAATTTCGATTCTTCCAGAGCACAGTTGCTCATCCGGTCCTGACAAGTTACATTTCTCCAATGGCGTACCGCAGATGCCTCAAATAGGGCTACCATCAGAATTGAAATATTAATTACAAAACCAAGCTTAAGTAATGAAGTTTAGTAAACATTCAACCCTTAAGTAGACCCGCGGGGGTCAGTTGACCCCGATGAAGATAAATTCACTCAAAACTTTGGAAATTATTCAATGCTGAGCATAAATAACAAATGTCTGACGTACGCCGATGAGTAACGTACATCCCTTGAATTTAAAAGTGGACTATCTCCTACACAGTTTTGACATCTGCGCAAGTTTGTGTGTCCAGGTGGTGTGCAGCTGTTTCCAAATAAGTTAAGAAAGCAGTGACAAGCGACAAGTTTAGGTTAACCCAAAAAATTAAATTTTGTTCAACAATTTGGTGTTATGTGTTGAATAGTGTTTAATTAGAATATAAGGTAAGAATTTGTTTTCTAGTAAAAAAAATAGTAATGAAGTAATTTTAGGCAAATTGAGTTGTTAACCCAGGAGGACTCTGAAGCGTTTTTACGTGAGACGCTTTCCTTGGAAAATGCATTGTTCTTACGTATAGTGGCATTTTGATGGTTTTTAACAAAAAAGTAAGTAAGAAAAACTTAAATTTGGTGTTCAAGTAAATTGATGATAAAATAATTGTAGGTGAATAAAAATGTCAACTGTAGAAAAATCCAACGCGTTTCCACGTGTGACATTTTCCTTGAAAAATCGATTATTTCTACATGTTGTTAATCATTTTGAACGACTTCGTTCACTGAGCTTCCCTTTTGACTGTGAGACGGCTAATATTGAAAATTATTACTGCAATTATTGCAATTTTGAAACAGAACTGGTACTTGTTTTCAAACAGCACCTAGAAGAGTATCATAGCGTTAAAAGGAGCCACAAAGATGTGATAATTGGAAAACACCATATTCGAACATATGTTTGTGAAAAATGTAGCTTTGAAACAAATTTTTTGATAAAGTGGCGTCAACATACTAGACAATGCGTAGGAGAGGAAAAAAGTATTCAAATGTACAGATGTGATGAGTGTGGAAACATGTATAAACAGAAACACTTTTTAAAGGAACATAAAATTTTGAAACACCTTAATGATGATGAAACACAATGGTACCACTGCGCCAACTGCCCATTCAAAGCTAAACACAAAAACCCACTAAAAAGACACATGAAGACACGCCATCAGAAGGAAAGTGATATTAAATGGTATGAATGCAAGGAATGTACGTACAAATTTAAGAAGTTATCAGATTTGAAACGACACATAAATGCCACCCATTTGAATGAACAAGATGTTAAATGGTATGAATGCAAAAAGTGCCAGTTCAAAAGTAAACATAAACAGTCATTAAAAACTCACATACTTTTACAGCATTCAGATGAAAAGAATATTAAGTGGTATAAATGTGAAAAATGTCTATATAAAACTAAATATATAACAAATTTAAACGTTCACATGATAATTCATCATTTAGATAAACAGAATATTAAATGGTATGAGTGTAAAGAATGTTCATATAAAACTAGATTGGAATCACATTTAAAAGTTCATGTGAAGAAGCACCATTTAGGTGAACAGGATGTTACATGGTATGAATGTAAAGAATGTCCATATAAAGCTAAATTCAAATCATATTTAAAATCTCATACAAATAGATGTCATTTAGGTGAACAGGATATTAAATGGTATGAATGTAAAGAATGTTCATATAAAGCTAAATGCCACTCATATTTAAGGTTTCACATGAAAATGCATCATTCAAAACAGCAGGATGTCAAATGGTATGAATGTGAAGAATGTTCATATAAAGCTAAATTGAAAGCATATTTAAGAGCTCACATGAGAGTACGTCATTCAGCTGAACAGGATGTTACATGGTATGAATGTGAAAAATGTTCATATAAAGGTAAATTCAAAGCATATTTAAAAAATCACATGGAAAGGTGTCATTCAGATGAACAGAATGTTAAATTGTATGAATGTAAAGAATGTTTATATCAAGCTAAATGCAAACCATATTTAAAATCTCACATGAAAAGATGTCATTTAAGTGAACGGAATGTTAAGTGGTATGAATGTAAAGATTGTTCATATAAAGCTAAGTGCGAATCATATTTAAAACTTCACATGAAAATGCATAATTTAGATGAGCAGAATGTTAGTTCGTATGAATGTACACAATGTTCATATAAAGCTGAATTCAAATCATCTTTAATAATTCACATGAAATGGCATAATTTAGATGAACAGAATGTTAAATGGTATGAATGCAAGGAATGTTCATACAAAGCTAAAAGCGAATCACATTTAGAAATTCATATGAAAACCCATCGTTCAAATGAACAATTAGTAAAACTGTTTGAATGTGATGAATGTTCATATACAACTAAATCCAAATCAAATTTAAAACTTCACGTGAAAGTGCATGATTCAGATGAACAGAATGTTAAAAAGTATGAATGTCATCAATGTTCATATAAAGGTAAATGCAAATCATATTTAGCAACTCATATAAAAAGGCAGCATTTAGATCAACGGGAGGGTAAACAGTATGAATGTGAAAAGTGTCCATTCAAAGCTAAAAATCCGACTTCTTTAAGATTGCACATAAATTCGGAACATGGTGGCGAAGAGAAACTTGAATCTTATAAATGTGAAAAGTGTCCTTACAAAACTAAATACAAAGCATGTTTAACAACTCACACAAATAAAGCCCATTTAAATAAATAAGTCAGTAATTGTATCACTGCAAAAAGTGCCCGCTCATTACTTTTAAAACCCACTATTCTTTCAAAAATCACATAATTTTGCAGCATGGTGATGAAGAGACTGTTAAATGATACGCAACATACGTTACATAAATAAACCCCATTAATATTAGTTAGTATAAATTTAAACTTCGTTTTTATTAAAAGTAAAAAATACACTATATTTGGAAAGACAATAAATTAATGGTTTGAATACAAATAGTTTTTTTATAAGACAAATGGAGTTCTGGCAGAATTATGTTTTAGAATCTAAAAGCTAAACTTTCGTTAATAGATTAACTAGTAAGTGTTCTTTCTATAAAAAAAAAAAAACTAAATTGGAAAAAATATCAACAGTGATGATTTTTGAACATTTTTATAAATTTATGTAGATGACATTATTTGGAACATGGTGCTCCAAATATTGTCGTATGCTAATTTGCTGTATAAAATAAAATTCTGTATTTTTATTTAGTTGTAAGCAATTTTTACTTTTTATTGAATGATAAAATAATAATAATAATAATAAAGAAATTTTTATTTGTCTCTTGTTGTTTTATGTTGTCTTTTTTTTCATTATTCCTACTATTATCATGATTCTTCCAAATATTACCACTGGCAATAGTAGGTATATAACAGGTGGCAATATAAGGAACATTGTGGTGATTAAATTTTATAAAATATGCAACCCTAGTTTGTTTGGTTGCCTTTACAAAGTATAAAATAATGACTTCAAGTTCCTGAGAATTTTGACCATTAATTATTTCAATGGCCCTAATAGATCTAACGTGTCATTTATATTTAAAATTGATCCATAAATAACGAAAACCAGATAATCCTCATACTCATCACAATTTTAACCCGTTGTAGTTTTTTTTGACAACAAAATTAAAAAAACAAACGCAGTCTAGATAGGATTTTTTACGTTCATTTCAATGGTGTGAAGTTTATTACAATCGGACGTATACTTTGGCAAAAACTTGGGCAAATTTTATATGTATTTTCCTATGCTGGAATATACTTTAGCTCACCCTTAAAATGATGAAGAGCTTGTGTATAAATATTATGGTTACCTGGTTTCTTAACAAATTCTGTGCTAAACCCGTTTTAGATTTTAACTCCTTTGTAATAATCCCCCCAGGTCAGTTAAACGATTCGTAGAGAAAAAAAACAATATTTTTAAGTATTTGGGTTAAAAGTAATTGCAAAATCTCTTTTCTCATTACATTTTTTGAAAAGTAATGCATTACAATTACTCATTACTTGAAAAGAAATTGAATTACTTTCAACCCCTGGGAGTTGTATTCAAACTATAAAAATCTATAAATATGATACATAATTGTATAATGAGAAGGGTCGTATAATATTGTAATTTGTAAATGGAAATTTTTTCGAAAAAAATGAAATTTTAGAAACATTAATTAAGCACGCCAAAAATGTGTAATTTTTCTATCCCAGAAAATCTATTTCGTATTTGATTAATTTTATTTTCAAGAATTTCGGAAAAAAATGTGTCTTAATTTCTGTAAAATAATCGATACCAAGTTTTCCATAAATTTTGTTAAAAATGGCCACTGTGTGTGATTTACCTAAAGTAGTTTGCAGCAAATTCCTGGCTCTGAGAATACGTTGACAAATTAATGCGGACATTTAAAAAAAAAAATACACTTTCTTGGAGATTTTTTTCTATTCTTTCAAATTTTCTCAATTCTCTCAGTTTTCTTCCGAATTTTTCAGATCTTTACAAATCGTTTCATGTCCTCTCAAATTTTTCAAGATCGCTTTGGATCCTTTCAGATCCCTGCAGACTGTTCCTGATTCTTTCAAGTTTACCTAGATTCGTCTAGATTCCTTGAGATTCTTTCCGTTCCCTTCTGATTCTTTCTAACTCTTTGCGATTCTTAGTTTCATATTCCCTCAGATTTTTTTGGATTCCTTCAGATTCTTGTGCTGTTTTCAGATTCTTTCCTTTTTTTATAGAGTCTTCCTTTCGGATTCTTTTGGATCTTTCGAATTATTCCGGATGCTGTCGGATTGTTACACATTCTTTCGAATTTTTTCCAGTTCTATTCAGATCGTTTTAGAACCTTACAAATACTTTCAGATCCCTGCAGACTCTTTTAAGTTCTTCTAGATTTTTCTAGATTCTTCGAGATCCTCTCAGGTTCTCACAAATTCTTTTAGAATCTCCCAATTTCTCTCAGATTTCTTCAAATTTCTCCAGATTCTTTCCTTTTCTTTCTGAATCTCTCTTCGAATTTTTTCAGATTCTTTCAAAGTCACCGTCAGGAATCCTCAAGATTCTTTCAAATTTTTACTTCCCGAGCGTAAGCAAAGGAAGTATTGTAATCGAGTCCGTCGGCCGACTCTCTACTTTTACGTTTTCTCGATCTTTCATGACCCCTAAAAGACGAAGAAATAGCTCTCCCATTTTCGTCTGTCTGTCCGTCTGTCCGTCTGTCCATCCGTCTGTCCGTCTGTCTGCCGTCCCGGATTTTTATTAGACAGATAATGTCTACTGGACCGATTGTTGTGAAATTTTGTAGTTATAAGTATTAGGAATATCATGTAAAATTTGTCTAATCATCTCCACCACTAATGTGATGACGTCACTTCAAAATTGTACATAGTCAATGGGTTTTAAATTGTATAAAATAATATAGTCCTAAACATGTAGTGTTATCTCTGCATGTAGTTTACGACTCCGGATTGAGTTTTTACCCGAAACGTCCAGATTTTTGGAAAAAAATTAAAATTATAAAACAACATTTTGCAATTCATTTTTGAATCTGCTAATCCGAATGTTTTGAAATCTTGCAGATGTTTTAAGGCTATAAAGAGCATAATAAATGTTTAGTCAAAATATATTTGCTTATCCCCTCCAAAAAATTGATGACGTCAGGTCGAAAGTTTGCCGAATAAATCCTATCTAAACTGTGCAAAATATGATGAGTCTGTACTTGTAATTTATCACTATATTCATATTTTTTGGATTTGCGTATACAGGTGACTCAAAAAAATTAATGAATACGTAAATTTATTTTATTGATTTACTCAGGAACTACAAAACTGAATGCTTTGAAATCTTGAAGGTGTTTTAAAGTTATCATAAGCATGGTAAGTTTTTGATCAAAATGTATTTGCTCATCCCCCCTAAAAAATTTATGACGTCACCACAAAATTTTGCTAAATAAATCCTATCTAAAATGTACAAAATATGATGAGTCTTTTCTTGTGATTAATCATTCTATTCATAGTTTTTGGATTTGCATATACAGGGTGACCCAAAAAAATTAATGAATTTGTAAATGTATTTTATTGGTTTAATCAGGAACTCCAGAACCGAATGTTTTGAAATCTTGCAAATGTTTTAAGGTTATAAAGAGCATAATAAATTTTTAGTCAAAATATATTTGGTTATCTTCTACAAAAAACTGATGACGTCAGCTCAAAAGTTTGCCGAATAAATCCTATCTAGAATATACAAAATATGATGAGTCTGTACTTGTAATTTATCATTCCATTCATATTTTTTGAATTTGCATATACCGGGTGACTCAAAAAAAATAATGAAACCTACTGCGAAAAAAACATAATAGACATGCAGTCGTCAGGTTTCCGACAGCGAGGGAAGTACTGTCTAAACTCTTTAGACCAATTTTTCAGTTGTATACAGATCGTTTGAGGGCATTTCCGATCCCTGCAGATTTTTCCAAATTCTTCCAGATTCTTCGAGTTTTTTTTAGATTCTTCTAGATTTTTAGAGATTCCTTTGGATTCCTAGCAAGGAATGAATCTCGAAGAATCTAGCAAAATCTAAAAGAATCTAGAAAAATCTGGAAGAGTCTGCAAGAATCTGAAAGGATTTGTAAGGATCTAAAACAATCTGAACAGAACTGAAAAATTTTAAAGAATCTTGAGGATTTCTGATGATGTATTTAAAAGAATCTGAGCAGTTCGAAGGAATCTGAAACAATTCGAAAAAATCCGAAAAATTTGAAAAAGAGAATCAGAAAGGATCCAAAGAATTTGAAAAAATCTTAAATTCTCTCAGATTCTTCAGATTTTTTCGATACTCTCAGAATTTTCCACCTTTCATATTATTGTTTCAGAGTCTTTCAAAATTTTCCAGATCATTTCAAATCCCTGTAGGCTTTTTCAGATTCTTCTTGTTTTTTCTAGATTCTTCTGAATTCTTCAAAACAGTTAATATCCATCTACCAAGATAAGAATAATAATTTTTCACGTTTATTGTTAAAATATTAGAAAAAAAACTTTTTGTTAGCCAGAAATGTATCGGTCAGAAATAATAAAAATAATAATAGGGCGCAAATTCATTGCTGAGGCATTGCCTCACATTAAAAGCTTATATTATTTGATAATGAGGTGATATTAAAAAGTATACCTTGAAACAAGCAACAGCTTTTGATTTAACAAAATTGGCATGATTACATTGGACATTGTTGCTGTAGAGTAAATGATACTTCTTTCGTTAGTGCTGTGAAAGTTAAGTATTTACTGTGGTTGACTTATTAAAAATCTTTTGCATTAGTGCGGTTAACACGATAGAAAGTGGATATTTTTCCAAAATTGCGCGAAAACGGAGTTCCGTGATTCGTATATTTGACAAATAAAAAAAATATAAATTATCATGATACAGTAAACAATATTTAAACATAATTAACATTATTTACTGTTTAAATCTAATAAGTATCAATATGTCATAATTAAACCGAAAGCCGTTTTCCTAGAACCATGAAGTTATTAAAAACAATTCAATTTGTTTAAACATGATTAAATTAACTCCGAAAATGTGCAATTTTCCGGCTAAAATATCAAAAATAATTTTTGCAATCTCATCGTGTTGGCCCTTTGGGTTAAGTTTTGATTTCGATTTGATAGCGACAACATCGGCGTGTCGTTTTGGCGTAAAAGTAACGCGTTCTAGCAAATTTTTAATTTATTGTTAATAAATATAACTGAAAATGTTTTGCGTCGGTCCTGTGAACACGAAGGACATTTTTCCAAAAATGCCCGATTTTTCTTTTAATTTATGTTAAAAATATCCATCAAATCGCGACATTCAGCTGCATTCATAATTCACAAAATACCGTTGTGGTGACCCAGTTTGAATCAAATTTTCGCGCTAAAATTAATTAACAGCGGCGCGAAATCACATTTGAGTAATTTGAATTTGAGAAAAAAAATCAAACAAAAAAATCGTTAAAGTAGTCTCTATCTGTTGATGTATGATCGTTGATCAGGCACCAAACAAATCCGCTTTTTCACAGCAGTAGGATTGAGATAGATGAATATACGACATCGTGAATACAAGATATAACAAAACAGAAAACAAAAAGTCACTATTGACGTCGAACACAAACGAAATTACCCGTAATTCCACAGTAATTATCAAAATCATTCAAATGAAAAGAGAATGTACTTAGGGTTGCATAATCACAATTATTAAATGGAACGCTTTTCGTGAATCACCCTGTTTAATAAAATGTATCATGTTTTAAAACGGTGGAAAACTATTAACTTCTTAATTTCGAAAATAAATATAACGCTCCGCATTTAGAAATGTGAATGTTTTAAAAAGCCTAAAAATTAATGCATGGTGATAGAATGAGAGGAGGGAAGATATAGACATATAGAATTTATGTAACTATATAGAAGATATTTTTTATTTTATAGTTTGATAAAGCACCTGATACTTTATTGTCTTCACAAGTCTTTTACCCTTAACCTGTATTTGTAGTTGCCTATCCATGTTCCTGTGGATTTAATATGGCATAGCACGAGGGTATTTCGGTATTTGTAGGTTAGCACAAAAAATTATCAAAAAATGAACTTCTCTTAAACATTTTGGTGTTTTTATGTTAAATAGTTATTAATTAGAATATTAGTAGGTAAGAGAAAATTTCACACAATGTTAGTGTTCCAGTAAAAAATAGTAATAAAGTGATTTTAGGCAAACTGAACTGTTGCTCAAGGACTCCGAAACGTTTTCACATGAAAAATTTTCCTTGGAACATAGATTATTTTTACGTATGGCATTTTTGTGCTTTAACCGTTTTTAATAGAATATTAATAAGTGAGTAAAACTTCACCTAATTTTAGAGTTCTAATGAATTGGAGATAAAATGATTGTAGGTAAATTAGAATGATTACTATGAAAGATCCAAAAGCGTTTCCAATTGTGACTTTTTCGTTGAGAAATCGATTATTTCTACGTATTGTTAACCATTTTGAACGACGTATTTCATTGAGCTACCCTTTTGACTGTGAGACAGCCCATATTGAAAATTATTACTGTATTTATTGCAATTTCCAAACAGAATTGAAACTACTTTTCAAGCAGCATGTAGAAGAGTGTCATATTGATAAAATAAATAGCAGTGATTTATTAATTGGAAAACATTCTATTCAAACATATATTTGTGAAAAATGTAGCTTTGAAACAAATTTTGTGATAAAGTGGTGTCAACATACTACACAGTGTGAAGAAAAGGAAAAAAATCGTCAAATGTACAAATGTGATGAGTCTGAGTCTTTAAAGCATCATAAAATTACAAATCACCATAATGATGATGAAATACAATGGTACCACTGTAACAGCTGCTCATACCAAGGTAAATCCAAAAACTTATTAAGAGAACACATAAAGTTACGCCATCAGAGAGTTATTAAATGGTATGAATGCAAGAAATGTGCATACAAAGTTGAAAGTTTACAAAATTTAAATATTCACATAGCAATGCATAATTCCGATAAGCAGGATATTACATGGTATGAATGTAAAGAATGTTCATATAAATCTAAACGCAAAAAGTATTTATCAGATCACATGAAAAAGCATGACGTAAATGAACAGAATGTTAAATGGTATGAATGTGAAAAGTGTCCATTTAAAGCCAAATTCCCAACTTCTTTAAAATTGCACATGAATTTGCAGCATGTTGACGAGGAAAATGTTGAACGGTATCAATGTGATAAGTGCCCTTTTAAAACTCACTACAAACCATGCTTAACCATTCACACAAAGCGAGCCCATTTAAATAACAAAACTCAAAATATTCAAAAAGTCAGAAATTTGCATAGATGTGAAAAGTGTCCATTGTTAACTTTTAACAACAGAAGCTCTTTAAAAAGTCATATCAATTCGCAACATATGCATAAAAAGATTATTAGATGTGAAAAGTGCCCATTCGAAACTAGACGTCCAAATTCTTTACAGTTGCACATAATTTTGCAGCATAGTGATGACTTATGATGAATGATACGAATGTTTCATACGTCACACAAATGAACCCCATTTAGATAAACCAGACACTAAGCGGCGTTAATGTCATGAATATACATACAAATTCAAACTCATTCATCAAAACTCATTAAAAGACTACACTTTATTGGGAAGGACAGGATATTAAAAGGTGTGAATGCAAATAATTCAAATACAAGCAACGAATTTGGGCTAATGCAAAATGTCTCCGCACGAAAGTCAAAGTAACTTTAGTTTAAAAGACTTCGTCAGCAGACTGGATTAGGTTAAGAGTGGAATTTAGAAGTGTTACTATTTTTATAAACAGTAATTTGTCATCTGACACACAAAATTTGGTTTTGATGATCTACATTTTATTGTAAATTTTTTAATTTACTATCGTTAAAACTTTTAATATGTTTAAAATGAGGAATCTTATAAATATGATGTACGAAAATCGCCGAACAGATCCTGTGATCTCGGAGAAATTAGATACATATGTTTGCTGTTTGTTGATAACGCTCCTTTGTTAAAGCACCCATTTGGTGTAACTTCCTATTTATAGATAGATTTTGTATTTTATTGTTATTAATCTATTACCTGTACTATTTTTTTTTTGTTAATAAAACGAAAAAATTGTCCAAAGCTGTTTGAACAGAACTTTCCTATCCCCTAAAACAAAATCAAGCAAGCTAAGTTTTCAGATAAATTATAAAAATTTAATGTCTCATTTTTATAAAAGTTGTTTTTTACTTCCCGAGCGTAAGCAAAGGAAGTATTTTTTTTTTTTTTTTTTTTTTTAAATAAACATTTATTTTAATTCCTTCTCAAGTAGTTGCCTCAAATCCTTGCGCCCAATTTTTCCACTTGTAATCGAGTCCGTCGGCCGACTCTCTACTTTTACGTTTTCTCGATCTTTCATGACCCCTAGAAGACGAAGAAATAGGTCTCCCATTTCCGTCTGTCTGTCCGTCCGTCTGTCCGTCTGTTGTCCCGGATTTTATTAGACAGATAATCTCCGAAAGTACTCGACCAATTGTTGTGAAATTTTGTACTTATATTAAGAATATCATGTAGATGGTAAAACGCTAACCAAAATTTGTCTAATCATCCCCACCACTAATGCGATGACGTCACTTCAAAATTGTACATTGTAAATGGGTTTTCAATTGTATAAAATAACATAGTCCTACACATGTAGTTTACAACTCTGAATCGACTTTTCACCCGAAACGTGCAGATTTTTGGAAAAAAAATCAAAATTATAAAACAACATTTTGAAATTTAATTTTTAATCTGCTAACCAGAATGCTTTGAAATGTTGCAGATGTTTTAAGGCTATAAAGAGCATCATAAATCTTTAGTCAAAAAATATTTGCTTATCCCCTCCACAAACTTGATGACGTCAGCTCAAAAGTTTGTGGAATAAATCATATCTAAAATGTACAAAATATGATGAGTCTGTACTTGTGATCTATCACTCCATTCATATTTTTTGGATTTGCATATACAGGGTGACTCAAAAAAATTAATGAATGCGTAAATTTATTTTATTGATTTAATCAGGAACTACAAAACCGAATGCTTTGAAATCTTGCAGATGTTTTGAGGTTATAAAGAGCATAATAAATTTTTAGTCAAAATATATTTGGTTATCTTCTACAAAAAACTGATGACGTCAGCTCAAAAGTTTGCCGAATAAATCGTATCTAAAATGTACAAAATATGATGAGTCTGTACTTGTGATTTATCATTCCATTCATATTTTTGGATTTGCATATGCAGGGTGACTCAAAAAAATTAATGAAAGCGTGAATTTATTTTATCGATTTAATCAGGAATTACAAAACCGAATGCTTTGAAATCTTGGGAATATTTTAAAGTTATTATAAACATGGTAAACTTTTGTTCAAAATGTATTTGTTCATCCCTCCTAAAAAAATTGATGACGTCACCCTTAAATTTTGCTGAATAAATCCTATCTAAAATGCAAAAAATATGATGAGTTTGTACTTGTGATTTATCATTCCATTCATATTTTTTAGATTTTCTTAAGAGGTGGTTCAAAAAAATTAATGAAGTCAATTTATTTTATTGATTAAATTAAAGGCAACACTTATTATTAGTATTACACCCCAACCAACCCAATTTGGTAGACACAAAATTTGTTAAAGGAAAAACTCGGTTGAAACATAAGGATAGCACGCTTATTTACATCGACTTTAACATTACAGACCTGCACTTGGTTCCGCGAATGTGAAATAGACATGTTTATAATCAACCAATTGTGAATTTCACCGTCAAGAATTAAAATAAAACCCAATGTTTTATATAATAAGCGGAAGTCGAAGCAATAAAACCGATGGTCGTTTTGTTTACAGTTTCCCTGTTTGACTCTCACGTATGCTGTTACGCCTGTCATCTTAAATTAAGAATGTTTATACATACACGATTTTCAGTTGCCTCTGATACGTAGGTATACGTGAGTAAATTGTTTCGTTATTTTATTGATTATTACAAATCAATATTCAAAACGACCCAATTCATTTTCCCGAAAATTTGAGAATATAATAATTTTATTCTTAGTATTACACTACATCTATCCCAACTGATATACGTGTCCTTGCAAAAATGTTGATGACGTCATCGCAATTTTTTTTAAATTCCCACTACAAAAATGTAATGAGAAAAAAAACACAATAGGCATGCAGTCGTCAAGTTTCCGACAGCGAGAGAAGTACTGTCTAAACTCTTTAGACCAATTTTTTTTAGAGTATATGATCATTTGAATGAGAAACGTTAAATCAAAGTTAAAATGATGAATTGTACTAGTAGATGATGACCGAAACCTATGAACTACCTAAACTTTTTTAACAATATTGCGGTTAAAACATATCAACTTGATTAAACAAAAATATACTTTTAATAAAATTAAAAAATATATAGACAAAAAATTAAATACTCGATTATTTAGCTTTGATGGTCTTCTTTGTTGTACATCTACGGGATCCGGCCATTTAAATTTTTTGGCCCCCGTGTTGGCACCACTTTTACGTATAACATTGACTGTTTGGTCAACTATGTTTAAAATTTGTACCGGGTAGTAGATACATCTCTTCATATTTGATAATGACAAAATCATTCACTTGGTAGGGTCGTTTGTTGGAAGTATTTGTCTTTTTTGTTGTTGCTTTTCTTCGTGCAACCTCTTTCGTTCTAGTTTTTAGTTTTCTTTTATCTCCTTTTCTTCTTCTTTTTTTCCATTGATACATCTGCCAGTCGGAAGAGGTCGCTCGACGCAGAAGGAATTTTTTCTTTGGGCAATCCATTTTTTTCTTTTCCGGCGTTTTTGGCTAGAACAGAACCATTTTGAAACGCGATGAAATATAAGGTAATGTTTTGTCATTATTTATTGAGTAAATCTAGAATTGCAAAACTGAATATGTACTTCGAAATTTTGCAGACGTTTTGAAGTTATTGTAAGCATGGTAACTCAAGATTTTGCCGAATAAATCCTTTCGAAAATGTACAAAATATGATCACACTATACTTGTAATTTATCATTCATATTTTTTAGATTTGCTTATTCAGGGTGACTCAAAAAAATTAATGAATCAGTCAATTTATTATTGATCAAATTAAGAACTTGTCACCCATTTTCTCGAAAATTTGAGAATACGCTCATCTTTATAACTATAAAATAATGATAAGGTAAGAATTACAATAATAACATTCAGAATATTTTGTTCAATTGAGGTTTATTAATAATTTTAGTTATCTGTTGTGAGGCGATAAACTCATTCAAATCAAACAAATGTTTACGTGACATTCTTCCGATGTATAAACATCAACATTTTAAACACTGCACATATTGCTCAGATACCATTATTATTCCCGTTGATAATGTTGTGGTGACCGAATTTAAATCAAAATTTTCGCGCTGAAATTAATTAACAGCGGCGCGAATTCACATTTGAATAATATGCACGTTGGGGTTAATGCACGTAGGGATTAGTTCCGTATGTTTTATTTAGAGGGTGGTTGATTGAGACAGAGGAGGGCATGGCGGCGCGTCAGTCTGAATGTGTTTTTGTGAATGTAAACACGTGGTAAGAGCTAGTTTAAATGAATTGGTTTGTAAAAGGGAGGAAGCCTTTTAACGACAATCAATCGTAATTTCTATTGTTTGTAAATTCACCAAGCAAGTTAGTTTTTCTTAATCGTCAGCTATTGCAAACACAATTTAACAATCAGGATTATTTAAATAAACCACTTTTTATAAGATTTCATGAAATTCACTTAGTCAGGAAAACACCTTTGTTGTTTAATTACGAATAGGTTCCTGGATGCATATACGTAAGTGTTACATTATAACACTTCTTAATTCTTCACACAAGATCGCTAATAGTTCATTTACGGAAGTTAAACAAAATTCATTATACCGCGAACTGGCGGGGGGTTAAAATAATTTCTTCCCTTAGGCGGTTATCATCATTATCATGATCACATCACTGGGGCACCACGTTAAAGATTGATGACATCGTCGAGACTTGTTCTCGCAACGCTAAAGATTGATTACATCATCGAGGCTTGTCCTCACAACGCTACAGATTGATTACTTCATCGAGGCATGTCCTCGCAACGCTAGAAATTGATAACATCAACGAGGCATGTCCTCGCAACGCTAGAGATTGATAACATCAACGAGGCTTATACCTCGCAACGCTAAAAAAATATACATCATCGAGATGTTCCCTCGCAACAATCAAATTACATCACCGATACGCTTTTTCCTCGCAACGATGATTGGATATTTTTGTGTCTGTTTATTATGTGTTTTGTTGGGGTAACTAGTTCGCGGTATGCTAAACTCTCAAAGTAAATTATTATTATTATTTTTTTAACTAACCAGTCACTTAGATCATGATATAATTTGACATAATGTAAATTCTTTGTTTGAATCGTTGATAAAGTGTGGCAAATATTAATCTCATGTAAATTTTGTTAACTTTGCATTCAGGGGCGGCCGCCGATGTTGTAACGTTCTCGGCTTCGTGCTAGCCTAGATCCACCTACGGGTACCGTAACGGCATAGTTTCGAACGGCATGTTCGTCCTAGAGACGTGTAATGTGCTGTTTGTGTAGACTTTGCGATAGATAGAATCACCGTCGAGGGGGGAGAACAGCTCCGACCGGTAGCCCCAAGCTCCGCTTGTGCTAGAACGTCCCAGGGGTACTTTTGTTGTGCTCCTGTTAACTGCCGTAACTTTAAAATCTGACGCCACACGCCCGGAATAACTTGTGTATTTGCATCCAAGTACTTAATTCAGATTTTGCTTTGTTTTTATTAAATTTATGATATTCAAATATTTGCATTGATTCCAAACAGAATATAGGATTTTGCGTTTGTTCGTTTGTCATATGTGTATGTCTGTCAATTCGCGAGTGTTCTTCCTTTCATATTTTTAAGGTGTTTCATTTGAAATGTAATATGTCTGTGAATATACGATAGGGGGTTTTTGGGGCTGAGGAGTGAATCTTCGTAGCTTCTTTCCTCCTGAGAGGGGTGCCATTTTAGCCAGCCCCGTAGCTAGAAAACTTATTCAGGGGGCAAATTTGTCGACGGAGGGGGCTTCATGTAAATATGAATATATATTTTAATAATACACTCAGATAACTACCTTATTTTTTCTCAGTTTTTACATTTGAAAGAGCATTAAAATAATTGTAAACATCGATCTTTTACACTATTAAATTTTCGTAAAAACCTGTCGAAGTCCAAAGATTTGATACGGTGCTTTTAAAAAGCCAGAAAAACCAAGTTTGCCAATCTTTGACGCGTCATTGAAGGCGTTAAAACAGAGAATGTAGATTCACAAACAGCTGTACTGCATCCAAAAATTCGTACAGTGGCCAACAACCAATTTGTTTGAGTTTATTTTTTTGAATGTTTAGTAGTAGGCTATGGAATAAAATGTGACATGACGGTTCATTTTTTTATGCGGTCAACATCAACGTTAGGATGATATTGCCAAATAACATACCCTGTAAGAAAATAAAGGGTGGGCGGGTGGGGCTAGTAAATATGCTTCGGCAATCGGCTTTATATTAAAATTTTATTACTAATTTGAAATTTATAATGTGTAAGTCTTCCAGGGGGGGGCAACCACAACTGCTAGGGGGGGTTGATTTTAGCTCCTCCAAAAAAATGTGTCTATTATTTCTTGCGCTCTCGACTCACACGCAGTGCACGCTCACTTGTATGAAAGAACGTCTTCCCGCCACTTTTCAAAAAAAAAAAAAAACCACACAACGTAGGTTCCCAATTGTTAGACGATCACAGCCAAGGCCAAATTTTGAATTTTTGAATTTTTCGCGGGCCTTACAAACTTTTTCAAGGTCAATTTAAAGGCGGGAAGTTTGGGTTATCACAATATTCTTCTATATTTTTACTAATTGTGTAAAACTTCTCCCTTGAGTTAAAAATAAGTTCACCAAAAATGTAACAAAACTGGTCAGGATTATCTTTTCCTTTCTTAACATTATTCACGAATCACTTAACTCGGAAAATATAAAACACAATCACTGTATTGTAAAACAAAACAGCCTAAATCAAAGAAGGGGTAGTAAGTCACAACGACAACATTTAATTTTAGTGATATTCAATCAATATGGTTTTATAATGTGGGTGGATAACTATTTCAAAAGTAGTAAGCACCTTTCTTGTTACAAAATTTTGTTGACAGTGAATCAATGCGAAATGATGAACAGGGATGTCGATTTTGTATCGATTTGTGCTGTGGTAGGAATAATTATTTCTAAATAATCATTTTTTTTTTAACAGTTTTAGTCGATTCTTTCTTATCAGAATCGAGTCAAAAATTAAAATTACTACTTAATAATACAGACCAAGATTAGTTTGTTAAATAGACCCATTTCATGTAAAAAAGAAAGATATCAATGAGAAAATTCTCCGTGTGGTAATGGCGGGCCCATAATGGCTTTCCGATGTCATGTGCTTGTACACAAACCTCATTTGACATACACCTGTTAAAACTTTTATGACTTAAGCGGCTTAAGCCAAAGCAGCCTTATAAGTCAAACTGGCTATTGTAAGTTTTGTGGACCCGAACCGCAAGATTATTACTGTCCGTGGTTGGCATAATGTAGCTGTGAACTGAGTTAAGGAATACAAGTTAAGTTTTAATTAATAACTTGACTGGACACGAATTATTATTATTAATCTTTTCTTTGTCTCACAATTTTAGCCTCAGTAATTTTCCTTGTTGTATAATTTTAATTGAACGTAAATTTCCATGATCTGCAGTTCTAACCTCACGTAATATTTTATTTGCACAAGTTTATTTCACACCAGATCTTTGTTTTATAAATCTTTGCTAAGTTTTGATCATATAAATATTTTGTTGATGAATGTTGCTGTCATATAAATTATCTGATGTCCAAATTTAATTTCAATTAAGAATTATTTGTTGTTGAATTTCCGTAAGAGTGATGGCGAATTTAAATGTTGTGTATTGCTCTTTGTTGAAACTTTAACACTTGTTCGGTTGTCATTTAATATTAGAGTCATAGAGTTTGAACATTTAAATAAAATTGAAGGTAAATAACACAATAACACGTAGTGTCGGCGATGGGCGCGGTTCCTAGTCGAGGTAGCGCAATGTATCGCGCTATCTGCACAAGGTGTGCAGGCTTTTAATAAGATTTCAGTGGGAACGGTCTGGACGACGAGGTAGTTGTAGACCGGACTTCACCTCTAGTTTTTCGGCCGAAACGGCCTGCTAGGACAACATGTTCGTCATAGAGGTGTGCTGTGCGGCAGGCTTGGTGATAGATAGAATCATCGTCGCGGGGGAAACCAGCCCAAACCGGGAGCCCCAAACTTCGCTCACGCTACGACGCCCCCTCTGGGTATTTTGCTGTGCTCGTAAATATAATTGATATATTTTGTTCTGTTTGTTTGATCGCCACATTCTAATAATAATTCGGGTGCTGTCATTCAATTTACATATGTGTAGGCTTTCATATGTGTATGTCTGTCAATTCCCGAGTGTTTTTCTTTCATTATCTTAAGGTGTTTGAAATGTAATATTTCGTTGAATAAAAACCCCAGGGGGTTTTGGGGAATCAAGACCGATGACGCCTTGGCCCTGCGGAGTCGCCAGAAGGGCACGCTGAGTCACTGTCGTTCTTCGTTTCTTTTTCCTCCTAAGGAAGGATTTCGAGCTCCCTAATTTTGTCTATAATTTCTTGCGCTCTCAACTCACACGCAGTTTATGCATTTGTATGAAAGAACGTCTTCCCGCCAATTTTCAAAAAAATAAAAAATTACAAAGTAGGTTCCTATCTGTTAGACGATCACAGCCAAGGCCAAACTTTGAATTTTTTAATTTTTCGCGGGCCTTTCAAACTTTTTCAAGGTCAATTTAAAGGCGGGAAGTTTGGGTTATTACAACAGCAGTTACGATCTAAGATAAATTATTTAATAATTAAATTTAAATAGATAATATTATTCTCATCTCAGTGCAAGTAGAACACACCTATGTGAGGTCAGGGCTATGAAAGCTTCAGCTGTTCTCATAAGAAATACATGGGGAGCTTACGGAACGACATAAAGAGGTCACTAGCGTCTCTAAAGGTGCTCCGACCTTGAAGAACATAGTTTCTTTTTCATTTTAAGATTTTCGGTGATCGTTTTGTCTGGTTTTGTCAACAAGAAATGTCATTTTAATCATATGGGATGTTTATTTATTTATTTATTTATTTATTTATTTCAATACAGTGCCCAACGGGCTTAAGGCCCAATAACAGGACAAGGTAATCATACATACATAAAAATACAATACTTATTACACAATTACAAAACAAAAATACAGTAATAATAACATGTGCAGATAGGTGACTTACGGATGTTCAGGTCGAAATTGTTTTTTTATATCATTTGAGGTTGAATTAAAAATGTCGATATTATCTTGGATACAGGTGTGGTTGGCGAGCATGAAAATGAGAGGTGAATTGGACATAATGTTGGTCCTAGAAGTCTTGATGTAGAAAGTGTCGTTACTTCTAGTGTCGCGTACAGGAATCTTGAAATCCAACTGATTTAGTATACAAACACATTCATGTCGCCCGTGTATGAGATTAAAAAGAAATAGGATGGAGTGTTCAATTCTTCTTGTAACTAGAGAATTCAAACTAAATTTTCTCAGTAGCAATTCTTGCGGATAGCCTTGTGGGGGGTAAACCCCTTCCGATAAATACGAAGCTGTTTTAAGAAACCTGCGCTGGACCCTCTCTAATTCTGATATGTAAATGTTATACAAAGGTGACCACACCAGCGATGCATACTTAAGATGTGATCTGACATATGCAGTATACAATAATTTCAAAGTATCGACATCATTAAAAAGGCGACCATTTCGTAGTATGAACCCTAAAGATTTAAAAGCAGAGCTAACAATCGAATCGATATGATATTTAAAACTGAGTTTTGGATCATAGATAACTCCAAGATCACGCATAACATTGGGTCTCGCAAGCTGAATGCCGTTAATTTCATAAACATAAGTGAACGGCGTTAGTTTATGTGTGAATGACATTACTAGACATTTTCCGGTATTTAAAATAAGATAGTTATTTAGGCACCATTGGTATATTTTATTTAAGTTTTGCTGTAGACGTTCACAGTCATCATATGATTTTATAACAGAATATAGTTTTTGATCATCAGCAAACATTAGGGAGGGTACATCAATAACATCTACTATGTCATTGATGAAGATATTGAAAAACAATGGCCCAAGAACAGAGCCTTGGGGTACGCCACTGACTTGTTTAAATGCTTTCGATTTAAATCCTTTTACATTGATATAAAGTAACCTGTCATTTAAGTATGATTCCACTAATTTTATCAGACCATTCGAAAAACCAAAGTTGTTATTTAATTTCCACAGTAAAAGACGATGACTGATCTTGTCGAACGCTTTAGAAAAGTCTGTGTAAATGACGTCGACTTGTTGTTGGTTATCTAAGGCCTCGGATATAAACTGTGTCAAAGTTACGAGATTCGTTTCGGTTGAACGTTTTCTTACAAATCCATGTTGGGTTGACGATAGAACAGTAGCGACATTATCGTAAATATTTGCATATAAAAGATGTTCAAAAATTTTGGAAAAGTTATTAATTATAGAGATCGGTCTATAGTTTTCTAAATCTGATTTATCACCTTTTTTAAAGACTGGACATATACGTGAGAGTTTCCATTTTTGAGGAAACGTAGATGTTTTTAAAATTAGATTAAATAAGATTGTTAATGGAATTACAAATATGTGCGCACAGTCCCTTATGGTAAAGGCGGGTATTAAGTCAGGGCCAGACGTTGTAGCAGCTTTTAATTTAATTAATTAATGTTGGGTTATGAGGTTAAAAACAAACGTAAAATTTATTTTAACAAAGTAATAGATACTTACGATACATGTAAAAACTACTAGAAAATTGCAGGCTAGGGGTCAACAAATTGCAGGTTAAACGAAATAGTTTAATTTTCGATGCGTGCGTGTTTGAGCGGTCCAAGATTTATTTTTAAATTTTAGTGTGTAAAAAATTCTAACTCTAAAAAAAAGTGAAACGAGGTAATCAAGAGTCTTTGCAGGGGTGGTGGAGTGGTATTTTTTATGGTTCGTTTTTTAGCCGCAAACCAGTTAATGACTACAGTGCATAAATTGGGAAAAACTCACAAAATGTATTACCCATTACCGGAGTATAAACTGCAAAATGTTCAGGTGGCATCATTAAATCGCCAAAAATCGCATCTTCATTGAAGACTTTAAAATGTCACACAATTAAAACAGGATGTACTACTTCGTAAGAATGTGCAAAGTTCACACAAACTTCGCAGAAGTGGTGGTGTAAGAAGTTTCATATTAATGAGTATCCACAAACATACCATAAACAGTTGTGTTCTTTCAAGGTGAGTTTCCGGTAACTCACATCACTTAATGATTGTTGAAAAGGCCAGAATACAGGGAAGATGTGTTGTGGAAATTTGTTTAAAAGAACACCTTAGCAAATTTTATTATAAAACTAGCTGACCCCGTGAACTTCGTTTCACCTACAATTTAATTTTGAATCTGCAAAATCGAATGCTTTGAAATCTTGCAGATGTTTTAAACATATGATAAGCATAATAAATTTTTATTCAAAATATATTTACTTATCCCCTCCAAAAAATTGATGACGTCAGCCCAAAATTTTGCCAAATGAATCCTATCTAAAATGTTCAAAATAGGATGAGACTATACTTGTTATTTATCATTCCATTCATATTTTTTAGTTTTTGCTTATAGGGGGTGTCTCAAAAAAATTAATCACTGAGTCAATTTATTTTATTGATTGAATCAAGAATTGCAAAACTGAATTTTGAAATATTGCAGACGTTTTGAAGTTACTGTTTGACATGGTAGGTTTTCAATCAAAATATATCTGTTTATCAAGCCCAAAAACTTGAAGACGTCATCTCAAGATTTTGCCGAATAAATCCTATCTAAAATGTGGAAAACATCATCAGTATATTTTCGTAATTTATCATTGCATTCATATTTTTTAGATTTGCTTTTACAGTGACTAAAAAAAATATATGGATCAGTCAATTTATTTTAGTGAATAACTCAAGAGTTGCAAAAATGAATACTTTGAGATCTTGCAGACGTTTTAAAGTTATTGTAAGCATGGTAAATTGTTAAGAATATTTTTTGATGCCAAATCTTAAAAAAATAAAAATAAAAAATTTTGTCCAAAAAATAGACAAACATTTTCTAGGGTGGGCCACCCTTATCACTTAGGGGTTTATAAAATAGTTTACAACTTATTGTCAGACCTGCCAAATATACATAAAAAATTTCATACAAATTGGTCAACCCATTTCGGAGAAGTTCGGTTACAAACACTGTGACGCTAGAATTGTATACATAATGCATTATTATTTTAGAACAAATTTCATTACCATAAAAAAGGTTATACTGACTCGACCTTAAAAGATAGACATATGCTGTCGGGGACTTTTCTTTAGAACTTTTAGAGGGGAACAATTTCGTCATACATGATTTTTATGTAACTTTAACCGTTTAAGCAGCGTAAGCAACGGAAGCTGTCAAAGGAGGAATAATTTTCCCGTTTTTCCGAATTTTTCATTGCTACTTCGCTCCTAATGATCGTAGCGTGATGTTATATAGCCTATATGTAGATATGATACATGGACTATCTAACACAAAAAGATTTTTTGAATTTGAACCAGTAGTTTCTGAGATATGCGTGTTCAAATAAACAAAAGCTTCAGCTTTATTATATAAGTATAGATAGTGTTTGACAGTTGGTTCTTGCACTTGTATCGAAATAATCTGTAGTAAATAGTTTCCGAAACGCTCTTTGGAATTGTATTGGTGTGGGATTTATACAGTTTCCAAATTGACGCCTCACAGAGCCCAGCAAATATGTCAAACAATACTGATTTAGTTGCAGCAACCTTTTAGTGAAAATTGTAAACAAATTGTATTCTGTGAAAACTGAAAACTGTTAAAAATAATAAGCAAAATGTTTATGTTCCTGAAGTTGTTTTTTATTTTTTCGTGTGATTTAAAAATATTAAGAGTGAATTAAAAATTTTGCAATTCACTTGTGGATAACAACTTATTTGTCAGACTTGTTAAGGATTTAATAAACGCAGTTTAAAACGTCAAAATTGAATAAAAACGTTTTGCTTGAATATATTAATAATTTACAAAAAAGAAAAAAATCGCCAATGTCACTAGTACATACCAGCCATTTATATTTTTGTGTACAATTATTAGTATTCTACGAATGCTACAAAATATTTGAATCTTCGTGTTTCCCGGGAATGGGCTCCCAAAGTCACACCCATGGAGGAAGGAATATAATGGAGGGAGTGCGCCGTATCTCGGCAATGTAAATTCTTGGCACCAGTGCAAGCACCTTTTATTACTCTTTTCAATTAGCGCGCCCTTCACCGCGCATGCTTACTTTAATAATTTCATCAGCCAGCACTGACCAGTGTCGTACGATTCTGTTTTTGTCATTTTCGCTTTTAACCTCGTGTTTAGTGTGAACGTTTTGTTTTGAATTTGCGATAAGCGTTTCATGTTTATTTAAAAACTTAAAATGGTTAGTTGCAAATTGTGTAAAGTTACGAGTGGCTCCAGGTCAACAATTGGTAGAGAAAAAATAACGTTTCACAGGTGTGTCGTATTTTTTCGTTTAATATTTGCTTAAGAGGGACTAATGAATATTTTTGAATTGCTTTTAGGTGTCCCCAGAAACCTGAATTAAAGAAACTGTGGACAGACTTCCTTTATCTTCACCTAGGAAATTCTGTGTCTGTGAACAACTTTTTCCTGTGTTCATTTCATTTTGAAGAAAAGTGTTTTGATAGAACATCAGCCCAGAAAGTAGTTTTAAGACCACATTCAGTACCAACTATTTCTTATACTTTTTTTTTTTTTTTAATTTTTTTTTTAACGTTCCCCTACAGGCCGGTGGCCCAATTACAGGGGAACGGGGGACATACACAACACCCAGAGCCAGGCGGGAATCGAACCCACGACCCAAGGTGTAGCAGGCAAACACGAAGCTACCTAACCCACCCGGGTCCTCCTTATGAAGAAAGGGTATTAAATAAACTCACATGCTGCATGATATAACAATTAATACATATATTTATTTTAGATTACCAATGTAGTGACCTTTAGAGGCAATGAAACGCATCACACAGAAGTTTGTGACGCACCTACGGTAGAGCCTCAACAGAATATAGAAGATGAATTGTCTAATAAAGTTTTTGAAATTACAAAGAAACTTGAAAATTTAACAACAAAAACATGTGCAAACGTTTTACTGAAACAACAAATTAACAACCTGAAGACATTAGTGTCACAACAACAATGCACTATTAAAACGTTAAAACGCAGAACCTCAAAACAGCAACGCAAAATTTGTAATCTGAAAGATGTTGTTTCAAGTTTAAGGAAGAAAATCAACTATTATGAAAACAACAGTTTGGATGTTAATAAATTTCAGGAAAATACAGAACTGTTGAGCAGAATGTGGGCTAAAATTAACAACAAACCATTGCCAAATCAATATGGGCCAGAAATAAGAAAATTTGCCGTTACAACACATTTCTACTCCCCAAAGGCTTTTTCTTTTATAAGAAAACAATTCATGGACTGTCTTCCACACCCAAAAACTTTGTCTGTATGGTATTCTTCAGTGAATGGTGCACCAGGTTTCACAAGTGAGGCATTCGATGTGTTAAAAGCAAAGGCTGAAGAACGTAAAATTGTGTGTTCTTTAGTGTTCGATGAAGTTGTTATTAAACGTTGCATTGAATATGATGGGCAACAATATTATGGATATGCTGATATGGGTAGTATAATCGAAGTAAATGAAAATGAAGAGGCCAAAGAAGCTTTAGTTTTCATGCTGGTTGCTATAAATGGCTCTTGGAAAATCCCCGTGGGTTATTTTTTAAGCCATTCTTTAAATAGTGAGCAAAAATTAGGTTTACTAAAACAGTTGACGTTTTACTTTGTTTCTTCTTATATATATATTTTTTATTCTTATACTATTTTTCAGAAAAGTATCAAACCTTTAGTTGAAACGAACTCATCTTTGTAGTAATCCTGTATTCTTTTTATTTAAATTGTATGTATTTCCTTTAAGTGAATTTATCTTTATTTTGTAATATTGTATTCTTTTAATACCCTATAAAAACATATATGTTATTTATGTTATTATTATCTAGTACATATTTGTAAATTAATATTAATTATTATACAAATTATAAAGTACAGTTCTCTTACTGCCTTTTAATAAAATTATTTTAAGACCCACCGCTAACCCGAAAATGACTGGCATTGAGGCAACATTTCTATGATTACTGGTACTAAGACCAAGTAATGATATGCATTGATTGGATTAATAAAAAAAAATCGAGCTTCTAGAATTACAACATATACAAATTCGTCTGTTATTCTTTAACCTCACCCTATCCCCAAAACCTTAGCGTAACTACCAGTCATTTATAATTTTATATAATGATTTTATTATTCTTGACTAATGTTTTTTCTTTATAATATTATCTCCTTAAATGTTATTCCAAAGATCTCGCAACAATTATGCAGCAAAAATTAAAACTTTGATGTGAATTTGGGTTTTTTGTTGATTATAATTATACAAAATAAATTTCTATGAGTAAAATTCAAATTTTAGATATTCTAAAAAAAATATTTGCATTGAATATAATTTTGAGTAGTGGGACCCCTTATGAATACTATTAAGATACGCCACTGAAGCGGCAGCCATATTGAAGCACCTTTTATTGCTTTCACGCATTTTGGCGCGGGATCACTTATTTGAACTCTCACTCCCTCCATTATATTCCTTCCTCCATGGTCACACCCGTTCCGCAAATATTGCCGAAGTTTCGTTACTGCTGTACTGTGGTCAGGTTGTCAACTTGTTGCCGTTGTTTACACGGTTAAATGGCATTATGGGAATTCTTACTTATCCATGTGAGCATTTTGAAGGTTAACACAAACATGAAATTTTGTTCAACATTTTGGTGTTTTTAACTGGAATATTAGGTAAGAGAAAACTGTAAATAATTTCAGTAAAAAAATAATAATAAAGTAATTTTAGATAAACTGAATTGTTGATCCAGGACTTTGAAGTGTTATCACATGAGACGTTTTCCTTGAAAAATAACTTGTTGCTACGTATAGTGACATTTTTGTGCTTAACAGTTTTGAATAAAATAGTAAGTGAGAAGAACTTCAGATAATTTTAGTGTTCTAGTAAAATAATAATAAAATAATTGTAGGTGAACTGAAATGTCAGCTGTAGAAGACACCACAGCGTTTCCCTTAAAAAATCGATTATTTCTACGTATTATTAACCATTTTGAACGACGTTGTACATTGAGCTACCCCTTTGACTGTGAGACATCTCATATTGAAAATTATTACTGTAATTACTGCAATTTTGAAACAGGACTGATACTTCTTTTCAAACAGCATTTAGAAGAGTATCATAGCGATAAAAGGAACCACATTGATGTGGTAATTGGACAACATGCCATCAAAACATACATTTGCAAAAAGTGTAAGTTTGAATCAAATTTTTTGATGAAATGGCGTCAACATACTACACAATGTATAGGAAAGACAAAAAAAACTCGAATTTACAAATGTGATGAGTGTGACTGCATGTACAAATCCAAAAGTTCCTTAGAAAATCATAAAATTATAAAACACCTTAATGATGACGAAGTACAATGGTACTACTGCGCCAACTGCTCATACAAAGCTAAATACAAAAAGCTATTTAAAAAACACATAAAGTCGCTCCATCAAAACGAAAGAGATATCAAATGGAATGAATGCAAGATATGTACATACAAAACTAAACATGCATCAAATTTAAAACAACACATCAGCTGCCATTTGAATAAAAAAAAATTAGAATGTAAATGGTATAACTGCGAAAAGTGCCCATTCAAGAGTAAATATCAGAATTCTTTAAAAAATCACATCGTTTCACAGCATTTGGATGAAAAGAATATTAAGTGGCATAAATGTGAAGAGTGTCCATATAAAGCTAAATTCAAATCATATTTAAATTTTCACTTGAAAATGCATCATTTAAATGAGCAGGATATTAAATGGTATGGATGTAAAACATGTTCATATAAAACTAAAATAAAATATAACGTAAAAGTTCACACGAAAAGGCATCATTTAGATTTAGATGAACAAGATGTTACATGGTATAAATGTAAAGAATGTCCATATCAAGCTAAATACAAATCATCTTTAAAAATTCACATGGAAAGACATTATGTAGAAGAACAAGATGTTAAATGGAATGAATGTGAAAAGTGTCCATTCAAAGCTAAATACCCGATTTCTTTAAAATTGCACATGAATTTGCAGCATGTTGACGAAACAAATGTTGAACGGTATAAATGTGAAAAGTGCCCTTTCAAAACTCACTACAAACCATGCTTAACCATTCACACAAAGCGAGCCCATTTAAATAACAAAATTCAAAATATTCAAACAACTTTTAGCAATAACTCTTTAAGAGGTCATATACATAAAAACATTATTAGATGTGAAAAGTGCCCATTCGAAACTAGACGTCCAAATTCTTTACAGTTGCACATAATTTTGCAGCATAGTGATGAATGATATGAATGTTTCATCCGTCACAGAAATGAACCCCATTTAGATAAACGAGACATTAAGCGTCGTTAATGTCATAAATATACATACGAATTCAAACTCATTCGTCAAAACTCATTAAAAGAATACACTTTATTGGGAAGGACAGGATATTAAAAGGTGTGAATGCAAATAATTCAAATAAAGGCAACGAATTTGAGCTAATGCAAAATATCTCCACACGAAAGTCAAAGTAATTTTAGTTTCAAAGACTTCGTCAGCAGACTGGATTAGGATAACAGGGGAATTTAGAAGTGTTATTTTATAAACAGTAATTTGACATCTGATACACAAAATTTGATTTTGATATTCCACATTTTATTGTAATTTTTTTAATTTACTACCGTTAAAACTTTTAATATTATTAAAATGACGAATCTTATAAATATGATATACGAAAATCGCCGAACAGATGCTGTGATTTCGTTTAAATTAGATTAGCTGTTTGTTGATAACGCTCCTTTGTTAAAGCACCCATTTGGTGTAACTTCCTATTTATAGATGGATTTTGTATTTTATTGTTATTAATCTATTACCTGTACTATATATTTTTTTTGTTAATAAAAGGAAAAAATTGCCCAAAGCTGTTTGAACAGAACTTTCCTATCCTCTGAAACAAAATCAAGCAAGCCAAGTTTTTAGATAAATTATAAAAGTTGGTTCCGCAAATTTGATTTTTCATGTTGTGGGGCTATGTAAGGTAGAAGTAATTTCACCACGAAAGGGTACAGGGGCGGGGCTTAAGTTGCGCGACTTGTAGCCGGGCCATCAGTGGCGTAACATCGATGCATTGAGAAGGGAGGCTCGGCTGAGTTATACTTCTTTCAAAAACAATTAAAAAAAGAGCAATTTCTACAAAAGAATACAACCATTTAATAAAAATAAATTAATTTGTTTGTTAAAAAAATAGACTTACGTAACAATAAATTATGATAATCTATCACACAAAATATGGTATTTTTAATTATTAAACGAGTTTATAGTGTGAGGGATTATAGCATGAGTAAAAAATTTCACGAACCCCTCATTATAAACCAGTATCATATATTATTTTATAGTCGACTAGTCTTAAATCAACACTTAATTCTTTAGATAAAAGCGGGGTTAAAACTCTGAGAATAAGCAACCTATGACTATAATTATATGGTTTTTAAATTTCTGGCACAATTTATCGATACCGTAAAGTCGGATTATAATAAGGTTTAACGTTTTCTGTCTTTAACGTCGAAGTATGTAATAATCACAGTTCATATTCTAGCATAATAGTCGTTTATAACTAGAGCTTCGACTGTACTGTAATTTAACAGTTATTATTGCTCACTTAAAATTACCTTTTTACTTCTTTTACTTACTTTTTTATTCAACTCATACATCAAATACAGCACTAACAATTGTTTAAATTCTTTTTCAATAATGTCAACGCTAATAAAATAGAAAAGTGATATTTTTATTAACCGCAATAATATTTTAATATTTCAAAATCGAAATATTCATCGCCGCTGCCACTGCTTGCACGATATTTGTAAGGCCAAACCAAAACAATGTTCTGCGCACTCCCACCACCTGTACCCTTTCGTGTTGAAAGCTACTCTAAAACTCCCTATAGATGATAACTTAAGCAGATCCCTTAAAATGAAATACCGTAAAAAATTCATTCCCACTCTTTTTTTTCCGATTTTGACGTGTGGCTCTATTATGAAATGTCTCATTTTTATAAAAGTTAATTTTTTTTAGAGTTGTGACCGAATTTGAATCAAATTTTCGTGCTGAAGTTAATTAACAGCGGGGCGAAATCACATTTGGATATATTGAATTTGAATAGTGTATAGTATGCTTGAGATTTTAGTTAGAGGGGTGAGCAAAGCATATTGAAAGCGTCATTATGGCGTCATTATTGTTTTGGTTCTGTGTGTGGGAGCATGGACGCTGAAAGTTAGCTAGGTTAAATTAGTTGGTTTGGTAGTTAATAAAAGGGAGGAAGACTTTGTTTAACAAAAATTGTAAATTCACCGATCAGGTTAGGATTTTAATCGTTAACTGGTTCTAACACAATTTAACAGACATTAGATTTGTTTAGACAGACATTTGCTAGGAGATTTCATGAAATTCACTGAGTCAGGACTCGTTTGATTTTGTTTGTCTACTTATGTATAAGGTTTCTGGATGCATATGCAAGTGTTACATTATAACACTTCTTAATTTCTCACAGAATATAGTTCTTTAATGGCAGTTAAATTAACATTTTTCCTCGCAACGTTGAAGATTGATTACATCACCGAGGCATTTCCTCGCAACGCTAAAAATTACATCACCGAGAAGCTTATTCCTTGCAATGCTAACTGGTTATTTTTGTGTTTATTTATTACTCCTATGTGTTTTGTTTGGGGTTCACGATATTATAAACCCTCAAAGCTAATTGTTTTAAGTAACGAATCACTTGGATCAAGACATAATTTAATATAATGTAAATTCTTTGTTTGAATCGTTGATAAAGTGTGGCAAATATTTAATCTCATGTAAATTTGTAAGCTTTTTTCAGCTCATACAATATTTCTCTATCTCGCGATTTTAACCACAGTAATTTTCTTTGTTGTATAATTTAAATCGAACGTAAATTTCCATGCAGTTTTAACCTCACGTAATATTTTATTTGCACAAGTTTATTTCACACCGGATCTTTTGTTTATATAAATCTTTGCTAGTTTTTTGTTATGTAAATATTTTGTTGATGAGTGTTTCCATCGTGATGTCCAATTTTAATCTCACATAAGAATTATTATTTGTTGTATAAAGATCAACATTTTAAACACTACACTGTAATAACCCAAACTTCCCGCCTTGATAATGTGCTGTAAATATATTTTTGCCACTCACTATATAGAAAATGTGATTTTCTTCCCTCATTTAAGGGCACAAAGTGTCACTTTACTTCCCGGCGGGAGGTAAACTATTTTGGCTCCCGCCGGAAGCTAAAGTCCATTTTTGTCAAAAATGACGTTTGTAAATTTATAAACTTGCCACTTCTAAAACGTCTGGACGGGTACAATTATTGTCTGAAGCACTACTTTCATCCAAATTCTCCATTTTTTCCAAAATTAATGCGTTTTAAGGAACACAAAACTGCAATTCACGAGACGCTTTGTTCAAATGCGATTAATTTTTTATTTGTTTGAAAATTGTCATAGAAACTCTCTAGATGACTTGAGTTTATTGCGGTAGGTAATAGTTTTTTCATTTAAACTTTTATAAAATTGATTCTAAACGTTCGTTCGAAAAAAAAAATTATATATATATATATATATTGTTAGAGCCTCTGGCGGGGACCTGTTTCACCCCTCCCCACCCGTAAGGGTGGGAGCCAGAGCCACCCCCACCTTGGAACACAGGGTAGCATTCATTCTTAATTCTTAACTCATTCATACACATTCAATTCTCAATTCTCAATTCGTAACTAACAGTCAACTATCTCGACCGCACGGTCATATACTATTCTATTCTTATCATTCTTATTTATCACTTGTCACTAGCAATATATTTATCTTACTGTTCGCTGGTCTTTATTCATTTATACAAACTTCGACATGGTCCTTCGAGCCGGATTAGCGACAGAATAACAGTGGTAGTGATAAGTGTAATTCTCAACATATCATTCATCGGCTGGAATTCAGCAAAGTAGTTATCAAAACATCACCCAGAAATCATCCGCGCAGTGTTCAACTATCGGTGACGACCGCGAGTGCTGTGCAAAATCCTCAAGTATCATTCAGCGTCAGCCAAGATAATTCTATCCAGAAATCCAGGATTCCAGGTAAGCTTTAATTCTGTTTGGTTGGTGTAATACATTTATTCTCGTACTCAAGATGGTGGTAATCCAAGACAATACTTTTGTTAAATTTTCAATTCTTCTCAGCGAAATAGATTCACATTCTAATTTTATATCAAATGTTGCAAATCATCAAAAAAGAGGCCACTTAAAGCGTCGATATGAAGACGTACAGCGAATTTATTCAGAATTACAAATGCTTGTAGTTCAGCAAAAATCCGAAACAATGGTAGTCCCGAATGACACGAGTAACACGGAAACGATCAAACCTATAATTTATAATATCAGAGACGTGCTAAATTATATTCAAAAAATATCCGAATTATATAAAGCTCTCATTGAGAAAACTAATCCATTGTGTACTTTCTCGAATTCATGTAAGATAAACACTAACGTGCCAACCACGGATCTGGAAAAAGCTTGTCAAAACTTAAAGCCTCTAAAGGTACACAAATTACGAAATGGAGAACCCATCAAAATTCACAAAACCCATTTCAGTGCTCTAGGTAAATTGCGGTTCACTATTAGTAAAAAATCCCCTCCGGATTCCATTGATTCAAAAACTCCTATTATAATATCGAATTGTCCCAAATTTCCAAATTCAACACCCAATGAAAAGAAAAATAATCCTGTTAATGACTGTTACAACTCCGAAGGCGTATCTCAGATTACTTTAGATAGAACATCTAATGCAGAGTCATCTACTGCACTAGACAAAGTAAAAAGTCCTCCAGTTAATTCGAAAAACTGTGACTCATTGTTAGTCTGTAACCAATTTAAATGTAGATCGCAATATTTATGTAAATCCGTAGACTCGAATATTAAAGACAATACGTCAAACGTAGCAATACTCGACAAGAAAAAACATTCCGAAAATGCCATACCAAAAATAATAAGTCATTTTAGTAAAAACCCACCGGTGCTTCAAAATACCGCGCTGGGGTTGATTCTTAGCGGCAGTTTTGCATATTTAAAAAATAATACTTCCCATCATCACAAAATTAGTTCAGCCCAAATTATTTCTCGGTTCTTGGAAGCTGAAACCGTCAAAACCGGAAGCAAGTCATTAAGCAAAGGGTTTAAAAGCGATCTTTGTGCAACACCTTTTCAGTATACTACCACAGGCCGTTCACCCGATGGCTATTTCCTGGTCAAACACCCCTTTTCGGAAAATCAGCCGCGGTTAGAGAATTTTGCACAAATGCACCCAAACTGGCTATTATCAGTCGAGAGGAAGTTGCGGCGTTCCACAGTCCCTTATTTCGAAAATTTACCTAAATTAGGAAATTCCCGAGAACTGGCTCTCCAACTGTTATTGTTAGCAGAGGGACGTGATCATAAACGTAACGAGGGTTTTATTGTCTCTCAAAGGAAGTACCTAGACCTTGTGCACCTGAAGGTACTTAACGAAAATTCGTTAAATAATTTCATTTACCTGCAACACAATTGTGTTTTAAATCTTCACATTTCTGCCACTAAACTCTGCGTAGTTGTTGGCCGTTTAAATCATAGTTCAAAGAGTTTAAATATGAATAGCCGGAAGTATAACGAAATTACTGATAAAAACCATCTTGAGGGCGAGGGCGTGTATGCGCCCATTGTCAGAGTTAAAGCCGTCCTGAATTCGCGCCTTTCGAAGCCTCTGTCCAGCGATCGCAATAATTTGGTCGCATTTATACCTGGCCAATGCCTCTTTCGGCCAGCCATCAACTGGTCCCTCAGGAAAAAACCACGCCGTCGTTCCCATCAACAGGCCATCCCTTGGCACCTCATCCACGCTTACCATCAACACTTCTGGAAGTCGTGGTACCTCGAATATTTGACCACACTGAAAGGCAGGTTAGGGTGGCAAAGGCCATCTTCCAACGTTCCAGGAATGGCAAGATGGGTCCTCGTGAAGGAGGAGAAATTTCGGCGTCTACAGTGGCGATTAGGACGCGGCCCTCCAACATCATTTTGGAAAGGAAGTGGTGGTGTGTGTAGTGTCGGTGAAGTGCAAAAGATAATTTCACAATCGCATGCATTATCATTCTATACCATATTGCATACATCTTGTCAATTTGTTATATACATCTCATTGTCAATTTGTTATATACATCTCATTGTTGATTTATTTTACTATGTTCTATGTATTCATATTTGTACCATTGTTATATTCATTCGCCATATTATTCACTCATCGTATTATTCATTGATTTGGTACATTATAATTATTGTAAATTTACTTTTAGGTCTATTGTAAATATTGTGTATTCACTGATATTGTACACATGCAATTTGTTTTAGATATCTTTTTTAGTTAATGCGTTTCTTCATGTTCATTGCTTCTGTAACAATGTCCATCCAATTCATGTATTTTCATCTGTATTATTTATCATTACTACATCATATTATCATTCTAATATTCCATATAGTTTATTTGGTCTTAAAACAATGTAATTGTTTCAAGGCGGGGGGTATGTTAGAGCCTCTGGCGGGGACCTGTTTCACCCCTCCCCACCCGTAAGGGTGGGAGCCAGAGCCACCCCCACCTTGGAACACAGGGTAGCATTCATTCTTAATTCTTAACTCATTCATACACATTCAATTCTCAATTCTCAATTCGTAACTAACAGTCAACTATCTCGACCGCACGGTCATATACTATTCTATTCTCATCATTCTTATTTATCTAACACTTGTCACTATCAATATACATTTATCTTACTGTTCGCTGGTCTTTATTCATTTATACAAACTTCGACATATATATCACTTGAGCAACGTGTCATTTCCTCCCTCGGATTTTTAAGACCCGACGCGTAGCTGAATCCACGGGAGGAAATGTTTCACTTCGCTCCCTTGATATATAAATAACTATTATCTGTAGCAGAGCCGCATAGTTGGTATACGGGATGAAAGTGTTCTTCTTAGAAAACGCAATAACAAATTGTTCCAGAATCACTGTTGCGGTGACCGAATTCAAATCAAAGTTTTCGCGCTGAAATTAGTTAACACCGGCGCGAAATCACATTTGAATAATTTGAATTTGAAAAAAAAATCATCAAAAAAAATCGTTAAAACATAGGCAACCTGGTGCACGGAAACGCTTGCTTGGTAGTCGGACGATTTAGCGCTAGGGGTTTTTAGTTGGAGGGTTAGTGGTTAGACAAAGGGCGGCATGGCGTAGCGTCAGTCTGAATGTGCTTGTGTGAGTGTAACCACGTGGTAAGAGCTAGGTTTAAATTAGTTGGTTTGGTAGTTAATAAAATGGGAGGAAGCCTTTGTTTAACGACGATCAATCGTAGCCAACGTCACTCAGGTGTCCCCAGCCCGCGCGGCTAATTCTTGCGGATTTTAATAAAAAAAAAACATGTGATCTTTCAACGCGAAACACGTGCTGTAAATTTGTTTCATTGTTTGTAAATTCACCAATCAAGTTAGTTTTTCTAAATAGTCAGCTAGTCCAAACACAATTTAACAATCAGGATTATCTAAATAAACCACTTGCTAGAAGATTTCATGAAATTCACTTAGTCAGGAAAACACCTTTGTTGTTTAATTACGAATAGGTTCCTGGATGCATATACGTAAGTGTTACATTATAACACTTCTAAATTCTTCACATAAGATTACTAATAGTTCATTTACGACAGTTAAAGTGCCATTTCGGCCCCTCCCTAATTTTTGTCTATTATTTCTGGCGCTCTCGGCTCACACGCAGTGTATGCACTTGTATGAAAGAACGTCTTCCCGCCAATTTTCAAAAAAAAAAACAACGTAGGTTGTTAGACGATCACAGCCAAGGCCAAATTATGAATTTTTGAATTTTTCGCGGGCCTTTCAAACTTTTTCACGGTCAATTTAAAGGCGGGAAGTTTGGGTTATCACAATATTAATGAGAAAATTCTCCGTGTGGTAATGGTGAGCCCATAACGGCTTTTCAATGTCATATGATTGTCTTGTAAGTTGTAAATGGTTGTAATGCTTTTTTAGTTCTTGACCCGTCGTGGTGAGGGCGCCATCTGGCCTACAAAACTCAAGGTAATTGAAATGGGTTTATTATCTTGACAGTTACGATCTATGATAAATTGTTTAATAATTAAATTTAAACATGTAATATTATTCTCATCTAAGTGCAAAAAGAACACATCTATATCAGGTTGTCAACTTGTTGCCGTTGTTTACACGGTTAAATGGCATTATGGGAATTCTTACTTATCCATGTGAGCATTTTGTAGGTTAACACAAACATGAAATTTTGTTCAACATTTTGGTGTTTTTAACTGGAATATTAGGTAAGAGAAAACTGTAAATAATTTTAGTAAAAAACTAATAATAAAGTAATTTTAGGTAAATTGAATTGTTGATCCAGGAATCCGAAGCGTTATCACATGAGATGTTTTCCTTGAAAAATAACTTGTTGCTAGGTATAATGACATTTTTGTGCTTTAACGGTTTTGAATAAAATAGTAAGTGAGAAGAACTTCACATAATTTTAGTGTTCTAGTAAAATAATAATAAAATAATTGTAGGGGAACTGAAATGTCAGCTATAGAAGGCACCACAGCGTTTCCACGTGTGACATTTCCCTTAAAAAATCGATTATTTTTACGTATTATTAACCATTTTGAACGACGTAGTTCATTGAGCTACCCTTTTGATTGTGGGACACCCCATATTGAAAATTATTGCTGTAATTATTGCAGTTTCCAAACAGAACTGATACTCTTTTTCAAACAGCATTTAGAAAAAAAGCTAAATACCCGACTTCTTTAAAGTTGCACATAAATTTGCAGCATGTTGCGGAAGAAAATATTGAATGGTATAAATGTGAAAAGTGTCCTTTCAAAACTAAATACGAACCATGTTTAACCATTCACACAAATCGAGCCCATTTAAGTCAAAACGACAATCAAGAAGTCAGTAATTTGCATCAATGCGAAAAGTGCCCATTCCTAACTTTTAAAAGCAAGAATTCTTTAAAAAATCACGTAATTTCACAGCATTTATATACAAAGAATATTAGATGTGAAAAGTGTCCATTCGAAACTAGACGTCCAGATTCTTTAAAACTGCACATACTTTTGCAGCATGGTGATGGTGCCACATAAAATAGCGTTAAAACTTTTAATGTGATAAGACTGAGGAACCTTACAGAGATATAGCAAAATCGCCAAACAGATGCCGTGGAATTTGAATAAATAGCCACTATTAATACGTGATAAAGCGCCTTTATTAATGCATCTATTTGGTGTTTTATTATTAATCTGTTACTTGTTCTACTATGTTTCTGTTAATAAACAATAAATATACAAACTTTCCTATCCTTTGAAACACAATCAAGCAACCCCAGTTTTTGGATAAATTATAAAAGTTGGTTCTACAAATTCGATTTTTTGCGTATTGTGTGGCCTACATATCTAAATAGAAAATATGGGTGAATCAAGGACGTTGCAATCTTCGTTCTCTTCCAAGCATCTCAATCTATTTCTGTGTGAAGCAAAAATGCTATTATAATGTGGAAATTTGAAATAATTGTGTTGTTTCCTGCACGGTTGAACCACTATGTTTGTAAAATCAGTTGTTTTTACTAATCTTGCATCGTTGCATATTAAGTGGAATCTTATATTTTATGATTCGCCCATTGAATGTCCTGTTTTGAAAATGGAAAGATTAAATCGATTTGTTGGTTTCAAAATGATAAATCAATTCAAATCAATTTTCTTATTAAAATTTTGTTGAAAAATTTCATCGGATGCCAAGTTTTTTGCAAACCAGGTGGGTAGTGTAATTCCTTGTTCTAGGAAGATTAGCTAATGGAATAATCCATTCTCCGAATTGATGTTAGTTTTGACAGGTGACTTTCTTGCTCTTTTGCCGTGTAATTTAAGTGGACATTAAAACAGAGTAACGAATCAAAAATAATACTGTTACGAAATACATCCTTACGACGCCAATAGGCTACCGGAAGTCTCGATTGCGGGGTCTAGAAAAAAAAACCTAGATGCGGCGTTCGTGATTCATCTAGAGAAATGCAGGGATTTAAATAAAGACCACCGTCGGGAACCAGATGGAGAAGAAGTCGTGTCCAGCGAGTGAACGAATTCATTTAAGTTGCACCACGAAGTTAATTTGTACATAATCGCTGTAATAGTTTTGTCGTGTAAATCGAGTTATTAAGAAATAAATTGTTGAGTTTTACCCACGCCAATTTTATTCGTCCGCTTAACGTAACAATACACACTACACTAAAAGTCAAGCAATACACTGCACTGAACTATTGAGATGAACTGGCACTCTTTTAAATCTTATGACACTTCACTGTTCGCAGCGATTTCCCGCGCGGTTATCGTACTATTGTCAAACCTCAAATACTTTTTGACAGACAATATGCGCGCTAAATTCTAGTTTAATATGTCAGTTGGTATCTATTTAATATATGATCTACGGTTTCTACTAATTTGTCAGCAATTTCTTGTCATTTTACAATGGGTTGTCCTATTTTTGTATGTAATAATGACAATCAAGTGAAGGATTTTCAGAAAGACATTAGATTTTTTAATTTACCCAAAGACAATGTGACCAGACAATTATAGGTGATATGTATCTTGCTACCGGTCGGATTCTTTTAACGAGTTAAATGCGAGAGTATGCTAACATTTCACCGCGGAAGATTACCTACGAAACTTTTAAACTACTTATCTTTCCCAAACAAGGACTAAAATCAAAACCAGGAGCAGTTCCCTCATTATTCCTTCCGGAAGGAAAATCCTTGAATATCAAAGACAAACCACGACAACAAAGAGCTTTAAAGAGACAGTCGGCTAAGTTGGTAAAAGAAATATTTGTTGACATCAAGTAGGTTGTAACGGAGATTTTCAAAATTAACTTTTGTTAATTTATTAGATATAAAACTATAGAACTCTTGTTGTGGACCTTTTGCTTGACGTAGTGAAAATATTATTTATTTGTTCGTAGGTTGGTTCGTGATGATGGTAACACATTCTAGTGACTGGACAAAGGGAACACTTCAAGTATATGCATATTTAATTTGCAAATGATTATTTACAAAAGAGATTTAGAATAATTTGGTATAACAATAAATTGTAGTGAAGTTTAACATGCAAATATAATTAACAGAAAATGAACTTCAGTAGTGAATTTCATGGAATCTCCTATCAAGTACTTTTATCTGAACAAACTCATGAGTGTCAAATTGTATTAGAACCAGTTAACGATTAAAATCCTAACATGAATTTACAAACAATAAAACAAATTCACACCACATGGTAGCGTCGAAAATCCGCATTTTTCCGCTTAGAAAAACCACAAGAATTAGGTACGCGTGTTGGGGAAACTGTGGCGTCGTCGTTACGATTAATTATCACTAAACAAAGGCTTTCTCCGTTTTATTAACTACCAAACCAACTAAACTTAACCTAGCTAACTCACCACGCGGTTACACTTACAACAAACAAATCGAAAAGTTACGCCACCGAACAGAATGACTCATCTACCAGACCAGCCAACTTCTACCAACCCTCTCACTAAAATTCCCTAGCAGAACTACCAGCTACCAGAAAGAACTAAACGTGCACATGGTTGCCTATGTTTAACGATTTTCTTGAATTTTTTTTCAGCGCGAAATTTTTAATTCAAATTCGGGCACCACATTAGATTATAGGGAACATTGTAGGTAAGTGATATTATATTATCGTTGTCATGATTTTCAGAACTGTATATTTGTTTTATTAAACTTGTCACATCAAATATTAATTTATTAGGCCCATTTATTATATAATTGCCGTAATCAGCTTCTCTAATACAGTTTACATTAATTTAATTTTTGTGTTGAATTTAAAAATTAAGAAAGAATAGAATCCAGTGAAGAGAACTTATTTTATTCATTATTTTTGACAGGAGTAAGTAATTAATATTTATTTTAGAAGAAAAAAGAGAAAAAAAAACTTCCTTATACTGATTCCAACGTGTACCCAATGTAATTCATGACTGAGTGAGCATCCCTGTCTCACTCCTCTATTTGTATAAAAACTCTCGGTCTCTATTCCATTCACTCTCACCTTACTTACTGTTTCTTCATATACATAATTCTTGCATTTTCGTTACCAGGTACGCATCTTCTCTCTTTCTTCTCAAATACTCCCACATTTTCTCTCTATTCACGCTATCAAACGTTGCTTTGAAATCTATGAACAATGCGTACATTCGTCCACCCTCTTTCCTTATTTCTCTTTCCTAAACCCTGCCTGGCTGTCTGATAACATACCCTTTACTTCCATCTCCTTTCATAACCTCTCATCTAGTATTATTGCGTATATCTTGTACGCCGTATTGAGCAAGGCGATCCCTCTGTAGTTCTTCACATCACTTTTTTGCCCCTTTTTAAATAATGGGATTATTATACCTTCTCTCCCGTGCCGAGGAAACCCTTTTCCCTTCCAAACTCCATCTCCCACTTCCTATATCCTTTCTTTCACTCCTTCTGTCCCGAATATCCACGCTTCGTTTTGGATTCCATCCCCTCCTGGTGCCTTTCCTCTTTTCAGTCTTTCAATCTGTCTTCCTATTTCGTCTTCTGTTATTTCCGAACTTCTCCACATGTCTTCCGTCGTTGTGATTCCTTTATTTATTTTGCAGCAATATTTCCTCACAACCTCCCAATAACTCCATAAAGTGTCTTTTCCATTCCTGTATTTTGATTTTTCTACTGACTTTAGTCTTCCTTCTCCGTTCCGTGTTTATATATCTCCATACTTCTTCTTCTGTTTTCAGGAACTTTATTTTCTTCTCTTCTTCTTCTTCTCGTTTTTCTCTTTTTCTTTCTTCACATTTTCTCCTATCATTCTCTCTTGCTTTTAAGTAATCTTCTTTCCTTCCCCTGTTATTCTTCCATTTTCTTAATTTTTCCCTTGCTTTTCTCTTCAAGTCACTACATTCTCCGTTCCATCCGTTATTCCTCCTTTGCCATATGTATATCTTTCTTTTTTCCGTAGCTTCTACAATTAAGTTGATGAGTTCTGCTATCATAGCTTCTATATCTTCTTTTACTTTGAATTTCTTTTTTTCTAGTATACTTCTGTATCTTTGAATTCCCTCTTCATCCCATATTCTTTTTTCTGTTTCTTTTCTTTCGTTTCTTCTCTCTTGTTTTTCGTACTTTTGCTTTTTTTCTTTGATTTTTAGTTCGAGTGGTATGTGGTCTGATTCTACCCTTTCCCTCATTTTGAAACTCTCTATTTTTCCCACGCCTCTTCGTTGACAATCCCATAGTCTATAATTGATTCTCCCCTAGCCCCTACGTACGTCCATTCTCCTTCTTCATCTCCTTCCTTGTTTCCATTCAAAATTTCCCACCCCATTTCTTCTATTACGTTCCACAATATTTTCCCTTCTTTGTTATTTGCTTTGTCTTTTGATCTTCTTTTCTCTCCCTTTTCTTTAACTATTATTCTTGTCCACTTGTCGCCCAATCTTGCGTTAAAATCCCCTCCTATCAGTATTTTTTATCTTCTTTTTCTTTTGTTTCCTTTTCTATGTTTATCTTGGTTTCCTCCATTTTCTTGCTATAAACGGTTATTATTTCCCATCGATTGTTATCCAGCTGTATTACTTTCTTCATTAGTCCGTTTTTACTATTACTTCCCTGTTGCAATTTTAGCATTTCTTTTCGAATTCCCATTACTATTCCCCCGCTTGCTCTCCACTTTTTCTTTTCCTTTGTCGCCCCTAGACACTCATATTCTTATGGTAGTGTCTCTTCAAATTTCTCCCAGTTTTCTCTTTGTACCTATGTCCCTACTATTCCCACCACATTAAATTTTCCCACGTAGTCCCAGAACTCCTTTTCCTTTTTTCACAACCCTTGGACATTCCAAAGCAGTACTTTCACCCCTTTTTCTCCTAATTTTGTACCAGCTTCCCTTTTTCCGATTTCCCTATCTGCATCCTTCATTCCTTTTCCTTGTTTCCTTCCATGTTTCCTCCTTTTCTTCCTTTTCTTTTGGCTCTTTACTAAAAATTTTCTACTTTCTTGAGTCTGCCCTCTTCTTCATTCCATTCAAAATTTCTGCCATCTAAGTTAACTTTTTATATCCCATTCTAACCATATTTCCTTTATTTCTCTCTTTTATTGCCTCTTCTTTTATTTTGATTTAAATTTTTCTTTCCGTTTTCGTCAGATCATTATTTATGTAGATTGACGACCCTTTTAAGTTCTTGCTTTTCATTAGATTTATTTTTTCTTCTCTATTTTTGAATTCCACTACACAAATTTTCTCTGCAATTTTGTACGCGCTTTTAACTTTACTCTCTACTTTGGCTTTCTCTTCTAAAAATCTTATCACCTTTTCAATTATCTGCTTCTGCTCTCCTGTTCCTATTTCCAATCCCATCATCACTACTTTGTTTCTTCTCTTTTCTCTCTCTATTCGATTTAGTTGATTTTCTGCTTCACCTACTCTCTTTCCCATTTCTTCTTTAGCTGGCTTCCATTCTTCATACTTATCCCTAATTTCTTGATTTTGCTCCTGTAGTTGATCTCTTGGTTGCTTTAATTCTTCTCTTATTGTTTTAAGCTCGTCTTTAAGCTAGTGAAATCTAGTTACGCCACTGACTCGCTCAACCACTTATTCCTTCATTCACGAATGTATACGAATCCGATACGAACAGAGAAGAGGGTTTGTACATGTGTGATACAAAACAATGAGCATTGTAGTCCCTCTATACATAAAACCTCTCTGGGTAAACTAACCTCAAAAGAAAAATTTTATTGGACATTTTGTGATTTTTGTGTTTAATAGTTTTTAAATAGAATAGTAGGTAAAAAAGCTTCATCTAATTGTAAAGTGTTACAGTAAAACGGTAATAAAGTCATTGTAGGTAAACGGAAATGTCGATCTTGGAAGATTCTGAAGCGTTTTCACATGCGATAGTTCCCTCGAAGAATCAATTATTGCTACGTATTGTGAATCATTTTAAACGATACCCTTCATTGAGCTTCCCTTTTGACTGTGGGAGCGCTTATATTGAAAACTATTATTGTAATTATTGCAATTTCCAAACGGAACTGATACTCCTTTTTAAACAGCACCTAGTAGAGTATCATAGCGATAAAACGAACCACAGAGATTTGTTAATTGGGAAACATGCTATCCAAACATATATTTGTGAAAAGTGTAGCTTTGAAACAAATTTTTTGATGAAGTATCGACAACATTCTTCACAATGTATAGGAAAGAAAAAAAATCTTCAAATTTACAAATGTCATGAGTGTGACTGCATGTATAAATACAAAAGGTCGTTAAACCGACATAAAATTTCGAAACACTTTGATAAAATACAGCTGTACCAATGCAGCAAGTGTCCCTACAAAGTTACAAAATCAGCATATTTTAAAAAGCACATAATTATCCACCATAAGAATGGACAAGATTTTAAATGGCACCAGTGCATAATGTGTTCATTTAAAACTAAATATCCATCTTCTTTAAAAATTCATATAAATTCGCAACATTTGGATGAACAGAATGTTAACTGGCATGAATGTAAAATGTGCCCATATAAAACGAAATACAAGTCACATTTAAAAGTTCACTGGAATACACACCATTTAGATGAAAATGACATTAAATGGCATGAATGTCAAAAGTGTTCATTCAAATGTAAAAGTGGTTATCTTTTAAAAAGACACACAAATCGCCAGCATTTAGAAGAACAGGATATTAAATGGTATAAATGCGAAAATTGTCCACATAAAAGCAAGCAAAATGCTGATTTAAAGAGACACATAATTCTGCATTTGAAGGAACAGGAAATCAAGTGGCATGAATGCAAAGTATGTCCATTCAGATCGAAACATCCATCTTCTTTAAAAGTTCATATAAATTCACAACATTTGGATAAACAGAATGTTAAATGGCATGAGTGTAATAAGTGTCCATATAAAACAAAATATAAGTCACATTTAAAAGTTCACTGGAGTACACACCATTTAAATGAAGACGACATTAAGTGGCATGAATGTCAAAAGTGTTCATACAAAAGTAAAAGTGGTTTTCTTTTAAAAAGACACACAAGTCGCCAGCATTTAGAAGAACAGGATATTAAATGGTATAAATGCGAAAATTGTCCACATAAAAGCAAGCAAAATGCTGATTTAAAAAAACACATAATTGTGCATTTGAAGGAACAAGAAATCAAGTGGCATGAATGCACAGTATGTGCATTCAAAACTAAATATCCATCTTCTTTAAAATTTCATATATATTCACAACATTTGAACAAACAGAATGTTAAATGGCATGAATGTGAAAAGTGTCCTTATAAAACTAAATATAAATCGCATTTAAAAGTTCACTGGAATACACACCGTTTAGATGGAGACGACATTAAGTGGCATGAATGTGAAAAATGTCCACACAAAAGTAAAAATGGTTTTCTTTTAAAAAGACACACAAGGCTCCAGCATTTAGAAGAACAGGATATTAAATGGTATAAATGTGAAAATTGCCCACATAAAAGCAAGCAAAATGCTGATTTAAAAAGACACATAATTGTGCATTTGAAGGAGAATTTACAACATTTGAATAAACAGAATGTTAAGTGGCATCAATGTAAAAAGTGTCCATATAAAACTAAATATAGATCATATTTAAAAGTTCACTGCAATACACACCATTTAGATGAAGATGCGTGCCATGAACATAAAAAATATTTATACAAAACTAAAAGTGGTTTTACTTTAAAAAAACATATAAATCTGCATAGTCTGAAAGAACTGGATATTATATCAGATGGTATGAATGCAAAATGTATCCATGCAAAAGTAAATATAACTCAAATCTAAAAAGCCACGTCAATCGACAGCGTTAAAATAATTAAATTTGACAAGACTGAGAAGTTTTTGGACATCTTATAATTCACTAATCTTATTGAAGATAAGTGCTACCAAGCCCTTTTATACATTGTATGCACTATACATATGAATTTCTTCCATTACTTTCTGTTGCTAATAAAAAAGAAAAATGTAATATTAAAGCTTATCAAATCTTGTAATATTTGTATGGTTTTGACAGGTTTTTGTTGAATTTGAATTTAGTTTATATGAAATTGTTATTTCTGTTATATTTTTTGGCGTTATACCGTCGTTTCCAAAAAATTTCGGGCAAATGACATTAACATGAAAGTTTATTGATTTACTTATCTTGCCCGAAATTTTTTGGAGACGACAATTTAGTACCAAAAATGCCTATACTCTGTAAGAATTTGTACTACAGGTTAGTTTTTTATTAATAAAATATTATTTATTTTCAAATGTCGTATAACTGACACTTATAGGACGTTGTTACCGGTGTTTCAGTTTCATTTCTGTGACCACGTATTTGAGCGGAATATAAGTGACTATAATGACCCTGGTAACTTAAGGCCATTTTTTTAATTAAGCGAGGAGACAAAATAATCGTTTTAAATTTTAATCGTTTGAAAATAAAATACTGTAATTCATTCGGAGTTTAAGTGACGGTTTGTGAATGATTTGAAACAATTCAAAATAAGAAAAATTGGTCGAAAGTTATTTCGACAGAACTTCCCTCGCTTCTGGTTTCACGTTCTTTAATAAATTGATTGTTTATTCATTAATTTTTTTGTCACCCTGTATAAGCAAATCTAAAAAATATGAATGCAATGGTAGGTTACAAATATAGTCTGATCATATTTATTTTGCACATGTTCGAAAGAATTTTTTTAGCAAAATTTTGGGGCGGCGTCATCAGATTTTCAGGGGGAATGAGCAAATACATTTTGATCAAAAATTTACCATGCCTATAATAACTTTAAAACAACTCCAAAACTTTAAAGAATTCGGTTTTGTAGTTCCTGCTTAAATCAATAAAATAAATTCACGCATTCATTAATTTTTTTGAGTCACTGTATATGCAACTCCAAAAAATATGAATGGAATGATAAATCACAAGTACATACTCATCATATTTTGTACATTTTAGAAACTTTTAAGCTGACGTCATCAATTTTTTGGAGGAGATAAGTAAATATATTTTGATTAAAAATATATCATTCTTACCATAACTGTAAAGCATCTGCAAGATTTCAAAGCATTCGGTTTTGCATATTCCAAATTAAATTGTAATGTTTCAAAATTTTGATTTTTTTTTTTTCGGAGTCATAAACTACATGTGTAGGACTATGTTAATTTATACATTTTAAAAACCATTTACAATATGTAAAAGTTCTAGATATTTTGACTTAAATTATTATATTAACTACACTTCATAAGCTTCTCACTGGATATTTACAAAAGTTCATTCAAGGGATTTAATTTAATATTAAACACTAATCCCTTTTTGGAAGAAAGGATTGTAGTGGTTAGATTTGAATTAAAATTTCGCACTGAAAAAAGCCAGCGGGGCGAAATCTCATTTGAATAATTCGAATTTGAAAAAAATTCAACCAAGAAAATCGTTATGCATAGGCAACCACGTGCACATTTATTTCTTTTTCTGGTAGTTGGTAGTTCTGCTAGGGAATTTTAGTTTGAGGGTTGGTAATGAGGGGGTTGGTAGCGAAGAGTCGTGACGCGCCACCTTTTGTTTTGTTTGGTGTGAGTGAAACACGCGGTAAGAAAACTAGATTGAATTTAGTTGGTTTGCTAGTTAGAAAAAAGGAGAGCCTTTGTTTAACGAAAATTAATCGTAACGATTGCGACGCCACGGTTTCCCAAACAAGCGTAACTAATGATTGCTGTTTTCTAAGCGGAAATATGCGAATTTTCGACCGACGCCAACACGTAATGTAAATTAATTTGTTTTGTTGTTTGTAAATTCACAGTTCATGTTAGGATTTTGATTGTTAACTAGTTCTAATACAATTTAACAGTCATGAGATTTTCTGGATGCTTAATATACTTAAGTGTTACATTATAAAACTTCTTAATTCCTCACAAAATTGCTAATAGTTTATTTACGGCAGTTAAATTAACCTAACGTTGTCCTACCCTGGGAAAAGGACCGTGAAACTGAGGGACGAGAGGATTAAAATTTTCGGGACATTTTTCTCGCAACCGAGATGCATATTCCTCGTAAGACTGGATGCATTTTGTGTTTATTTATCATGTGTTTTGTTTGGAATAAACTGGGGACAGTCCACAATATAAACTTTCAAAGCTAATTGTTTTAAGTAAACAACCACTTGGATAGTGGGATAATTTAACATCATATAAATTCTTTGTTTGAATCGTTGTTAAAATATGACATACTTTCACATCAGGTAAATTCTTTGTTTGAATCGTTGATAAAGTGTGGCAAATATACATGTAATTGTGTTAGCTTTGCAATGTTTCACTTCATGCAATTTTTCTCTATCTCACAATTTTAGCCTCAGTAATTTTCTTTGTTCCATAATTTAAATTGAACGTAAATTTTCATGGTCTGCAGTTTCTAACCTCACGTAATTTTTGTCTACTTCGCACCAGATCTTTTGTTTTTACAAATCTTTGCTAGTTTCTTTTCATGTAAATATGTTGTTGATGAATGTTTCCATCATATGAATTATCTGAGGTCCGATCTTAATCTCAAAATTTGCTGTTTAAATTTTAAATTTTTGCGAGAATGTATGGCGAGAATAAATGTTATTTATTGCTCTTTGTTGAAACTTTAACGCTTGTTCAGTTTTCGTTTAATACTAGAATCATTGAAAGTGAACATGTAAAAAGGAGTTGAGATAGATAACGCAATAACACGTGGCGGAAGCGGAGTGCGCGGTTCCTGGTCGAGCTGACGCACTCCAGTGCGGCGTAATTAAATGTTGCTTGTTACCTATTGATGTTATCATTCTTTCGGGTGTTCAAGTAAATGCCATAATCGTCCCTCTGCTATTCTCCGATTTCTTGGTATCTTGTTTACGATTAAAAAAAGGTCAATAAATTTTACAACTCATTTTTATTAAAAATTAATTTCAACGAAACAATTATTGTTTGTAATGGCTGCTACAAACAATCTTAAAATTATTGCTTAGTTAACCTGCTTTTTACAAATCTGTCATAAGAACTACACTTACGTCACAGAGTTTTTATTAAACTATGTTTCTGATTTATTAAAATCACCATCAAACTTTAATATAAAATTAAACAAATTAGAAAATAAAAAATAAATACACAGATAAAAATTAAGTGAAACTACTACTGTTAGATTTAATCCGGTTACTTTATGTTCTTAAATAACATTTAGTGAAAGATTTTTAATAAAATATCGATAATTTCACATATTACTCGTTAAAATTAACTTCATTACAATCAAACGTGCATTAAGAATTATTACACTTTTTTTATTTACAAGTACTAACTTTAATTTATGAGATGATCACATGGCTGTTTGATCGTCTCTTTATTTTAGGCTAAACATTTAATAAGTATTATCCTATTAAAAACATACAAAAGTATACAAAAACGTTTCCTCAACATTTTATAAAATATTTCAATGAGTTGTATTTATGTGGAAAAATAAAATTATAAATGCGGTAGGTACACATATAAGTAACACGTCTTCACATTCGTATCTACTAATGGCTGTTAGTAGATATTTTTCTCTAACAAAATTTTATTCAGAAAGTATACGAAAATTGGCACACTTTGATCTCTGATTATATTTTTGCAACTCAAAACTCATTACACTATGAACAGAAGTTGTTTCGCCTAAACTTAAAATTTCGAAAAACTCAAATATATAGATATTACCTTTTCCCGCGTTACAACAATTAAGCATTTAATTTTTTTGTTCATCATTTTAGAAATGGCGGACATTTTACACCACACGTATCTTACACTTACGTTGATTAAAAAATTTCGGATCAAAGGCAACTACATAAAACAATTCTTTCACGCATTTTCGATCCGAATATTTTGAATCAGAATCATGCTGAAATGCGTAATATATGTATTGTTCCTGCCTGCCGTCACATTCGCATATCAACTCAAGAAAAAAATTAATGTTTTTGAACTTTTGGGGAGAAAATTTCCAAATTTTTACATTTTAAAACTGCGGTAATAAAATTAAAGATAATTAGATGGCTGTCTAATCATCTTTCATTAATTGATTAATAAGTGCGAAAAGTATGTATAAATACTCACATCTACATATGAATGTATAATATTTTCGTGTTAAAGCTTCTAGCAACTATTATTTTTTTTGTAACATATAATTACAATTTGTCACGACAATAATTTATTTACCAAAAGTTAATTAAAAAGCTGTATTTTATGGCATTCCGATTACTCTATTTTTGCCATATTTCACTCACGAATCTTTTCTCTATTTTATAAAATGAAGCTCAAAATCGTCTATATTTGTGAAGCCGTATTTCCTACTATTATTATATTCACAGTTTTAACTATTATTATACCATCAAGAAAAAAATTGATTTATTTTATTAACTATTTAAACATATAAAGACTTGTTAAGTAGGTACATATAAGGAAACTTTCAAGGTACTGTTTTTAATAAACACAAACAGTGCATTCCTGTTATATTATCAAAGATCAAAGTGATGCAAACAATAAAATGACATTCGTTTGATATAAACTTGTAGGCCCTTAGTTTTGAATGTCGTATAACTTGGTTTAAATTTTCTTACACATAATATTCTTGAAATTTACATCCAAGGAGTGGTCCTCAAACCTCAGAAGGAGGTTGAAGTGGGGTTTCTGGAGAAGCTAAACGCACTTGATTGCTTTCTGATCGAACAACTCCGTTGACTTGTGTGTTAATCTGCGTATCTCTCCATGGAGTTGTCAAAATCTGTATACGCTTTAACAAGATTTGGATATTAGTTTTTTTTAGATGTTTGTAACAGTGTCTAATAGTATGTTTGGCGATGTGTTACTTACCTTTAAAAAGGGACCAGGTGTGGTTAATATTTTAAAGGCTGCTACGCTGGGAATCATAACAACAGATGAGCTTGCAATAATCCATCCTAAAACGTTTGCCCACCCTGGATAGGTATAATCTTCGTAACTCAGCGGTTCATACCCCAACAATCCATAAACAATTATAAAAAGTAAAAAAAGAGGTGCTGCAAATTTCCAACAAAACCTCCAATAATAGCCAGGCGCAAATCCAATCATATCTTTTATATCGTCGCAGAATCGTTGAGTGCCTAAAATTTTTATAAAATTAAACCTCCAACGAGTTGGTTTCTTCAAAAATCTTAATAACCATAAATCCAAGAAACAGCAATAGCTTCAAAGAACACAGCAAACAACATTGAATATCCGGCTGCGTATCTATCCAATAGGTGAAAAAAGTAAAACCCTCCTTGCGAACATGAAGCTAAACCTACTAGGAAGTACAAACTGAAGAGACAAGCTACGAAGATTTCTCTGTGACGACCAATTGTAGGAAATTCGTCACTAAGTGCAGTGATTATTGCTTCGGATCCACCAAACTAAAATCATTTGTTGTCAGTGAAATAAAGCGCTTTTGCTTTTATACTTACAGAACTGTCAAGACCAAGTGTTAAAAGCATCATAAAGAATATGAGAGCCCAGAATATGCTGCCAGGCATCGTAGCTATGGCTGCTGGATAAACTACAAATACTAAGCCGGGACCTTCTGTTGCTACTTCTTGAATTGAACAACCAGCTGCATGGGCCATGTAACCCAAAACAGAGAATATAACAAAGCCTGCTATGAAACTAGTTGCCGAATTAATAACACTCGTTAGAAGTGCATCTCTATAAATAAACAATTAGTACCGGCATGTAAAAAATACTGTTTCCATAATTACTTGTAAACGTTGTTGTGATATTTGTTGTAAGACGCATAAGCTAAAAGAACGCCAAATCCAGGACCTAAAGAAAAAAATACTTGGGTTGCAGCGTCTACCCAAACCTGAAATGTATACAATACAGTCTTAATAGTGCATACATGTAGATATTTCATTTACCTCGGCCGAAGATATTGCGTTGAAATTGGGATTCAAGTAGTACTTTATTCCTTCTGCAGACCCCGGCAAAGTGATTCCTCGAACCAAAAGAATAAGTAGAACTGCGTACGGGAAAAGTGCCGTAAACCAGACAACTTTTCCTGACGTAGATATTCCTTTCCACAACGAAAAATAACAAATAACGTAAACCGCTAACAAACATAACGCCATATCCCATTTAATAGCACCCAGGTCATGAAGTCCCTTACTCTGATGAAGTTCAAGAATGGCTCGACTGAAAATTATTAACACGTGAGTAATTCCTGGCGATCGCAAATAGAAACAGAAAAATACTTGAAATATTCCGAAGCGGCCGAAGCAAATCTAGAATCCACCCTTGAATTTGCCTGAACTAACAAATCCGTCTTATTGTTTTCGGTGAAATTTCTTGACGGGAAATCAAACTGAAATATTTAATGTATTGGAATTGAGGAAGTTTTAAGCTTAAAACACTTTTAAAATGTTTAGAAAGAGGTTGTCCGCGTGCTTACCGGTCGGCAGTTGGGTGTGTTCCAAGGATTGTCACAAGTGGTCCACGGTAACAGATTGGTAAACGAAGCGAAGAAAAATCTGAGGGCCCAGGCGATTATAACATTATAATAAAAGTCCACGTAAAATGCTATTAAAACCACAGCGTATCCAATTCCTGCAACAATGATTTATTTTAATTTTTCTGTTTTATGAAGGTAAAATTAAATAGAACAGAAATAAGTATCAAGTAAAATATTATATTACAAGAGGAGTATTTTGAATTGCCTGCGTTATTGTCTACCTGTACTCGTTGCATGTATTTAATAAGGTAAATGTGCTCATATTCTCCGAGTTTCGAATTATTGAAAAATTCTGCACGTTGAAAAAATTAAAACTAAAAACAAGTACCCACCACAGATACATTTTTATAAACATAGCAGCCCTATGGACCTATCTACTGAATAGTAAAAGATTGTGGTGACCGAGAAATTCAATCAAGTAAATCGTTAAACATAGGCAACCATGTGCACGTTTAGTTCTTTCTGGTAGTGGGTAGTTCTGCTAGGGAATTTTAATTAGAGGGTTGATAGAAGATGTTCGCTTTGTAGAGGGAGGTGAGACACATCACTTTGGGTTTGTTTGTTGTGTATGAAACCACGTGGTGAATAAGCGAGGTTAAGTTTAGTTATCTTGGTAGTTAATAAAAAAGGGGCTGTATTTGTTTAACGACAATTAATCGAACCGATTACGATGCCACAGTTTTCCCCAACACGCGTAGCTAATTCTTGCGGTTTTTCCAAGCGAAAATGAGTGAATTTTCAGCCGACGCTAACACGTGGTGCAAAATTGTTTCATTGTTTGTAAATTCACAGTTCATGTTAGGATTTTAATCGTTATCTAATTCTAACACAATTTAACAGTCAGGAATTTGTTTAGATCAAGTACTTACTACGAGATTTCATGACATTTACTTAGTCAGGACTTGTCCTTTGTTTATTAAGTTATGAATAAGGTCTCTGGATGCTTATATTTAAGTGTTACTTTATAACACTTCTTAATTCCTCACGCAAGATTGCTGATAGTTAATTTGCGGCAGTTAAAATCAATCTAACGTTGCCCCACTCTGGGAAAAAACCGTGAAGGTACGGTAGAATTCATAATATCGTGGACTGAGGTACGGGGGGATCAAAAATGTCTCCCCTTAAGCAGTTATTATCATCGTATCATCATTACATCACCGAGACATTTTCTCGCAACGTAGAAAATTACATCACCGAGAAGCTTTTCTTGCAACGCCTGATGCATTTTGTGTTTATTTATGATGTGTTTGTTTGGGTTAAGCTGGGGACAGTTCATGATATAAACACTCAAAGCTACTGGTTTTAAGTAACCAGTCACTTGGATCAAGACATCATTTACCATAATGTAAATTCTTTGTTTGAATCGTTGATAAAGTCTCGCATGATTTAATATAATGTAAATTCTTTGCTTGAATCGTTGATAAAGTGTGGTATAATTTAACATAATGTAAATTCTTTGTTCTGGCAGCGGCCATGTTGAAAGCGTATTTTCAAACCGCCTTGTATCCGAGGGGTCTTGGAGTTCCGAACAGAGTATATCGACGGTACGAGCATCAGCGGTGTCCAAGGGGTCCCGCAGGTCCGACCGCACTAGTACAAAGCCAACAAGTTTTCTTACGAAGATTGTCCGCGAGTTCCATATGGACTATAAACCGTGTCATTAGAGGGACTGCACCGCGAATACGTGAAAGTGTTAATATACCAATAACCCATACCTTTTATTGTGATATTTCGTACTGTAAATAAAGTGCATATTACCAACTGAGCTAGTCGTTCGCTATAACTTCAGTAATTTTCTTTGTTGTATTTTCGCTAACTGCCTATAATTTAAATTGAATGTAAATTTTCATGCCCTGCAGTTTCTAATCTCACGTAACTTTTTATCTTCACAAGTTTTATTTCACACCAGATCTTTTTTGTTTTTATAAATCTTTGTTAGTTTTTGTTTCGTGTAAATATTTTGTTGATTAATGCTTCCATCATATAATTATCTGATGTCCAATCTTAATCTCAGATAAGAATTCTTTACTGTTTAAAACTTCACGAGAGTGTATGGCAAATTTAAATGTTGTGTATTGCTTTTTTTTGAAACTTTAACACTTGTTCGATTGAAATAACACAGAAACACGTGGCAGAAGCGGAGGGCGCGGTTCCTAGTCGAGCTGGCGGGATTTATCGCGGCATCTGCACAAAAGACGTAGATATGAATGGAAGTCAGGGGCGGTCGAGATGACTCTCTCACAGCCGGGACCCAACCACGAGTTTGCGACCGTAACGGCCTACTCGTACGGCATGTTCGTAATGGAGCGGTGCTGTGCGGTAGTGCTTGCTAGAATCACCGTCGTAGGTAGGAGAACAGCCACGACCAGGAACCCCAAACTCCGCTCGTGCTACAACGCCCTCTATGCGTAATTTTGCTGTGTTCTAAAATGAAATTGAGATAGTTCGATCGCCACACTCTTATAGCGCTCTGGTGTCGGCCCTTTGAAATCTGAGCGTTAGCGAAGATTTTAAGACGACTAAGGCGGTTATGGCACCGTTTACATCCGTGGTGTGTTCAAGATTTTATCGGTTTCTGTCCATTTTTTTTAATAATAATAATAATAATAATAATGTATATATTTTCAACAGGTTTACGAAACCCAATTACAGAAAATAGTATATAATTCCTATTACACATAAAAAAATTCAAAACTATAATCCAATAATCCCAAAATTAATTAAAAAGTAAAGAAATTTGGTTGATCACGTTTACATCATATACTTCGGTGTCATAGTTACATTTTGTTGTTTATTCAAAAAAAAAGTGAGAAAAATTAGAAAAATTATGGATTTAGGCGACATAATTTAGGCCCGAAAATGTTCAAAAAAGCAGCCAATCAAGCATTAAACAGTTTAAATGGAACCGACAAAGCTGCTTAGATTATTGCTTTTCACATTGATTACTCTTCAATTCCGTAACAAATGTTGACAATTGACATTTCGGTAAGGTAATATATTACCCTACCGATTTTACATATATGATACAGTTATGGCTTTTCTACCAGCCAACTTTTATAAATATAAAAAGGCATTTAATAGACAGAAACCGGTAATAGTTATTCTACAAGAAGATAAAAAGAAAATTTACCCACGAATGAAAAGTTTGCCTAATGAGCGAGCGTAGGGGTAAATTTTTATTTGCCTTCGAGTGGCATACAAAATTTTATTTTATTTTGGGTCTCTATCCTTTTTTTCCTTCTCTTATACAGTATTTAAATCTGCAAAAATTGGTATGGTTTTTTCTATTGTTAAAAAATAAAAATTAATGGTGTAATCGATAAATGAAACACTTGTGTCGAGTTCTATTAAACTGCATCAAAGAGTCAGATCTTCAGGACACTTTGTGATTTCGAAATGTGTGCATTAAAAATGGGGAATAGCTCACAATAAGATTTATTGCACGTTCCTAAGTGGGAGCAATGTCTAGAAAAAATTATTTGAAAATAAATATATAAATTATTATACAACGCCACTGGGAGTGTTTCTTGACCTACCATAACTACTATTCAATTAATGATCCAGAACGACTAGCATTAAGAAATAAAAAAGCGGTGCACTGATAAGCAACGTGCAAGAACACGACAAGGGCCATTCATTAGTTGTTAACGTCTTTGACAATGATGAATTTTTCCAATTCAGAGCATGTCAACATGGTAATGCTTGATGGTGTGGCTGATGGAAACGCCAGGTTGGCTCGCGAATTGTGAATCGAGCGCTTTCCAAATCAAGCTTGAAACTCACAATCGTGGACGTGATAGGACCGAAAGAATACTGCAAGCTGAAGAACAAACGCGTCAAAGCAAACCCCGACGTCAGCACTCGCCGAATTGCAGTTGAAGTTGGAGTTTCACAGTTTGTAGTGCATCGTATATTAAAAGAACAAGGCTTACTTACATCCATACCACGTTCAAAAAGTGCAAGCTTTGGATTTTCCATTTATGTTAACCAAAGAGAGTAAACGCAGCACATTAACTCGAGTTTTTAAACAATGTGCTGGAAGAGTAGCTAGATGTGGAAGTGCCTCTAGGTGAACGAGTTCGCATATGGTATTTGCATCATGGAGTACCACCACATTTTGCTAGGCCAGTAACTGAATGGTTAAATAACCATTTTCCTAACCAGTGGGTCGGTAGAAACGGCTCACTAGCTTGGCCTCCGCGTTCACCCGATCTTAAACCGTGTGAATATTGTATGTGTCCAGAAACTATCGAAGAGCTTCAACAACGAGCGGAAGTGGCAGCCGCTACAGTCCATGGAACTCTCGGAGTTTTTTTTACGTATCCGTGCAAACATGTTGCGACGTGCTGAAGCCTGTATTGCTAGATAAGGATAACATCTTCAACATTTATTGTAAAAAGGTAGTAGCATTCTAAGTTACTCTTATTTTTTTTTATGAAGCATTACCAAAAATCGGTCCTTTTCAGGACCATTATTTGTTTCTACAATAAATCTTTCGCATTGACCTTTAACGATGCATGAATGAACGAATAATAACCAGCAAAAAGTCGGTTTTACTTTTAACTATTTACATCGTTTTTATTCGAACGTTTTTCCAAAAGGTGGATTAGTGGCATCGTATGGAAAGGTTTTGTCCCATTCAACTTTTAATTCCTTTTTTCTATATTTCCACATTGCTTCGGTACGTGATGCCGTGGTTACAATTATTGCATAGATTTCGAAATCATCCTGTATACAAACATGATGCCACGACATAATTATTGTCAACTATTGAAAAAAATGCTAAAGTGTACTGTTAAGTGCAAATTTAAAGATTTTGTATGTCCTTGACCTTTTTACTTCCCGAGCGTAAGCAAAGGAAGTATTGTAATCGAGTCCGTCGGCCGACTCTCTACTTTTACGTTTTCTCGATCTTTCATGACTCCTAGAATACGAAAAAATAGGTCTCCCATTTCCGTCTGTCTGTCCGTCCGTCTGTCCGTCTGCCGTCCCGGATTTTTATTAGACAGATAATCTCCGAAAGTACTGGACCGATTGTTGTGAAATTTTGTACTTATGGCCTACACATGTAGTTTACGACTCCGAATTCAGTTTTTACCCGAAACGTCCAGATTTTCGGAAAAACAATCAAAATCATAAAACAACATTTTGCAATTTAATTTTGAATCTGCTAACCCGAATGTTTTAAAATGTTGCAGATGTTTTAAGGCTCTAAAGAGCATCATCAATCTTTGGTCAAAATGTATTTGGTTATCCCCTCCAAAAACTTGATGACGTCAGCTCAAAAGTTTGCCGAATAAATCCTATCTAAAATGTACAAAATATGATGCGTCTGTACTTGTGACATATCACTCCATTCATATTTTTTGGATTTGCATATACAGGGTGACTCAAAAAAATTAATGAATGCGCAAAATTTATTTTATTGATTTACTCAGGAACTACAAAACCGAATGCTTTGAAATCTTGAAGATGTTTTAAAATTATCATAAGCATGGTAAATTTTTTATCAAAATGTATTTGCTCATCCCAACTAAAAAATTGATGACGTCACCCCAAAATTTTGCTGAATAAATCCTATCTAAAATGTACAAAATATGGTGAGTCTCTTCTTGTGATTTATCATTCCATTCAAATTTTTTCGATTTGCATATACAGGGTGACCGAAAAAAATTAATGAATGCGTCAATTTATTTTATTGATTTAATCAGGAATTATAGAACCGAATGCTTTGAAATCTTGGAGATGTTTTAGAGTTATCATAAGCATGGTAAATTTTTTATCAAAATGTATTTGCTCATCCCCCCTAAAAAATTGATGACGTCACCCCAAAATTTTGCTGAATAAATCCTATCTAAAATGTACAAAATATGATGAGTCTGTACTTGTGATTTATCATTCCATTCAAATTTTTTCGATTTGCATATACAGAGTGACTCAAAAAATTAATGAATGCGTGAATTTATTTTATTGAGTTAATCAGGAACAACAAAACCGAATGCTTTGAAACATAGGAGATGTATTAAGGTTATCATAAGCACGTTAACTTTTTTATCAAAATGTATTTACTAATCCCCCCTCAAAAAATTTGATGACGTCAGCTCGAAAGTTTGCCGAATAAATCCTATCTAAAGCGTAAAAATATGATGAGTCTGTACTTGTGATTTATCACTTCATTCATATTGTTTAGATTTTCTTAAGAGGTGGCTCAAAAAAATTAATGAAGTCAATTTATTTTATTGATTAAATTAAAGGCAACACTTATTATTAGTATTACATTGGACCAACCCAATTTGGTAGACACAAAATTTTTTAAAGTAAAAACTCGGTTGAAATATAAGGGTAGCACGCTTATTTACATCGACTTTAACATTACAGACGTGTGCGCTGTCTAGGTTCCGCGAATGTGGAATAGACATGTTTATAATCAACCAATTGTGAATTTCACCGTCAAGAATTAAAATAAAACCCAATGTTTTATATAATAAGCGGAAGTCGAAGCAATAAAACCGATGGTCGTTTTGTTTACAGTTTCTCTGTTTGACTCTCACGTATGCTGTTACGCTTGTCATCTTAAATTAAGAATGTTTATACATAAACGATTTTCAGTTGCCTTTCATATTACTAGACATCGGATTTTTGTCGGGCTACGTCACGATTATAGGTGGGGACGCGCTGGATCGCCGGGACTCAGTAGCGGGTAATAGATAATCACTGAATTTAATTGGTACTAATTCCATAAATATAATTAACGATTTATTAATCAAACGGCTAAGTAAATGAGAACGGGAATTAACAGCAGAGTGCAACGAAACAGCGTTATTCTAATCTCAAATAAACGAAGTGCAGTCCGCAACCGCAATGAATTGGCATCCCGTACGAGCCGTACCGAGTTTGGCCTTGCCTAGCCCGACAGAAATCCGCTCTCTAGATATTACACACCGGCGCCGTATACGTGAGTAAATTGTTTCGTTATTTTATTGATTATAAGAAATCAATATTCAAAACGACCCAATTCATTTTCCCGAAAATTTGGGAATACAATAATTTTATTCTTAGTATTACACTACATCTATCCCAACTGATATACGTGTCCTTGCAAAAATGTTGATGACGTCATCACAATCTTTTTTTAAATTCCCACTACAAAAATGTAATGAGAAAAAAAACACAATAGGCATGCAGTCGTCAAGTTTCCGACAGCGAGGGAAGTACTGTCTAAACTCTTTAGACCAATTTTTTACTAACGTATTTAGAAACAGTAATAAAACCGCATTTTAATTTTCATCTGCGCTACGAGGAAATTCGTCATGTTTTACCACTTTCGATATTAAATATAAATTCAGTTAAGCAGCTGAGACGTAATCATCACATTCTCACACATAATTAAAAGTTGAGTTTCAAATACATCTTTTTTCCTTCACTAATTATGTATTTCCAAAAATTACTAATTAATCTCATTAACAAAAACTCCGCCATCACTTAGCAAATATCCCATATTTCCGTCAGTTGTGACTTGTTACTTTTCATAAATAAAGAAATAAATTTCGTGCTGAAAGGGCCATATTTCATAAGCCAGCAATAAGTGTTTCATGGCTTCGGACCCGCCATAAGTGGCTATAATCTCGGAAAAGTGAGTGACCATTTTTCAAGCACTTTACACCGTCGTTGAAAATCTCTCTGAATATTAATGGTGGATTTGGTCTAGCTCGCTATGCCCTTTTAATGCAGGAAACAGCACAATGTCTTTTACGGCAAAGACGTCGTCACACACAATACGCTCTCTTCTTCACGTTTCCGGTCTGAGGCTTCCGGAGATTCACGAGAGTGGATAATTGAGTTCGGTAGACTCGTTGACTTTGGATTTTTACATTTTCCTTTTCCTCGCACCACCTATTGTTTGCGATTTTACACAGGATTTTACAACCTGGATTTGCCTACATGTTTTAAAGCGAACAAACACTGTAGTTTAGGTTTACTAAAGGCGTTTACCTTTGAAGAGCGGACATAAGCGACCCCAACAGGTGATGGCTCCCTTCCGATTGAACTGTCCCAGGGCCAGTTCCATATAAAATAAAGGAATACCGCCTATGATGAGCATGATGCAGTAAGGTACCAGAAAAGCTCCTGAAAATTAACGAAACAATTAATATTCGATTAATACCACTCTTTAAAAGTTTTATTAGACTTGCTGTAGATAACGCAAATTATCGTAGGGAATGATTTTATTTTTAATAAAAATACATAAAGTTCATTATAACTTCAGGCACAAGAATTTAATTAATATTACTTCATGTGTAAGTGATTGTTATAAACCCACAAACTTTTTTTAAAAAGAATACGACTCCTCATCGATCTTTATTCGTTGTACAAACGGGAGAATAAAGCCAGTAAAGTGACAAGAAATTTTGAAGTAATTAAAAAATATCTATTTCTTCGTACAATATTTGCCTAATTTACGCTCAGGGAGTAAAAAATTGCTCTAGCAGCACTAGCAGGAAGAAATAAATTTAATTTCGGGCATGTTCGTTGGTCACATATGCAGACGAAAATCAAGTAATTCCATTTTTAGTAGATTTACTAAAAAAATATTTCGAGGGCCTATTTGCTTTTCAAATATACCCTTTTACTGCCAGAGTTGCATCAACCTACCAGTAGGTAGGTATATCATTTTACAACAGCTGCGAGGCACTAATGGCTCATAAAATTGAATTACATGATTATTGACATAGAAAGCGGCCAAGATTGGCACTTTAGTCTGACGGTCTCTTTATTACTCTGCTTCTAACTAATTATTATCAGGCCAACTAACTATATTTCATGGTTCTATCTCGCTGGATACGTCGACGTGTTTAGTGTTTTTGTTTGAATTTACTTTTATTAAGTTTCGGTTTTTAAATTTATAAATAAAAATCGGTAGGTGCTTAAACATAGGGTAACTAAGTTCGACAAAATATTCTACATGCGCTATAAAATAATAATAGATTGTGGAAACACAGTTTATGGCTAATTAAACTTCAGCACAAGATAGACGCCGATTTAATTTTACTCTGAAATTTCTCTGTGACATGGATTGGGTGTCTAAAATTTCGTTTGACTTAAAAAGATCCACGAGTGTAAAGCAAATACACGTGGGGTCGTATGCATTCGATCGTCCAATTGACCAAAATTACAAAAACATCTTTTGAAGAAAAAATATGTAGCGATACCACCTAATTTCTTTTTGTATTTTCAACAATTCCAAATTTATCGTAAAATTTATTATATTAAATTTAAAATTTTTTAAATTTTCTAATTCTCCATGCAAACAACTTCGTTTACATTTGGTAAGAATTACTTTTTTATTTGAAATTGTCTTTTTTAAAAAATATTTTCTAGTAATTTCTTAGAGAACTATTTCTACTCAATTTCTTCAAATTTAAAACTTTTGCTTTCACTTGTATTTAGCCTCTTCCCATTCGTCGCATTCTGAATTTTATACAGAAATTTTTCTTATTTTTTTTTAGACATCTTTCTCGTTTTTATTTTTTTGAAAATGTTGAACGTTGTTGGCAAGAGCATTTTTCACATAAAATTTTGTATGTTCATTTATTTAAATCTGACGTTACATACCAGAAAGATTTTCATTGAAATCGCTGATGGGAACATCAAGTTCTGGGAGGAGATAAACAGAAGCGATTAGCGATTTACCGCCTTTACGATAAGTTTAAAGAGCCTGTAAGATAACAGACGAATCGATTTGTATTTCTAAAATAAATTTTCAAATTTTCTTGTACAGCTTTGAATTTGTTTCCAAAAATCTAAATGAAAGTAAAAAATTGAAATAAATGTCAAACAACATATTATTTAATAAAATTTAGATAAGATTTATCTAGCAAAATTCTGAAATAACATTACCAAATTGTTGCTTTCTTTGTTACCTCGGAAACCATGCTGTTTCCAACGTATAAACTCAAATTTATCAAGAAACGAAATTGATTTTATTAACATGCATTTTTAGAATATTTTAGATAATGCTGACGTAAATGGGATATGTCTATAGATTACTGTCTTAGTCCTTACATATTTTTTATATACAGGTATTACTATTGCTATTTTAAGGTCACTTGATTTTCGCAAAAAAAATTCAGGTTGCATCATCACAATTCCAATATAAGAGCACTAACGTGTGGTGAACTATTTACGTGGTCGTGCCGCTAAAATATTATTAACTAATGCGTAGGTTGCTGATTTGATTATATTGACTCATGAATCACATTCCTTTTTATTGATCAAATTATGAAAAATTCACCCATTTTTTCGAAATTTTAAGAATACCATAATGTTGGGCCCCCTTCTTTAATAAAAATAAAATAAGAATTATCATAACAACTCCCCAAAATAATATTTAGAACCTTTTGTTCCATTCCATTGTAGCGTTTCCAAATTTCATCCTTACGACAGCACTTGAAAATTTATGTGACATATGTACTTTCCAGTAATACAAAAATCTTTTTTATATTTTTTTAATCAAAATATATTTGCTTATCCCCCAAAAAATTGATGACGTCAGCTCAAAATTTTGCCTACTAAATCCTACCTAAAATGTGCAAAAGATGATGAGTCAATATTTGTGATTTATCATTCCATTCATAATAATAATAATATTATTAATAATATAATTAAAACAAAAAATACATGTGTATTATTGTTTAGGCGCGTCACACATTTTATATTAAATACATATAATGTGTATATAACATAAATAATAAACAAACAACATGTTTAAACAAATATAAAACAATTGCATACCTACTACATATTAAATATTTCGACTAACATATTTTTACTTCTTGAGAGTAAGCGAAGGAAGTATTGTAATCGACTCCATCGGCCGACTTTCTATTTTTACGTTTTCTCGACCTTTCATGATCCCTACAGTACGAAGAAATAGGTCTCCCGTTTCCGTCTGTCTGTTTGTCCGTCTGTCCGTCTATCTGCCAGATAATTTCCGAAAGAACTGGGGCGATTGTTGTCAAATTTTGTATCTATATTAGGAATATCATATAGGTGGTAAAACGCTAAGTAAAATTTGTCCAATCATCGCCACCAATAATATGATGACGTCACTTCAAAATTGTACATAGAAAATGGGTTTTAAATTGCATAAAATAACATAGTCCTACACATGTAGTTTATGAGTCTGTGTTGAGTTTTTAGCCGAAAAAATCAAAATTATTAAACAACATTTTGCAATTTAATTTTCAATCTGCCAGACTGAATGCTTTGAAATCTTGCAGATGTTTTAAATTTATGAAAAGTATAATAATTTTTTAAACAAAATATATTCCCCTATCCCCTCAAAAAAATTGATGACGTCATCTAACAATTTTGCCGGGTAAATACTATCTAAAGTATGCAAAATATGACCAGTCTATACTTGTGATTTATCACTGCATTCATATTTTTTAGATTTGCTTAAACAGGGTGACTCAAAAAAATTAATGAATGCGTGAATTTTTTATTTATTGATTTAATCAGGAACTGCAACACCGAATCCTTTGAAATCTTGGAGATGTTTTAAAGTTATCATAAGTATGGTAAATTTTTGAACAAAATGTTTTTTGCTCATCCTACCCGAAAAATTGATGACGTCACTTCGAAATATTGCTGAATATTTAATCTTAAATGTGGAAAATATGATGAGTCTATACTTGTGATTTATTTTTAATATATAATTCATATTTTTTAAATTTGCATATGCAGGGTGCCTCAGAAAAATTAATTACTGAGTTGTTACAAAATAAATATCCAATCAGATTTAGGAATTTAACACTTTTCAAATTTAACAAGTTTTTACAAGTTTAATATGGGCAAAATCAGTCTTATTTTAGCAAGTACTAGCCCCGCCCACCCGCGCCCTATTTTCTCAGTTTATACTATTCGCCAAAATAAGTTTTACCTTTGCAAGTACTAGCCCCGCCCACCCACCCTCTATTTTCTCAGGGGGTGTGGCATTTGCCAAACTCAGTTTTATCTTAGCAAGTACTAGCCCCGCCCACCCGCCCTCTATTTTTTCACAAGGTACCTATGGCGTTTGCCAAAACCAGTCTTATCTGAGAAAGTGCTAGCCCCCCCCACCCACCCCTATTTGATCAGAAGATAAGTCATTTTCCAAAATAAAACTTATCCTAGCAAGTAGTACCCTCTGAGAAGATAAAGGGCGAGGGGGCAGGGCTAGTACTAGCTAACATAAGTCTTATTTTGGCAAATGACACATTTTCTGAGAAAATAGGGAGCGGTTGGGCGGGGCTAATACTTGGCAAGATAAGACTGATTTTGGCAAATGACATATCCTCTAAGAAAAGAGAGGGTGGGTGGGTGGGGCTAGTAGTTGCTAGGATAAGGCTTATTTCGACAAATGACATATACTCTAGGAAAATAGGGGTAAGTGGGCGGGCTTAGTACTTGTTAAGATGAAACTGATTTTGCTCCTATTAAAAACTTGTGAAATTTAAAGGTGCTAAATTGGGAATTTCCATAGTAACGAGTTAAATTCCTAAATCTACCCGAAATGTGCAAATTATGATGAGTTTTTACTTGTGATTTGTCATTCCATATACAGGTGGGTCAAAGCATTCGCTGATTGATTAATTCATACTCAGTTTTTTTCCAAAAACACTCATAAATTTGAAGAAATTCGGCAAAAATGACAGAGAATTTGACTAACGATTTACCATGTTTCAAATAATCTTAAAATATTTGCACGATTTCACAGCATTCGGTTTTTGGCAACTTCAAAGTTACATTGTAAAATATTGTTATGGCATGTTAATTTTTTTTCCAAAAATCTGGATTGTAAGGGTAAAAACTCAACACGGATTTATAAATCACACATGCAGGAATATGTTATTTTCTAAAATTGAAAGAACATTTGTTCGGCAGAATTCTAAGAGGACCTCATAATTTTTTGGGAAGGCCTTAAACGAACAAATTTTGATTAACGATTTATCATATTTTATATAACCTTAAAACGTTTGCAATACATACTTCAGTACATTCGCTTTTGTCATTTTCAAGTGAAATTATAAAATACAATTTTGAATTTTTTTCCAAAAATCTCGATATCTAGGGTAAGAACTCAACACGGATTCTAAATTACAAATACGTGGAGTATGTAATTCTATAAAATTTAAGAAACATTTGTTCTACCAAATTATAAAATGACGTCATCGTGCTTTAGGAGGCCATAAACTGAAAAAAAATGAATAATGATTTACCATGATAATTTAAAAAAAACTTGTACGTTTTCGGTTTTACGATTTCAAAGTAAATTGTAAAATGTTACACAATTTTTATTTCTTCCCCAAAAATCTGGATGTTTAGGGGGAAAACTCGACACGGATTCATGAGTCACACTGTAGGAGTATGTAATCCTATAAAATTAACACCAAAGGAACACATTAGTAGTAAGTAACATGGTACATTTCACCCCACGTTTTTTTTTTTAATTTATTCTCAAAATCAGCGGTTTCTATATGGATCCGCTAGAATCATCGTCAAAATCTTTAGAAATCCATAACTTTTTAAAAAATTGCCTTAAAAATAGTGTGAAATGTTAAAAAAATGCATTAAAAAAACTTCACGACAAAAATTGACTTTTATTACTTCATAAAAAAAACAACAAAAAACTTCCACGTCAAAATTGGCCTGTTTGCTTAAAAACATGATAAAGTACCTTAAAATAGATGAACAAATTAGGTACAAAAAAGCTTACATATATGAAAAAAAAAACGTGGGGTGAAACATACCATTTTATTTTCTACTGATTTCAGTTTAGAATTTCTATCTAAAACGTCCGATAATCTAATCCTTATTAAACCCGAGACGTTCAGATGAGAATTGGATTTGAAATAATAAACAATTCTTTTGGAATCACCAAAAAATATAATATTTGGTAAATATAAATTAAATCGGCAAAACTGTAAATTCATGTCATTATTGATTTAGAGGGGCATAAACGAAAAAAATTTTGATTAACGATTTACCATGCTTACTATAATCTAAAACGTTTCCAAATTTCAGAACAGTTTCAAAGTTAAATTGCAAGATGTTGTAATTTCGATTTTTTCTCCAATAATCTGGATGTCTAGGATAAAAATTCAACAAAGGTTCATAAACCACATGTGCAGGAGTATCTTATTTTATAAAATTTAAATAACATTTACCACTGTAAATTTTGGAGATGACGTCAAAAAATTGTAGGTAGGGATGATTAGCCAAATTTTGATCATTTACACGGTATTCGTAATACAGATATAAAATTTATCAACTGGTTCAGTAGTTTCGGAGATTATCTGTCTAACAGAAATTCGGACAGATGGCAGACAGACAGACAGACAGACAGACAAACTAATGAAGCTAGAAACATGAAATTTGACAGTAGTTCGTTTTATAATGTAAGCAACTACTAAGAAAGAATTTTTGGAAATTTCACTCCTCAGGGGGTAGGAGAAAAAAGTACGTATTACAACTCAACAGAACAACACAACATAAGAGAAATATTTACCAAATTTATGAACTGAAAGCATGATTGTATTTCGTATGACTGTTCTGTGAATTTAATTCTTTTCATGGTTAAAAACCAAATAAAAATACCACAAAAATAAGAGCGTGTTTGAAAGTTAATTATAAAATAATAATTATTGGGAAAATATTTATGACTGTTCAGATTCACGTCTAATTCTAAATGCGTTTTGTATCAGAAGCAGTTCTCCACATGCGCCACCGCTTTTTTTTTATTTCCAAAGTTAAAATATTTTCCAACGTATCAAAGATGCGACATTTGCGTAATGCGCTAGCAACTATTGCAACCATCACTATTTGACGTAGCTTTTTCCCTATATCTCAAGGCTAGTGTTCTGCTGATTGACAACACTATCGGAATTTCCGACAATAATGACCAGTTTCTACCAGTTTGTTCCTCGTAATTCTTTAATAAATTGACGTGGTCAAATTAAAACGACGACACACTAGTGTTGTTTTTTTTTTGTAACAATCTCACTTTTTGGACACTGTACCAATCTGAATTTGATAACTGTAAGTAATCTGATAATATTACAATAAATTTGTTAGAAATAGGAACTTTTTGATATTTAGGAAACCAAATAACTAATATAGTACAACAAAATTTTATAAATATCTAATTTGCTTTTTTTGTTAAAATAATTTACTGCTCCACTGATGTTTATGTACTAGGCAACAAGGCATTCTGTCTGGTGTTGTTGAGAATCTTCTTTAATACCGTACAATTTTGTTATAAACGACATAAATTTTGTCCTTTTGTATTCAGAAAATAATAAGGTTTTCAAAATATAGAAAAAAAAAAAAACATTGACCGAAAAGCTATAGTCAAATTTATGATGTCTCTGTCAGTGCTCCATTTTATAGTTTATCAAATATAGAGCTAATTTAATTCAGATGAAACTTCCTATATATTTTTGCTATTGGTGCAGTCGTATTTGAATGACGAATTTCTTTACGAAATAACTGAGTATACTTTATCTGACGATAACTGTTATCATCATTATTAATAACAATTTTTATGCATTTATTACACAGATTAAATTTTCTGAAAGCGCAAAAACGAGTAAACGATCTGTAACACCATTATTTACTTTATCATAGCTAGTTCGAGTTTACGTAAAAATTTATGTTATCTTCAAAGAAGCCGTTCGCGTCATCCAAGTAAACAAAACAAGACCGGTAAGTATCTAGGAGATATCGTATCAAATGAAACTGGTCTTACATTAAGTATCTCGCACAAGTTCTTAAATTTTATTATAAAATTTCATAAATCTTTATCTTCTTTAAAGCGATTACGGAGCATTTATTTAGGTACCTTCTCCGTCTTTGATCTGACAATCGCTTTAGACTTGAATCAAATTATCATGATATTCTGTTGCGACAAGGGAATAAGCATTCTTGGTTAAAAGTGGAAGTTCTATTTAAATTCCTGACAAAGTGTAGTGGAGACGTTACTTTATATTATTAAGTGAGAGACAAAAAGAAATAATTCGATATTATTTACACTCCTATATATATATATATGCAATTCAGACATGTAACTATAATGTTGTTGTTGTTGTTTTTAAATAGTGGCAATGAATAATTTAGTTATTTCATGCAAATAATAATATATTATTAAATGAGACATTAACAATAAATCAGCTTGAACTTGTACAATTTAGTTCGTATGTTTTATTAATAGACTCCAATATTATTTTTTCATTTATGATTTGTGAGTTTTAACACAATTGCACAATTGTCACAACAGAAAAAATATCCAATTTTTTTATTGTGCCCGGAAAATGAAAGTCGTAGAAAAATTTATTATTACTTCATGCTAATTCTATGATACAGCGTTATCACTTATCATTTACTTACCGCCGCCATTTTTGTAGCATAAGTAAGGAAATCTCCACACGTTCGCCAAGTCGACAGCAAACCCAATGACCGAAAGCAAAAAGTCTACCTTTTTGCCCCAAGTCTCCCGATTATCTGTGACAGAAGCCTGAGCAGTCCGCGAACTTTGCAAAATCTCCTTAGACAACATCCTTGACTGAAGGTGTGTCGTCAACACTGCAAAAAAAATAAATAATTAATAACATTGCATCCTATAAGACAACATATGGGTGTTGAAATATTTGTTAATTAGTTTGAAGTGGGATTTATAAACTCTGTTTCCGCTGACGTTGCTTTTAGAGCTGAAAATTGTCATTTATAAACTCCGAGGCCGTATTTAAAGGGGTTGTAGAAAAAAAGTTGATTACTGCAAAAATTTACCACTTTAGACATGTTTTAAATTTCTTATTGTTGAAATAAGTCTACACATATTAAAAAAAAAGCAAAATGTAGCCCCGCCCACCCGCCCTATTTCAATTGTGAGAATTTTTTTATTCGTAATGAGCCAAGAAGGCGGAGCTTAACTGCAAAATCCTTATTTCTCTACGAGAAATTAAAAACATGTTTTTGAGTATCGTGTTGTTCAAAGAATACTATGCATATTAGGAAAAAAATAAAGCCAAAGATTAGGCCCCACCCATACCCGCCTCGATCTCAATTTTCAATTGTGATAATTTTTTCATTCGTTGCCAGATCGAGGGGCGGGGCGTAATTGCAAGATCCATATTTGTTTATGAGAATTTACCATTTTAAACTTTAAGATTCTTGTTCTGAAAAGACGACTACGTATGTTAAGAAAAAAGGCAAAATATAAGCACCGCCCACCCGCCCTATATCAATAGTGATTTTTTTATTTAATCGTCGAGAGCCAAGGAAGTGGAATTTAATTGCAAAATCCTTATTATTTCTCTACAAAAAATTACCATATAAGACATGTTTTTGAGTACCGTGTTATTTAAAAAATACCATTTGATGACTACACCAAAAAAACAAAAAATAAAATTTCGAAAATCTCAAATTTAAAAATCGAAAAACTGAAAAATCAACAAACCAAGAAAACGAAACTCGAAAATTTAAAAAATTGGAAAATTGAAAAAACAGATAATTGAAAAATCAAAAGAACGAGAAGTCGAGGACTCGAAAAGTCGAGAAGTCGAAAAATCGAAAAACAGAAACGGGCCAAAATCGAAAAATCGAAAAGTTAAAAATGGAAAAAATTGATATCGATAAATCGAGATTTCGAAAAAATGAAAAATCGAAATTTTAAAAATTCGGGAAATTGAAAAATTAAATTATAGAAAAACTGGAAATTCGAGAAATTGAAAAATCTAGAATTTTAAAAATTGAAAAATCAAAATATCAAAAAGGTGAAATATTGAGAAATCGAAATATAAAACTCTGAAAATTGAAAAATCTAAATTTTAAAAAACGAAAAACTAAAAATCCAAAAATTGAGAAATTAAAAAATTAGACAACCGAGAAATGGAAAAGACAATGTCGAAAAATCGAAATCCAAAACTGCGAAGTCGAGAAATGGGAAAATCAAAAAATAGATTAATTAAAAAATCGAAAAACTGAAAAATTAACAAATCGAGAAATCAATTATTTAATATTATACAGAATTTAAAAAAATGAAACATTGAAAAATCGGGTAACCGAAAAATCGAAACATCGAAAAATTCAAAAACTGAGACATCGAAAAATCGAGGAGTGGAAAGCCGAGAAGAAAAGTTAAAAATTGAAAAATTGATAAATCGAGAAATTGCATCTGAATTCGATAAATCGAGAAATTGCATCTGAATTCGATAAATCGAGAGATCAAAAAATTGAAACTCGAAATATTTTAAAAAAGAAAAATTGGAAAAATCGAATACCTAAAAATTCGGAAAATTGAAAAATTGAATTATAGAAGAACTGAAAACTCGAGAAATCCAAAAACCTAGAATTTTAAAAATTGAAAAATTAAAACATCGAAAAGTTGAAAAATTGAGAAATCAAAGTATAAAACAGTCGAAAAATTGTAAAATCTAAATCAACGAAAAATCGAGACGTCGAAAAAATGAAATATTGAAAACTCCCAAAACTGAAAGAAATATCCAAAAAATTGAAAAATTAAAAAATTGGAAAAATGAGAAATCGAAAAACTAGAAAAGCAAAGTCGAAAAATCGCAAGCTTAAAAAATCGAAAAATTGAAGAACTGAAAAAATCGAAACTTTGGGAAGTCAAAAAATGGGAAAATAAAACGAAAAATTAGTTCAGAAATCCGAAAACTGAAAATTTAGAAACGTCAAAATTTGAAAAATTGAAAAATCGGAAAATTGAGAAATCGAAGAATAAAAAAATCGAGAAATCGAAAATTTAAAGAATGGAAAAATTGATGATGCCCAAAGTTGAATGACTGAAAAATTGAGACATCCATAGTTGAAAAATCGAGAAATCGATAAACCGAAAAAGCCTTGCTAAGATTGATTGTGGCAAACGACATACCCTCTAAGAAAATAGAGGGCGGGTCAGTACTTGTTAAGATAACATTGAGTTTGGTAAATGACATATCCTTTAAGAAAAAAAAAAGGGTGGGGTCACTGAAGACCATATTTCGCATAGTAATTCTTGTAGAAAAAAACAGATTTTGCAGTTAAGGTCCGCCCCTCTGGCTCACGACGAAAAAGAAAAATCGTCACAACTGACACAAGGTGGGTGGGCGGGGCTTAAGTTTTTCATTTGTTTTTCTTTTTAATATACATAGTTTTCTCTGCAGGCCAAGAAACTAAAAATATGTTTAGCATTTTACCCTTTTAAACCTGTTTTCAGTTTCTTGTCGTGAAGAGAAAACTACATACATATGAGCCGAAGGGCGGAGTTTAACTGCAAAATACTTAATTCTCTACAAGAAATTACCATCTGAAACACGTTTTTATGTATGGTGTTGAAATAAAACTGTACATATTAAGAAAAAAAAAGCAAAGATAAATTTTTCACCAAAACGTGTTTTAAGTTTTATCATATTGTTAAAAATAGACCATTTTGGAAAAAGGAAACTGTGTAACCCACTCTCCCTAACTATGTCAACAACAACAAAACATCTTTCACATGGTAATTTCTTGTAGAGAAACAAAGAGTTTGCAGTTAAGTTTCGCTCGTTTGGCTAACGACAAATAAGAAAAATCATCACAATTGAGGTGGGGTGGGTGGGCGGGGCTTATTTTTTTTTGTACATTAATACGTGCTCATCTTTTCACAACAAGAACTTAAAACATGTTTGGAATGATAATTTTTTTAGGAAAATATTAATTTTGCAACTGCGCTCCGCCCCTCGGTCAGACAACGAATGGAAAATTCATCACTATTGAGATCCAGACGAATGGGTGGGGCTCTTCTTTTACTTTATGTAGTTTTCTTTGAGCAACACGATCAGTGAAGACCATATTTCACATGGTAATTCTTCTAGAAAAATACAGATTTTGCAGTTAAGCTCCGCCCCTTCGGCTCCGGAGGTACAAAGAAAAATCGTCACAATTGAAATAGGGTGGGTGGGCGGTGCTTAGGTTTTGGGTTTTTTTTTAAATATACATAGTCTTCGCTTCACGCCAAGAAACTAAAAATATGTTTAGCCTTTTACCCTTTTAAACCTGTTTTCAGTTTCTTCTCGTGAAAAAAAAACTACATACATATTAAGAAAAAAAAAAGTGAAATATAAACCCCGCCCACCCGCCCTCGTCTCAATTGTGATAACTCTTTTATTCGTCGTGAGCTGAAGGGCGGAGTTTAACTGCAAACTACTTATTTCTTTACAAGAAATTATCATCTGAAACATGGTTTTAAGTATGGTGTTGACATAAACCTGTATATATTAAGAAAAAAAAAAAAAGCAAAGATAAATTTTTCACCGAAACGTGTTTTAAGTTTTATCATTTTGTTAAAAATAGACCATTTTGAAAAAAGGAACTGTGTAACCCTCTCTCCCTTACTGTGTCAACCACAACAAAGCATGTTTCAGATGGTAATTTCTTGTAGAGAAACAATGAGTTTTCAATTAAGCTTCGCCCGTTTGGCCAACGATAAATAAAAAAAATCATCACAATCGAGATGGGGTGGGTGGGCGGGGCTTTTATTTTCTTTTGTATATTAATGCGTACTCATCTTTTCACAACGTCAACGGTGAACAGCAACGTCAGCGGCAAGTTTATAAATCGACCTTGAGAACTATATTATGTGTACAAGTAGCAACACCGACGGTTAATAGTCACACCAGAACTTCGATGCTACCTCGAAGACAATTTTTTGAGATTATTTTCACTTTTTAATATTTCAAAATTAGACTTCGATAAGGAGATTCATACTTGATACAACAGTAATTATATCGATAAAATTGTATCAAAGAGTATCATTAAAAAAAGGTTAAAATATCGAAACAAATTGAAACAAGTAACTTATAACATTAGACATTTATGTTAATGAATCGTCAAAATTGATCAATATTTTCCAAAATTTTCATCTTTCTTACTAAACTGTTAAAGTACTAATTTAAAGTTTTTTAATTTGTTTAAAAAATCACCTCCGAAGTCCGTGTAACCGCGAAACTAACATTCAGAACTTGTTAGGTTTAAATTATCTTTTTCCTAAAAGGGCATTAGATGCCATCGCTGGAAATATTGATTTATTGGAATATAGGAGCGTTTAGACTGAAATTTGTCCGTTAAATTATTCATTTTAAAAGATGTTTAGAAAGTCTCTCTTGTAAGTAAACAATTTTAAACTTTTTTTACAGCATAATAAAGTTCTTCATCTTTGTTTATTAGTGTACCTTCTACAAAGACTTTCAAAAATGTTTCAATTTTGCACAAACTCGTCAAATGCGTTAAAGCTGAACGAAAGGAAAAATAAAATATTTAGATTACGCAAAAACTTTTTCTTATAAAATGACGTTCATCGAATTCGAAGTCGGATTTCAAAGTATTGATCGTTTCAACTTAAATTTTGTAGAATGTTACATCAAAAAAATTTAATTACGACAAATTAGCTCTTACTTTTGCTGCAGTAAAATTTTAAAACGGTCTAAATGCTCTTAAGCCGGTAACTGGGTGAGATTAGTAAAATTAACGTGTTCGTGTCCCTGTGAATGGTTGGAAAGATTTCATAAATCAGCAAAGACATATCCAAAAATTATTCCTTTTTGGTATAGATTTTAAACATAATAGTTTTTTAAATTAGAATATATAATAGTTCATTAGTGCCGTAAAATGACCATAAATAAACATCTGATTATTATTAATTGACATAGAAAACTTCTCTACTCCTAAATGGATGAAAAATATACTTAGAACTATATTCCTATAAATTATTTCAAAAAGCTAATTTTATATTTACTTACAACAGGGAAATACGTCTAGTTGTAAGTCAAATTATTCACATCATACAACTTTTTGAAGAAAGATGAAAATTTTGATTTTAGAAAACGTAAGATCATGATTTTTCTAATTAAAATAAATGTCAAAAAATAAAATCTAGGGAAAAAAGCCGAACAAAAACAACAAATAAACAAGTAAATACGAAAATTAAGTTGCAAATGACGTTATTTAAAATTAAACAGATGATGATTCTGGAAAAATGCGATTTTAGAGATTTATCGTTTTAATATTTTGTAAAGCAACACAGAAAACTAAAAACAAAACTGTTTATTTCAAACGGATGCGGGGACACAACGTCATCGGCATTTTCTTCCTCATTAACCACTAATAACGGGTTTAGTAAAAGGTAATAATAACGTCAGTGTTACCAATTATTATTAACGTACTTTAAAATCTAGATAACGAGGTTAAATAGAGTGGAGTAACACGACATTCAGTATATTTGTTGGAGTATACCTCCATAAATAATAAAATCAAGTACAAATAAAATAGATTTATAAATGAACTTAAACACACGCAATTTTTACAAACTGTGCCCCTTGTCACCCGACCGTCGTTACACTCAAATTAATAGAGAATATTAATTTAACCGCCTTTAAATTGAAAACGTGTGAATAAAGTTGATGACAGCTGATCGATCTATTAATGGATTATAGGGTGTTATATTTTGGAGAATGCTTCTAGAACACAAAGGCCGTGTTTCTGCATACGACATATGTCATAATTATTGGAGTAAGGATGAAATTCAGATTTCGAGTACACTTTAAAAGTTAATTCGTGAAATCAATTAACATCATCCCACGACAAATTTATTAATAAATGATGGGTAACGGAACATAATAAACTTTACTTTTATGTTCTTTATAAAATGTTTTTAAAACGTAAGCGTCTTGTTATTTACGACTACTTGAAATTGTCTATTACTTGCAATTGCCGTAATTCTTTCTTTCCCGCTTTAGTAGGTAGATTGTCGCCACTAAAAATAGATAAATTCTTCGAAACAAACTGTGCGAAAGTTTCATTTTTTAATTGCAGCGTAAATAGTTCTGTTGTTATTGTGTAAAACTGAACTAATTTACTTCAGCGAATTAAATGCAACCGATAATAAAACCGAAGTCAAATATAGTAAAAACGTTATCGCCGAACAATTAAATGCACACTTAAAAATTCAATTAGCAATCAACTATCAAAAGACTCATATTTTATAATACTTTTCAAACAAATTTTCTAAAAATCTACTAACAACTTTCGTTCATTTTTTTTTTATAAAAATTTGAACATAATTATTTAAAAATTCTAATAAAATTTTGTCGAGACTTACCAGTGCTGAAGTGATGTCAGCATCTCCAGCTAACGCCACAAGGTGTAGAGGAGGGCAAAACTGGAATCGCTTTGACCCATCTGAGCGCTTTGATGACAACAACCGAAGTCCAGATTCTGGAAGCGCGTTCCCAAAGCACAGCTTTTTCTGTGACTTCATTAACGCCGCATGCGTAGCTGCTTTGGCAGGCCATCAAGTTCTTCGTTTCACCTCCTTCACGTACTTTCACTAAAAATTACTTAAAAGATGTCTAAAAATTCAAAGGGAGTTACTTGTCAGATAAACGTTTCTTTCAAAGTTTTAATTATTCGATATCGGTATTTAATTTTACTGAAAATATTTGTCTTAGAAAAAACTGATTTAAGGACTTTTCCAAAGTCTAAATAAATGTAGTTTCTTAAACATCTTTCTTGGTCATAATCAAATTTATACAAATATCACTAAAATTAATCTAAAATTCAAACAATGACTAGAAGGCAAAGTGCGAGCAGGGACATGTTGTAAGGTAATCTATCTCTCAAAAAAGTTGCAACATGGCTCATGACGTGATTATTAAATTTTAAATATCTGATCAATACAGAATTTTCAGCATGACTGTAACGCAGATAATCATATTCCTAATACTCCTAATTACTTGGTTCAACGGTGTAATCTCTAGCGATACAATTTTCGATGTCACCGTACATTTTGCTCATTTCTTCTACCTTTCTCTGCAGGAAAGAATCTAATAGAGATGTCTACAAGGAATTGAAATAAAATGCTCTAAAAGTAAAAGCCGAACAAGAACAAATCCTCTTACTGAGTTCGCTTCGTTTAATTTATGACGTAAAAATTGCCGAACCTGTTCTCTCTGATTAATGTGTATACCATATATTGGTGACCAAACCAGACAAAACGTTAAACGTTTTCATTTCTCACAGAATTAAGTAACGAACAAGCATATACGTCTTAAAAATGTCGAAGCTTTCTTTTCAGTAATATTTTATACCAGTTGTTACCCGTCATGCGTTGCAATGCTACTTAACAAAATTATTATTATTTGGAGTATTATCTAATTATTTGTTTCAATTTGCATATGTTTCAATTCAATGCTACCGAGCATGCGCACTTATACGCAGAAAATACACGAATAAATAGTAAAATTTGTAAAATTGTAAAGTGATTGTACTAAGTATTTCAGAAACCTTGGCGGGCGGTGAACAACTCATCAAAGTTTCATCGCAATCAAATGATGAGAAAGATTTCTGAATTAATTTCTATATTATTTCAATGTTCTGTATAAATACAAGCCTTAATACCCGTTAGTATCCTGTTCTCATAGATTTTTTTACTTCTCGAAAGTAAGCGAAGGAAATATTGTAATCGAGTCGAGTACGAAGAAATAAGTCCCCCGTTTCCGTGTATCTGTCTGTCTGTCTGTCTGTCTGTCTGTCTGTCTGTCCGTCTGCCGTCCCGATTTTTATTAGACAGATAATTTCCGAAAGTACTTGGCCAATAGTTGTCAAATTTTGTATTTATATTAGGAATATCATACAGATGGTAAAACGTTAACTAAAATTTGTCTAATCATCCCCACCAATAATGTGATAACAAACAAAATAAAAGACATATATAAATCAGAAATGTGTTCAAAAACACTTAAACCATTTTCATTCACCTGCGAATGCGCTTCAAAATTGCTTAAAACTTTCTTGAATCATCTTTCAGATACACTGAAGAAAAATATTTCGCAATAAGGTCGCTATTTGTTTTCGTCCTTTACCAACTTTTTGTTTTGACAATGTATGGTATGGGGGTAATCTAAGGACCCCCTGATCACTTTCCTGTAACGTCTCGTCTGTCAAAAAATGTTTTCCCGAACAATTCTAAAAGGTTGAATTAAATCCGACAGTTGTTTTTTCAAAAATTTTTTAATCAAATTCAATACTGTGCTGATTCAACCAGTTACATTTAACTTTTGCTGCTAAAAAATGTGGGTGGTTTGTCCAACTGTACGGAATGGTAGGAATAAGTTTGAAAAAGTGTCCCATCCAAAGATGGATATCAGATATAACATTTAAAAAAAAACATAAGTCATGGTAGCCAACAAAAAGAAAAAAAACATGGCCTGTTAACGTCTAAAAACGTCGTGAAATAACAGATACCTACATTAAGCTGTAAAAGTGTTACGATCTATAAAATTATAACTGGACATATGGGGTACATACTAAGCATATCAATGCACTTTTTTTTGTTTTTTTACTTTCCGAGCGTAAGCAAAGGAAGTATTGTAATCGAGTCCGTCGGCCGACTCTCTACTTTTACATTTTCTCAACCTTTCATCACCTCTAGAGGATGAACAAATAGGTCTCCCGTTTCCGTCTGTTTGTCTGTCTGTCGGTCTGTCTGCCTGTCCGTTTGTCTGTCCTTCTGTCTGCCGTCCCGGACTTTTATTAGGCAGATAATCTCCGAAAGTACTGGGTCCAGTGTTGTCAAATTTTGTATTTATATTAGGAATATCATGTAGATGGTACAACGCTAACAAAAATTTGTCTAATCAGTAATCACCCCACCACTAATGCGATAACGTCACTTCAACATTGTACGGTGGGGGAAATTTAAAGTCGGGCAGAACTTTTTGACGACTGTAAATATGGCTTTATTAAAGTATAAAGAATCCTAGGAAAGAATTTAACGTCAAATTTGTAATTTAATTGAATACAAAATCACCGTGGAGATGATGAAGGTAAAATGGGTAATAAAAGCCGCGTTTACCCAAAATGGTGAAAATGTCATGAAAATGTCAGCTTGGTGCCGACTTTAAATTTCCGCCACTGTACATAGTAAATGGGTTTTAAATTGTATAAAGTAACATAGTCCTACATATGTAGTTTATGACTTCGAATTGAGCTTTTACCCGAAACGTCCAGATTTTTGGAAAAAAATCAAAATTATGAAACAACATTTAATTTAATTTGGAATCTGCAAAACCGAATGCTTTGAAATCTTCCAGGTGGTTTACAGTTATGATAAATTTTTAATCAAAATACCTATATTTACTTGTCCCCTCCAAAAAATTGATGACATCAGCTTAAAAGTTTACCGAATAAATCCTATCTAAAATGTACAAAACAAAATATAATGAGTCTACTCGTGATTTATCATTCCATTCATATTTTTTGGATTTGCATATACTCAAAAAAAATAATGAGTGGGTGAAATTATTTAATTGATTTAGTCAGGACCTACAAAACCGAATGCTTTGAAATCTTGGAGATGTTTTAAAGTTATCATAGGCATGGTAAATTTTTAGTCAAAATGTATTTGCTCATCCCCTAAAAAATTGATGACGTCACCCTAAAATTTTGCTGAATAAGTCGTATCTAAAATGTACAAAATATGATGAGTCTGTATTTGTGATTTATCATTCCATTTATATCTTTTAGATTTGCTTAACAGTTGGCTCTAAAAAAATTAATGAATGAGTCAATTTATTTTATTGATTAAATCAGGAAAAGCTCACTCCATTTTTCCGAAAATTTGCAAATACAAAACTGTTATCATTATTATTACATCGCACCAATCCAGTTTGATAGATACAAAATTTTGTAAAGTAAAAACTCGTTTGAAACATAGGCGTAGCACGCTTATTTCCATTTACTTTAACATTGCAGAGGTGTATTTGTTTTGTTACGGAACCTAGCGTGAACGTGGTATAGACAAGTTATACTTAATCAACCAATTGTGAATTACATCATCAAAAATTAAACTAAAATCCAATGTTTTATATAATAGGCGGAAGTCGAAGCAATAAAAAGTCTGGACGACCATCGGTATTGTTTGCAGTTTCTCTGTTTGACTCTCACGTGTATACTATCCTCAAACATATTTGGCGTTTATGACTTCACACAATAATTCAATAGGCCGTCACAACCGGATGTCTTAAACCCGCTCACCGATACCTACCTGAAAAGACCTTTTCGACGTGCCAGGGACGGTCGAGACGCGAAGGACCGGACTCAGAGTAATTTTGTTTGTTAAAATTTTCAAATTTCAAAATTTCCTTACAGAACATGATTTATACTTTGAAGAAAATTACACAAAGACACAATTATTAGAAGTGTTACACACTCGAAAATTTGAGAAACAATATAAAATAGATGCTATGGCGCGAGATCGTGGATTTAGGGTGATTAGACTTCCGCCGTACCATTGTATATTTAACCCCATCGAACTAATCTGGTCGCAAATGAAAAATAATATAAGAAGGAATAATACGGCACCAAAATTTAGTAGTGCAACAATTGACATAATTAGGGAAGAAGCTTCCAAAGTAACTGCCGAAATGTGGGCCAATTGTGTACGACATTCCACAAAAGAAGAAGACCAGTACAGGGCACGGTTGATAACACCGTTAATTATTAATTTAGAAGAGTCGAGTGATGATGACAGTGACTATTTCGATCAATAAATAAGCAGTAGTAGTTAATAAGTAAATAGTTGTGCTGTAATAAAAAATGATTGAGTACAAAGTTACTTTGTTTTTACTTAAAATAAAAAACTCGAAAGGCGCAGTTGTCGGTAAATGCAAAACTCAGTCCTGCCCTGTGCTTTTACCAGAAAAGGTCTTTTCAGGTAGGTATCGGTGAGCGGGTTTAAGACATCCGATTGTGACGGCCTATTGAATTATAATGGGAGTCAAATTGGTGTGAAGTCATAAACGCCAAATATGTTTGAGGATAGTATACAATCTCAACAAGTGTTACCGCTTGTTGTCCTAAATTAAGAATGCTTATACATAAATGATTTTCAGTCGCCTCTGCTAATACACGCAGCATACATGAGTAAACTATTTCGTTATTTTATTGGTTATGATTATAAATCAATATTCAAGACGACCCAATTAATTTTCACGAAAATTTGAGAATACAGTACTTTTATTTTTAGTATTACGCTACATCTATCCAAACTCATATACGTATGCTTGCAAAAATGATGATGACGTCATCGCAATTTTTTTAAATGCCCTGCTACAAAAATGTAATGAGAAAAAAACATAATAGGCATGTAGTCGTCACGTTTCCGACATCGAGGGAAGTACTGTCTAAATTCTTTAGACCATTTTTT